TCGGCAGGGGAATGCTTACTCCTCTATAGCATCTTATCCAATCTGATGTTTAAAAGGTCCGCGTTTGTTCTGCTCCTATTTCGTATTGTTTAATAGACTTTTAGCTTGAATACTATTTGTTACCTCCATAATATTTATTTTAAGCAATTCTTGTTGAAAATAAAAAGGAAAATGACACCGTTTGCTTCTTGTCACAATCGGGAAATAACGGGAAAAACGTCGACAATTTATTGTGTTACTAATGGCTGCTAACAATTACTATGAAAAACGCCAGTTATAACCTCGACATTTAGATATATGGACAACGTATTTTCAAAAGCAATATTTATTTCCATTCTTATGTCGATATGTTATTATAAATATCATGGTGATCTTGAGATAAAAGATACCACAGAGTCTGACACATCAGTTTCATTTGGATATTTTACTTGAAAAGACATTAATTAATGGTAATCTAACGATCAAGCTCTATGATACACGTGATGACTTTAACTTTCAATCGTCAACTTCCCTTACTTATGCAGCAATTAGCTGCAGACTTGTAGCGTTATGGTCTTAAACATAAGCTGGTCACACGCCTGTTGACCATAACGCTACTGGGTACAGATCCCGTAATACAAAAAAATGTGCCATTTACGGCGCAAATTTTTTTGCGCGCTGCTGAGCAGAATTTCTCCACTTTAGAACATTGGTCAATCAACTCAACTACCTTCCACGTTCTAATTTTAGACATATTATTTAACCAATCTGAATGTATATACCTCCCAACCCTTAAAATTCGACTGCTTGATTTGAATTGTCTATCGTTTGTAGCCCACGACTATAAAGGATTGGAAAGTGGGATGCTCCCTCCTCCATGGTACCTAATCCCACCTTTGATGTTTTGGATGTCTGTGTGATTTTGAACACTGTTCGTTATCTCCATGTGATTTTGAACACTGTTCGTTATCTCCATAAGTTTCATCTAATAATAAAAATATATTTTTTGAACTTAGGATAAGTTCAAAGTAAGGTCAAATTCATATACGTTTTAATGCCTTTTTGTCCCCCGCTTGAAAAGTGGGGGATATTAATTTGGGTTTGTACGTCCGTCCGTCCGTCTGTCCGTCCGTCCGTCCGTCTTCTTTCTGTCTGTCTGTAACGCTTTCGTTTCCACACGATATCTCGAGAACCCTTTGAGCTTTTGCAATGAAATTTAGCATAGCAACTCCCTATGGACTAAAGAAGACCCCTATTGATTTTGAGGTCAAAAGGTCAAAGGTCAAGGTCATAAATAAGCAAATTCTGTCTGTTAAAACACTTTCGTTTCCACACGATATCTCTAGAACCATTTGAGCTATCGCAATGAAATTTTACATAACAACTCCCTGTGGCCTAAAAAAGAACCCTATTGATTTTGAGGTCAAAAGGTCAAAGTTCAAGGTCGTAAATTTATACATTCTGTCTGTGTGTAACACTATCATTTCCGGGCGATATTTCAAGAAGATTTTGAGCTTATGCAATGTAATTTTATACCAAAACTCCCTAGGACGTCTCTCGCCCCTCTCAAAGTGCCCCGCCCCGTTTGTTTTATTAGTATTTATAGTATTACATGTCGCTATTTTTAGCGCAGGGGCATGAGGAGAGTTATTGCGTATAAAACAGGTTCTCGGCGGACTTTATGTTCTTATTACGTCTATTAGAACTGTTTAATAAAGGCTAAATAAATCAGGCACCATGGATTGTGTAAAATTTTGAGAATACCGAACATGAAAACATGAATATATACATGTATGTGACTTCAGTTCTGCATATACTTCACTCCATGCGAAGCGCCTCCGTGGCCTAGCGGTTATGTCTCTCGCTTCTAATGTTAGAGATCCCGGGATCGAATCTCGGTCGAACCTTTCTTTTCTTTTTTTTTAAAATACTTTTTTTTTTACTAAATGATAGTATTCAGCATGTGAAATGAAAAATTTATGAGGTTATAAAATCATCATTACAGTGTGATAAATATTCCATATAAAAAGAATCTTCTATACACATGATAAAGAATAAGCAATCAAATCTTTATTACCGGCCGCCAGGAGGCGGTCGGTTATATGATCAATATGAAAGTTTGAAGTTGCTGTGCGTTTCTGCGGTGTTAAAACAATTTAAATAAAAATATTTAACATTAATATAATAGTATATTAAAACGAGCGTCTAAATGTTTAACAAGAACACACAATCAACATAAAATTATTTTTTTAAAGAATTGAGGTAAATCCTGATTGAGAAACTTAGACAAGTTTGAGGTGCGGAGAAAAATAGGACATGTGTTGAGCATAGTCTAAAGCAAAGATATTGCACAGTTTTACTTTCTCTATTTAAACAGGATTTGTTGTACGTATTTATTTTAAAATGACGTGTACACATGTACATTTATAAAAAAAATCAAAAATAATGGTTAAATGTTAATTCATCAAAAGACCTAGCAGGCTACAGAATATTACAAGATTTGGCCCTAGCAGACGAGGATAATGCACGTTTTACAATGTGCCAAGTATTTTCCCGCTACAACTCAAAGAAACTGAAAGAGAAGAAATGTAGTGGCGGATCTAGAGGGAGTTTAGTTTTTTCCTCTAAGTCTAAGAGAGAGCAAGGAGCTCCACATATTTGTTGCGTTTTTATTAAATTAAAACTACACTGCATATCTAGTTGTAGATTACATTAAACTTTAGTTTTAAACTTTTAATGTAAATGCCTCTTAATTATACAGGCCCGTGGTTTGTTGACGCAGAGGACCAGGGGTACTTTGCTTACATATACCTGTAATACTGAACATGCATATATGATTAAGAAAATCATGCAATGTCGTGCACAAGCGTTTAATGTCACGAGGATATATATTAACAGATAAATATAAGATATTTTAAAACAGATCACCATTTCAGTCTTTAGTTGCTTCATGAAAGGAACAATTAATTGGTTTGTGGCCGATTTTTGACGCTTGCGTCAATATATGTTTCTTGTATGCATATTGACATACATGTATTTTATTTGCTTCAGTATACATGTATACATTTAATAATTCTACAAATTCAGTCAGGGGGAGCCGACTTTTTCCCTAAGCGGGGGACACGAATTCTCTGAATTAGCTTGTTTTATTTCGTTTGCATATAAAGTTATTCTTTGTTTATATTTAATGTATATGACTTATTTCTAGTAACGATATCATTAGGCTACGGGAGTTGTCGCTCTTTGGATTTGTTTACCTCTTACTATACGGTAGTATACGGTACGTTGTGTTGTTATATTTTCTTAATTTTATATCTTAGAATAAAACAACTGATTTAATATTGTTATATGACTGTTGTTAGGAAACAGTAATTCAGTCACAAATGATAGAATTGATGTGAGATAGAATCAGACAAGTGGATTCAACATCGAAAAGTATTGAGGGTTACACTAATTACAGAAAAACCTCTTGGATTTTTAACACAAAAAACCTGTTAAACATTGGGAAATTACCAACGCTCAGTATAGTTCAACTTCTGCAATTTATATTATAATAACAAATACATATGAATTTTCGTTATACTTTGCCTATAGAATGGACAACGCCAAACCGGGGGATCTAAAGGTTGAAAAATGGAATCAAGAGAAGGATGGCGAGTTAACCCAGACTAACATGGAACAGAAACTCCGAAAACAGGGTTATAGATTCGTAAGATATGATTTTCCACCAGGAATAAATTTTCCAGAACACACACATGGCGTTTCAAAGAAAGACGCGATTCTGAAAGGAAAAATGAAGTTTTCCATGTATGGACAAACTGTTATTCTATGCCCTGGCGACATGATTCAGGTTCCTAATGGCAGAATGCACAGCGCTTCTGTAGTAGGGAATGATTTTCTTGTGTTTTATGACGCTACTATAGACCCCAATGCAGAAATCACAAAAGAAGAATTGGAAGATTCTTGAAATTCAAATTACAACACGCTCTGGTATTAAGGGTAAATGTAACTGGCAATTAACAGTCGAAGTCTTAATTGTTTGCTGTATTTTAAAATTTATTTATTCATTTTTTTTGCTTTAATTTTTATAAAAATCTCAACATTAATAAAAACATTATTTTCAATATTTGAATCTTTTATTGTTTGGCACACTCTCTCAAGAATAATTTGGTATCTTGTAATACAACAATGTTGTACGAGTGATGTCACAGAACGATTGTGTCGTCTACAAATTTCAATTGAAAAAAATCAAAAATATTTATTACTGTTTTAAAAGTTTCTAAAATTAAGTAAACACGACTTAACTTCGAATAGATTCCTATAAGTATGCTACTGTGAAAATTTATTGCACATAAGTTGTCATTTCAACAGAGAAATATAAAAACAGGCGGGCTGATAAAGGAACAAAATTGTTGCAAACGGATCCGAACAGTTTGTTCAAAGACGTATGTTGTCAATAAGGAACTCCAGCATCATATAAATATCAGCTTCAGAGTTCTTCTTTGTAGATTCAGAGTGAATTTAACAAAACAATTGTAAGACCAGTCACGAGAAATGAAGATTTCTGAGTTCTATTTTACCATAAATTGGATAACCTATAATTTAAAAAAAAATATATTTCATTATGAGGATTGGGTATATAAAATGTAGGTAAAAAAATGTATTTTTTGATGTTTTTGCCTTTAGGGGGAATATAATTATTCTAAATTTTCTTAAATTTCGAGAATCCAAACCTGATTTGCACCTCTTCTAAAAGAGGCTGTAGCTCTGTGCGTCTGGAGTTTCTCCTTGACAACAGATAATACTTTGGCAAGGATTAAAGATAGGGACTTGGAAGAGCATTGGCTGGATCCTGCATTATATCTCTGCTAGCAAGGAATTTAGGGTGTTAAGGAATTCATTATAAGTGGGACAATTTTTGTGGGATATTCATTATACGGTTTATTTTTTTCTTACTGGTGAATATCAAGCATCAGTAAAGACAATAGGTGTAAGTAACAGAAATTTTAGACAGAATTCATTACGGTTTACTTGGTAAAAAAAAAAACTATTGGGGAGGACTTCTTGATCTTTATACCTGTACACCTGTGGTACAGGTGAAAAATTAAATGTTTATGTCCAAGAGGCCCATCGAACCCCAGTGCAGCCGACCGTGCGTGTATGTTCCCGAATGTTGTCCCTTTATATCTAAATCCATTAACATGTCCGTATATATTTGATTAAACCTCGCTTTCGTCCAACACCATTACATACCTGCCCTGCTTTATGAGTTACTGGACTTCATATTGATTTAAAAATTGGACACAACCTTGACCGAGCACTAGCCAGGAATTTAAAATCATGGACTCTTCGACACCCTACTTCTTTTGTCTCGGTCTAAGTAGAAATGGATTAGGACAATGCATTGGTAAGGTTTTATTTTTTGCTTTCATAATATACTATTTACAACTGTTAAAAACTGAATAAATAAATCATCCAGTTCGTGTGACCCTCTCCGAGAAATGCATCTTGAATAGACACGTATGGTAAACATACATGTATACATACAATGACGGTCAAGTTTGTCCAGCGTATATATCGAAGAGAAGAGAAATTTCATCCTCATGTGATGTTAGTTACGGCATGTATAAACATGTAGTCAAAACGGCATTATTTATATATTGTGGATTTGAAATTTCAAATACATGTATGTACTGATGTAAATTTTGTCAATGCAGTATTGATGTATATGGCGGGTTCTTTGTTGCAGAGATTGACACAACTCTATGTTGAATTCCAATGCACGTTGTTGTAATGGTAACGTAAGATATTTTGCCAAGATGGAAATCACAGAGGGACCAGAGGGACGGAATAAATCATGAATCTTTTAGGAACTGCCGGAGCAATCTTTCTGGTTATTCTTAACATAGTAGTTATTGTAAGTAGCAGAGGTAAAAGTAGTTGAACAATAATAAACTTCAAAGTAAAACTACTGAAAACGTATATTCAACGTATGAAAGGATATTCTCTGCATTCTTGCCGTTCAATTACATATTTTTAAGACATAAGTTCTACTTTTAAGTTCTTGTTTTGCAAAAATAGCTTCTAGGACTTGGACTAATCATCATCGGAGCCCTAATTTACAAAGAATCTGGGCTAGTTAATGACGACATATCTCCTGTTCTGAACGCCATAACTGGTGGAGATTTTACCTTATCAGACCTCATCAAAATCATCGCTATTGTCATCATTGTCATTGGAGTATTTACTTTTCTGGTTTCGGGGACTGGTATCGTCGGAACCTGTGGACAATACCGGCCAGTACTCGTAGTCGTAAGTTGATGTTAAGCCGTTTTCAAACATATCAGAAGCTTTATAATTTATTTTAACATACAAGTTTAAAATTGCTGTATCTTTTTAAATTAATATCAATCCTCTTAAGCAATACTCTTGACTCTCAGATTATACATTTGCATTTGAATTCATTTCTTTCATGAAATTGAAAAACATATATTTAATAAATATTAGATGTAGTTTTTACTCTCTATTTGTGGTATATTAGTTATGAACGTTTTAAATAATGCAGAGAAAATGTTGATTACACATTATTATCTTTACAAACCAGGCACGTAGCAACAGGCCCCCCCCCATTTTTTTCCATTATTACCTTTACTATTGAAAATGTCCATTGAAAGGTTAGTCCCCCCCCACTTCTTACCACACTATAGTAATACCAAGGAAATGTAGTAGTGTATGCAAACAAAATTGGAAGTGAAACGAAGTTGGCCTTGAAAAAAGTTGGCCGCTACCCCCCCCCCCTTTTTTTCTTTTTGTTTGTCAACTTTTACAGGTAAGTAATAATAAAAAAATTTTTCTCTGGTTGCCCCCCTTTCAAAAACGATGCTACGTGCCTGCAAACAAAAGTAAATCCTGAATTTATATCTAACATCCCACTTGATAAAACATAGCAAGGGGACAAATGTTTGCATGTATGTATTCTAGCTGCAATAGTGTAGCCCTCTCCGAATTTTTATCTGATGTAAAAAAAAGGAGAGGGCTACATTATTGCAGCTAGTATGTATTCATGTATAATGGTAAACTATAATACATTATCTCTGATCAGTAATAAAAAAAAACTAGAAGAGCAATATGTATTTATTTCAGTATGGAGTGATAGTGTTTTTGTGTGGAGTAGGGGAAATCTGGGTTCTTGTGGAGGTGGCAAAGCTGAAAAACAAAGCAAGTATTCTTTATTTCAAATCAAACAATTTCAGAAATTTTGAAAAAAATTATGCCTTGTTTTTTATGAAACCTATGGAGATAACGAACATTATTCAAGATCAAAATTCCACAAAACAATACACAATAGGAGTAGAGCAAACATGGACCTCCAAAACATCAGAAGTGGGATCAGGCGCTATGGAGGGGTAAGCATCCCCAGCGGACCTGTCACACCCGCCGTGTGCTCCTTGTCAAGATCGGGAAACAATGGAAAAATCAGTAGTCAATTGAGTGTATAAATAATGGACTAACAGTTGTATGAAAAACGTCAGTCCCAATTTAACCCAATGATAAATTGTATTTGCTGACACGGTCATTGTATCGACAATGATGACTTTAAACAAGACTGCTGATACCGGGTATATTCTTGTTTTATCACCTTATTTGTTAATAATTTACCTCGTTTTAGAAATTGTTCATACATAGAGCATGTCTTTCGTATCGAATCAACTGAGATATATAAACTCCGTATAAGCAGGAGATGAACGTATAATGCTGCATAAGTAAGGGAAGCTGACGATAGAATAGGTGCAGATCTGTGTCGTTATGGTTTTATATATTTGTCTTTGTGCAGCTAACGATGGAAAAGTTCAAGTCATCACGTTTATCATAGATCTTGGTTGTTAGATTACCATTAACGTCTTTTCAAGTAAAATATCCAAATATGAAACAGATGTATCAGACTCTGTGATATCTTTTATCTCGAGCTAACCAGGATATATCGTATCGACATAAGAATGGAAATTACCACTGTTAATTGACAATACGTCGTCGATATATCTTAATGTTGAAATGAAGGCCACAGCAAGCCTTTTTTTTTTCTTCCACACATAAGATTGTGCAAAAATTCTGCTTCATATGAATACAAAAATAGTATTTAATTTGGTTGTAAGTATATTTTATTACATTTCACAGCTCAACGATGCTATCAAAAGAGAGTTGCTAAAGGTGCTGTCTTATTACAAAGGCTACAATATAGACGTCATCTCCATCGCATGGAACCTCATATTTTACCTGGTAGAGAATAACTCTTAAATTTTACAAACCATCATCTTTTTTCCTCGTAGACGTCTTGTGTAATTAATGCAAACAAGAAGAAGTAATTGAATTTCTTTTTACCCTTTAAAAATATGTGTTTTTATATACGAGGGGTGATCAAAAAGTTCGCAAACTAATTGAATAACTTCCATACAAGAAACAATATTTGGTTTTAATGTTGATTATATTTTAAATTAATCCTCCCCGATTTTAATGCACATCAACCACCGTTCTGCGCATGCGCGAATCACGTGATATTGGCGGTCACGTGACCCCCTCCGTAACGTTCTGTCACAAAAGTTAAAAGATTTTTCCGAGTTTTATATTTCTTTCCATGTGAGTTAATTTTTATGACAAGAACAGTTAATTTGTCAGAAATGGTCATATCTCGGCAACAGAATAGGTGGATAATAACATCCTTTCCAAAAATAAGCATGGCGACCATTAAAACACAAATCTTCTGTCTCAGGAGAGACCTTTATTCAAGGTGGATAGAGAATGGGTGCATCCTTTTTATCATATCTGATATGTTTAAAATCTAAAGTAAACGATATCTTAGGTATTTAATACTTATATCATTGTTCAAATATTCAACTTTTTTCAAAGTGGTAATTGGAGGTCTTTTATAGCAAATTGCTTAATTAAAAATACATATCTTTTCAAACTTGCTTTCACTGGGCAGGATGACAAGTATCATTTTTAACCATCAGCCTTCCTTCACTAAAACGATTAATCCAATCATTAATTGAATTTATAGGAACTCATTTATCTCAATAAACTGTGTACAAATTATTATATGATACTGTAGAGGGATTTCTAAGATATTACAATAAATTGTACAGTCGTTTGTTGAATGAGTTCGACTGAGACAACCATTTTTCGTCAAAAGTGACCTAAATAGTGACGTCATTTTCACATTGTGACGTCACAAACAAGGAGAGAAACTTTATTCAGCATATGCTATTTATAGACCTTGTGTATGGCTATGTGTGTACCGAATTTCATTCTAATCTGAATTGTGGTTTTGTAGATAGAGAGAGATAGTTTGCGAACTTTTTGATCACCCCTCGTACTTACATTTTCAGCAAAAAGGAAAATGAATGTTTCCAAGTTTCTATTCCTTTCGCACTGAACAGAGACAGAGAGTTTTATTGCCTTTTATCTTTTGTTACTATCGGATAAATTCGATTTTTATCTGTGCATCTTTTTTGTTCATTCTAAGTCCTGACTTTTTCTTCTCTTTGTAGTTTGAGTGTTGTGGAGTGAACAAACAATCTAGAGTAGATGACTTTCAGTCAACAGCGTGGTCTAGAGGAAGTGACGTCATTCCTGGGTATTGTTGTAGAGAAGCAACTCTTCTTACGGCATCTACATTGAATGGAACTGCATGTACAACAAATCCTACATATCAGAATGCTTATGTAGAGTCTGTAAGAAGAAATAATACCTTCAAATCTTACTTTTCCAACAGTCTGATTCAATTACATCTATGTAGGAAAATTCTGTAAAACCTTTAATATACTGTACTTTTCTTTCTTTTGTCTGGTTTAATACACTTGTAGACAATATTAGAAAAATATGAAATTATTAGTAATTTATCTCATATAAAATTGTTACTTATTTAACATCAAAATTCAATTAAATATTGTGTTCATTGAGTTTCATTGCAATAAGCTATGTGTTCTCTTTCGCATAGAAAAAATCTTAAATTACTCAAACCTTACAATATTTGACATGATTATCTTTTTTCACCTTTCTTTACTTAAAAGAGAAATATTTTATTCCAATTGCAATCTAAGACCACATGTATTATGCATGTTGTGTACAGTTGATCATAAGTTCAAACCAATATAACTGCAAACTCTTCAGAGAATATAAATAATTTGAAGTTCACTGTTTCAGGGTTGTTACGACTTTCTCAATGACAGACTTACAAGCTATAGTGACGGTGTGATTTCTGTCGCTACATTCATCTTACTCACAGAGGTACGTCTTTTCTACGTAGTCAAACTAGTAAGCTACTCTACACGTAAATGAAAAAATAAACATGGGCCTAATAAGTTTCACATTATATAATGTATATTTTCAGGTGATGGCCATTATTGCTTCCCTGATTTTGTTCTGGCAAATAACTGTGGATGTGGATCGAAAACGAGGCGCTCAGAGATCAGGAAGAGTCGCTGATATTTCACTCAACCAGAGAGCATACCAGGTCGGCAACCAGTCCGGACAGGAAACAATAGTTATTTCAAATACAGCCAATGTTTGAATGTTTCAGAAATTTTTTTTACTTCCGTCTATACACACATGTAGAGTGCAATGCTTCTTGTTTCGTTGTTGAGAAGAAATGAACAAACAAGCACTTTCTGTGATGATAGGAAAAGCAGTAATTAGGATCATCAGTAAATTAGAGAATGCTGTTTTAAAATTGGTGATTTTGCATCCGTTATTTGAATCTTTGTTTTATTTTTATGGTAATTGGTAATTGTTCTTATTGAAAAATATGTATCTTATCTTTTAATGTAGAGAATTTCATCGCATCAACACCTAGTGAAGATGAAGTTAATGAGTGGTTAACGTTTACAACACAACTGCTTCACTGTTAGTTATATCATGAGAGTATTTTATATGACGAGCAAGATAATATTCAACTGTTATTCTATGCATGTGATAAAGAATAGGGCATTTTCATTAAAAAGAATATTTAAGACTTAGTTTTTTTCAATGAAACGTGGAGATAACGAAGTGCATTCAAGATCAAAAGTCCATTAAACAATACAAAATAGGAGCAGTACAAAACGGACTGCCATGGCTGTGTGTTCCTTGTCATGATCGGGAAATAACGGAAAAATCGTCAATTCAGTGTATAAATAATGGACTCTAACAATAAGTATGAAATACGTCGGTCAGCATTTGACTCAATGATAAATTGTATTTGCTGACAAGGTTATTGTATCGACAGTAGAACTTAAGAAATGATGACTTTAAATAAGACTGCTGATATTCTTGTTTCATCAACTTGTTTGACTTTAATTTACCTCGTTTTAGAAATTATTCATACGTAGAGCATGCTTCTGCGTATCGAATCAACTGAGATATATAAGCTCTGTATGCAGGTGATGAAGGTATATTGCAGCATAAGCAAGGGAAGATGACGATTGTAAAGTTAAAGTCATCACGTTTATCATAGAGCTTGGTTGTTAGATTACCATTAACGTCTTTTTCAAGTAAAATATCGTATCGACATAGAATGGAAATTACCGTTGTTAATTGACAATACGTCGTCGATATATCTAAAAATGTCGAGTCGAAGGCCACAGTAAGTGTTTTCTTCTTTTCATTTACAAGATCTTGGACAAGTTCTGCTCCATATGAATACAAAAATAGGTCTGCTAATAACGGGGCGCAATTGCAAACAATAATCAACTGATTTAACAGCCATATCGTATGATATAATCTGAAATTGTTTTAAGTCTGGTATCAAGTGTATTGGGGTTTAAAGTTAAAATTGAAAACGGTCCTCAATAATTTTTCGTGTAGCTTATATATATCTTTCATGATCACTAATGACATGTCTGATCAAATTGTACAGCTAAGGTACTCAATTTTTCCCTCGCCGTGTGGTCGGAATGGCTGACAGTTAAAATACACAGCCTAACCTCTCCATAAATTATGCACATTCGCTCGAATAATGTTTCTGCAGTAACAGTCTTATCTTTGCCGAATGCTTGTCGAACTAAAAATGTAATCTAATGATTGACACTGTACAAACTTTAAAGAATTAAAATATGCAATCAAAAGGGTGTATAACTGACAAGTTCTGCAAATATTTACTTTCACATCAAGCTTAATATAGTTTTGTTTTTATCAGCCTTAATTAATCAATCAGGCACATGTTAGAGGTTTCCAACAGAACGCCTTCTTAGAATTTAATGGTAAAAATGTAAGAATGCTTTTAAATAGGACTCTTTTATCTCAACTCAACCAAAGGCTCTAATAAGCTTTTCTGATGGAATGTTAGCCATCTTTTGTCTGTTGTTCTCTTTTACGTTTTCTATTTTTCCTTCTTCAAACCAGTATTCGATACTAGTACGCAAGAACATGTTCAACGTAGATCAACTTTAAAAACGAGTAAGCTTTTGACAAACAAGTTGATGAAACAGGGATATCTCAACAGTCTCGATTAAAATCACCATTTTTAAAGTTCTGTGGTCGATCAAGGACCTTGTCAGTAAATACACTTTCTCATTAAGTAAATTCTTGCTGACATTTTCAAACTAATTGTTAGGTCATAATTTCTACGAGGTTTTCTGTTTAGCCGATTATGACAAGGAGCACACTGCAGATATGGCCGATCGACAGGAAATGCTTACTTTCTGCAGATTGAAATTCATTTAAAACAATTGTGGAAGGATACAAGTATATATTTCATTTATTTGTCAGTTGTATAATACAAAGTATTCAAAGTACAAAAATATAGTGTATAATGTAAATACATTATCCGAAATACAAAGTATGTATAAAAGTATGGAAAAATTGCATACAAGTCCCTGCCAAGTATAAAATGTTAAAAATGTTTAAACACAATTGAAGAACTAGATTATATCACGGTGTTCTGTCCCGTTTTTTCTCATTGACTTCATATTCGACATCATTTTTCAGCTGACCCAGCAATCCAAATGCTGCAATGACTGCGATGATCTGTAAGTAAATACAGTCACGTTAGTCCACTGCATAGCATATGGAGAGTGTTTATAAAAACACCTGATTGTAGATTTTATTTTTTCACTGAAATCCGTGAAAAGAAGTCAACTCTCTAAGTTAAACTTATACCACTGGGACTAAAGCAACTACTTCGCATAGCTCAAAAAAGAAAAACGTCACTCATACATGCACCTGTCTTAAACATCTGAAATACACTTTGGCAGTCCTCACACACTATGTACATTTATTATGCCTGTTGCACGAGATCGGGTTGGCCTCTTGTCTCATTTATAAACATTTTGAGACAGACAGATAAACAATCAAAGGCTTTACCCGTAAAACTGAAGCTTTGAAATACAGACTTTGGTTTGAACTTAATCCAGTTCGTCTAAATTGTAAAATTCAATGCATGTAATGATTTAAAATGTTTATTTCCCTCTCCTGGATTATGACTCTACTTCTTTTTGCAACTGACGAGCCATCAAGAACGCAAAAGCAACGGCGATGATCTGTAGGAAAATAATTACATCGATTATATTAATAATAGGTATCGCTACTTACGTCATCTTTTTTTTCTTTTGAAACTGAACTATCATTAGCCGAGCGATCGCAATTCGTAATATAAGGCGTTGAATTTTATGTATTTGACTAACGTCATTTTTTTAATGAGCACTTGAAAATGAAATCTTTCTTACCTCAATAATCACGAGCACAACCCCAGTAGCAATAAATGTACTGCTGTATGGGTTCATAATGTTAGACATCTCATTGTAGCAACCCTACAAAAGGAATTTTGAAATAAAATTAATGCTTCATACCTTTTAATGTCTAAAAAATGTGATACTTGATTAGCAAAATATTTTAGCCCAAGGACACCAAACATAACAAGTAATAAACATGGATGACTGGACCCCACATATTTTCTTACCCTGTCGATATAAGCCGTCACGGTTGACGGATTGATGGTACAGATTTGATTGATGTTGAAATCGGCAGTATTTGGATCCGCCCCCACACAGCAATGGCCTGGAATAATGGATTGTCCTCTGAGAGGGTTCAGCCACCAGATGCTGCTGACAAAGTCGTTTCCTAGAATGATTGGATTTACTCCGCAGCAATGGAACTGTTTAAAAAGGAGGCGAAAATTGTTAATGGAATAAAAGGTTCAGAGAACAAAATTTGGAAAATTAATAAATTCAATGGGACAAAATTTATATCGAACTTAGAAACTTTCTTAAGGTTGATTCCAAAGTAGTAACATTTTATATGGTAAAATGAATGCAAGAAAGTATTATTAGTTTGATATACATCAAAAAAATATATTTAAGATACAAGCCCAATGGCATTTTTTTCTCTGAACGGGGCTGTGTGGTTGTGGCCATTTTTATACTATTTTGATCTCCATTAGTAGAAGAGCTCCATATACAGATATAATAAAATGATCAAATTTTAAAGCTAAAATTTATGAAATTTTTCTTTGCCAAATGATAGTTGACAGCGTAAGATATCATATCCCAAAATTTAAGTTATATCTGGTGGTTAATAAAAAAATAATTTGTTGACCCCCAAGCCTCCTTAAGGACACTTACAGTCAAGAACAGAAAGTTCCAGGCCCGCGTCAGCTGGTTTGCAGCATTTCCGTCGTATCTCTGGATCAAATTCAGCATCTGGTCTTTGATGGAGGCAACCATCTTAAGCAGAATATAATTATTAAGTAAGAATGGTTGATTCAATATTGTAAAAAAAATTACAATAAAACAATAGAAGAAATCATAATTTCTGATACCTCGTGTTTGAAAGTAAACCATCCTCCCAAAGCCACAAATTCCAGCAGCAATATTATTATGATGATTGCTCCGTACTGAAAATTTAAAAAGTAATTCAACTTAATTATTAAAAATGGAATAGAGTATTTTACAATTCAAGCGAATAATTTCACTATGATTTGAAAGCTTTTGCTTATATTTTTTGAAAATACACTTTGCAGAAATATGCAAAGATATTTCTTACTTTTCAACATAAAAATAATAACATCAACTCAGGATTTTACAACAATCCTATGCGTTTTCAGGATTTTATGAAAAATCATATGCATTTACTTACGATTATAAGTAGAAGCCTCATTCGGGTTATTGCACCAGCTATTCCAATGATAGCCACAACCACAGCAAAAAGTCCGAGAGACACTCCAAATCCGGCAAGAGCCTTTACAAGACTTCCCATCTTAAATGATCCGATGGAAATGTTTTCTAGCAAAGGCATATATTGTGCTGCATATGCTCCACCTTTTTCATTCATGATCGCTCCCCCAATGAGCAGAGCAATTCCAGCGATCTATAATGAAAAAATATAACTTAACATTTACTACTCAATATTATATTCAAATAAGCATTTCTATATCTTTAATATCACTTTAAATCATTGAGTGATTATCAAAATAATTACCGTATTTCCTATACGAAAAAAAAAAACACTTACCATAAAGAAAATATTAATAACAATAAGAAAAACCATTCCAACACGTCCTAAAAGATTCATTTTGTTTCTTCTATCTTTGTCCAGGTCAATATAGCAAACTTTCAAATCACCGTCCCAAACGCTAACACAAGAAAGAGCCGCTATACCAGAACGGGACTTCAGATTTACAAGTTGCCTCCGATGAAGAAATAACCAGCTTTCGAAAACACCCAACCTCTCCTCTTAAGGTGAACTGACCTTCTGCTGAAAATAACGGACGATCTTTCATTTTAAAATGGATGGGGTATACTTGGATGATGAATCAAAACTGTTGCTCATTAATTAGATATGGAATTACTACGCTAAAAAATGTGTCAGTCTGCATTCAGTTGTCAATGATGTTTCAAACTGACTGTTTAATCATGCGTAACCGTTAATGAATTACTTTCTAAACATTACGTCGTATGTTATAATAACACTTGTAAGGATATCACAAGCAAAATATTTACAAGTGTGTCGTAAGTATTACAAAATGTATGGAACTATACTGAACTATGATTTATGAAAGAAGAAATGTGTCAATCTTTAGAATTATGAAATTTTTAGATTTTGGGAATGCTCGAGAAATGGTAATTTTATTATTATTATCATTATTTATTTATTTATTTATTTTTTTTGCTAAATAAAATAAAACAAGGTTTAAAGAAAAAACTGTATCTTATTTAATCGAATTTGCTCTACATAGACTTATTCTAATAAAGACTTTGCAAAATGCTTTTTTCTGCCAAAAGATATATGTAATCTGCGTCAAACTGCTACTATGTGTAGCTTTTTAAATCCACAATTGACTTGTTCTGCTCCTTCTTTTTGCAAGTAGTAAGGTCTCTATAGAAACAACTATTTTATTCACATTCATTTTCAAAAGCATAATTTCTCTCTTAATTGGTTAATGTAGAAATGCACAATGCTCGATTTAATGTGTATTTTGATATGTGGAGTTTCTGCTTAAATTTACATTTTAGAAAATACTTTTAAGATTTAAATACTCTTAAAAAATGAATTTATAGCACTATGTATCATTCAATGCTATTAACAATGTCTTTAGGTTACCTTATACATACTAGGTGACGAATTCGTTGTAAATATTGCAGCCTTGGGCAATGTTTATAAGATAACCAATATCGATTTCTTTTTCTACAAATTTAGTTGCAATGAAAAAGTTTACTATGCATTTTCGTTTCTTTTTTTTTTTTACTGAATATATTCTTCATAAAAATATTATGAAATTTCAATAATTGCAATGAAAGGGTCTGTAGACAGTTTATTTATGCTGAATCTGTTCTCAATTACAAAAAAGGATAATTTTTTAAGGTTGTTGTTACGAAAAAGAAAACATTGACAATATAATTATATACCTAAAAATTTTATAATATTTTTATATTATTTTGGTATATTTCAGATACATCATCTGAAATCCTTTTTACGTGTATGCTTTTAGTATATTTTATGTTATAACGTTGAAAACTGATTGTATTAGTGACTGTCTTTTTTTAAAGCAATGAGAACCCCTATTTACGTATTTTAAGAATTTTTATCATACTAAGCCATTGTCTTTGAAGGCCTACATTATAAATCAAAGAATTACGTAACATGGTATCGCTCCAGCATGCAGTAAAGTCGTATGTTAACAAACTCGTATCTTTTTAAGTCCGTAATCGTTTTATCAGTTTGACATTTTTTCTCCAAGCCTGTGTGAGCAAACTTTCCTTGGGTAAAAGAAGGTGAGATTCACAAGATAGGTTTTAAATATTTCAATATTGAAGCATAAAATTAATAAAATGATAGTCTCTTAAGGTTGTTTCCTTTATCTTAGAAATGTTTATGAAATAACGTTAGATTTTTAAACAACTATAAAACTTCTGACATAAAGCGGCGGCAGGATTTCTTAATTAACAAGAACACTAAACTTAGTCAGTAAAGTTAAATATGTGATGGAGGTGATTTTTATCTTCTTTTTCAAAAAAGAAGGAAGTATATTACTCAAAGTCCTCCATCATTCTCTGAGATACCAACGTAGTGGTCCGAGATAAATTCATAAAATCGACAATTTTATCAGAGCAACACCGCGACAAATCGATGGCCATTCCAGGGTAGAGGCAAAAGAAAGGGTCCAAGTATCAGTTTTTACGTTTCCATTTAATGTTAAATCTTATCTTATCAACATTTGGATAGCCCGTACATTGAGCAATTGCGAAAAATCGGTTTATCATTGGAAAGTGTTGACTACGGATCGGTTTCTGGAAATACGAATAAGGTTTTTCGATTTGATTTATTTCTTTGTAGTATATACCGAATGTCTTTCTTTTTGAAGAAATTGCGCATGACAAAAAAGCGATGATATCTAAAACGCACTCAATTTCAAATTAGAATTTTCTGGTTATTTATTGATACTTTAAGTTTTGTTCTGAAGTTTTGAAGATGGGGAGTACTGGCGCATGTTGTGCTAAACTTATCCTTGGTATACTGAATACTCTCTTCCTGGTAAGTATTTGTCTGTTTAATTAGAATTGCTAAACATATGCCTGCGATAATGAGTAATACTGTATTAGGAGACACAAGATACTCATTCTTACTGGAAAACAATATCTCGTTTTCCAATTTTATTTTTAAAAAGCAAAAGTTATAGTATCATATTGCAATATTGTTTTAGTTTAGTTGTCAAAAGATTTTTACACACAAAATCGTAAATACTAGTAATGGTAACAAAGTAAATGTAGTAAAAAAATGACAGATTTCGCGTATGTTACCCTCTTTTCTACTGAAGGTGGATAGGTCTTTTTTTTTTGCCTGGCAACAACAACAGAAAAAATTCAAATAAAAAAAGATACCACATTTGAAAGAATGTTAGACGCAGTAATACAGTTTACATAAACCTAAGATTGACCATGGGAAAATAACAACTTTGATATTCTGAGCATTAATCTTTATACTTGAAAAAGTATTTAACCAAATTCCTGTTTGAAATATATACAGTCCCATTCAATGATAACTTTAAAATGTTGATTTACTCAAAAAGACAAGTAATTTTTTTTGTGGTTGTTCGAGAAAGCAAAAGCACATGTATTTTAAGAAGAAAAAAAATTATTTTATGGATAATCTAAGATAATTGTTATATATATTCAAGACGACTGTGGTTGCGAAAAAATATAAAAACACCATTTTGTTTTAAATATTATGATAATCGATACGATTCTATAAAGAGAAGTAAGAAATTTTGTTGTTGTTATCTTGTTTAATGACAACCGAAATGTTATTAAAATATTTTATCTGAAATGCCCCGCCATGGGCTCTATTATCAAACACATTCCTATAGCCTTCTTATATTATTATTTTATGCTTTCAAAAAATATATTTACTGTGCCAAAACACCAAAAACATCAAGGTGAAAATTTAAAATATATATTCTACTATTAATTTGTCTCAATACAGAACCAAGTCTGGCTATGAATCAAACATTATTCTAGCAACCAGTACATTTCACAGAAAAATCCATATAAATAATATCCATATCAAAAGACAACACGCCACATTATTGACAAAGTTTCAAAAGAGAAGTGCTCTTGATAGATTGTTAATCCGGTCCAAAAAAGAAAAGAAGAGATGATCGTCGAATCAAGATAAACGATATTTAATCTAAACATATTCAACATATTGAATTCTAAGAACTAGTATTTTGAAATGGAAAAAAATCTCAAAAATATTTATTTTGTTGTATATTAAATGGATATGAACACAGTTCAGTTAAAAAATTTTCAAATTTATTTTTCCTTTTTTTTTTTTTTTAAATGTTTACAATTGCTAAACTACGGTGTTTTGTTTATGATTATCAAAAATAAGAATTTCAGTTGCCGAGATACGAGAAAGATTACGAGCTCCAAACCTTCTTTATATAAACAAGGCCCGTTCCATGTTTCTGTTTACTAAGGTTTATTAAACTTATGCGTTCGTTCAAAGCAGATTTTTTTTTCAATAATTCTAAATACGATTAGACAGTTCCTAGTGATTTGCAGAATCTTGTCTTGTTATAAAATATGATATTTTCTATATGTAAACAAAAACAAAGCACGAGCCTTGTTTACATTATGAAGAATTTTAAGCTCTGTATCTCCTTTGTAAATCAACAAATGATGTGCAAATTTTTGCTGATCATTTAAATTGTCTTAATAAGGAATTGTAGACATTAAAATTAATTTTTGAAAATTCAGTTGAAACTGTGCCCATGTCCCTTTAAATTTTGATGTAATGTTTTGTAAAATTACTTTTGGTTTTTTATTTTAATATTTTAAAGTTATAAATTTTGATGTAATGCTTTGTTAAATTATTGGGGTTTTAAATCAAATCTAAAACATTTAATTAAAAATACTTTAGAAAACATTACATCAAAATTTAAAGCAATATGAGCTGTATGTCGGAATTTTTTTGTTGCAAAATTGTAAATAACTATTTTGAATTAAAGAAAAAAAATAACGTTAATAAACTTCCTTTGTTCATATTTGCGATGGAAGAACTCTTTATAAGCTTTGATTGAATCAAAATTACATTATTGTAGTCCTGTACAATAATGATAACCTTATATAAAACTGTATATTGGACTGTATGCAGAAATCTTTCTTTTGCTTTATTTTAGTCTAATCGATCATAAACGTTTAAGTTACATAGAAAATTATTATAATAGCACATTTTAACAGCAAAATAAAATTTTCAAAAATTCAGTTCATATTGCTTTAAAGGAAATATAGGAATTTTTGTTTTGTTTTTGTGTCGTTTTTTAAATATAGAAATGCAGCAGTCTCTCTGAGCAAAATGACATTTACTAATTTTTGTCATTAATTCAAAATTGTTAATTGAATGTTTTGTTGTATTGCTTGAATGTTTAATTGTAAATTACCTAATAATGAATGCGCTTCTTATCTAATTTCCAACTAAACTATTGGCAAACATCAAATATAAAGATAGTTTTCTTGGGATATAACTGTTTCAGACCCCACATTGCACTACAACAATAAAAAGGGTGAGATAATGAAGTACTTTCAAACATTTTTGTAAATAGTAAAAAATTATGTAGGACATCTGTATTGATAGAGGCATAAGATGCAAATTATCATATCGTTTATCTTAATTTTGTCTATCACTAAGTATCATCATTCTGAGAATAAGAGCGTCAGTCAATCTTGTTTTGGAAATAACATTTGAAAAATAGAAAAAAAATGGTTTGAATATATGAAAAGAAGCATCATTACATTTCATTACACGAGACAGAGGATTAAACTACCCAACATTCACAAACTGTTTGCATGATTAAAAGGAACATGCAATTATACCTCTATCACATTGGGAAAGTTTGTCATTATTCAGAATTCCAGATCCCCGGGATGGGACTTTGTTGCTGATAAATTTAGTTTCTTACAATTTTAATAATCCTCTTTCTTATATAATATTGAGCATTTATTTTATATGCATGATGACAGCTTTAAACTAAATCACATAATATAATAATTTTATTATAGTTTTAAAAGTACTTAGTTACTGAGTATTTGTTTTTCTCTGGGTTAGTACATAATTTACATGTTCTATAAATATTCAGTAAGGCCTGGTATTCTTTGTTCTTAAATGTTTAACTTGTGTTTAATTCAAAACAGTTCCAGGGAAACAGAAGTATAGAAACATCTATTCATCTAAATTTAAGAAATAGTAAAATTCAATTGATAACATACCAGTTCTTAACACCTGCAGTGACATTACCTATGAATCAACCATATAGTATCTACAGCATAAAAACATTTCTTTTTCAGCTCGTTGGACTTGCTCTTATCGCGGCAGGTGCCTTGGTTATAGCAGGAGCTGACTTCATTGCGTCAGTTCTGAAGGCTTTTAAGGACCTGCCGGTGATATCTGACTATCTAACTATAGCAGCATGGGTTCTGGTCGGGATCGGGATATTCCTGGTGGTGATGGGAATTCTAGGTGGATGTGGGGCTTGTTGCAGCATCAAGGTCTTTCTAATTATTGTAAGTGTGGATTGATTTTTTGTTAACAAAAGCGAGTAAAAACATTTAATAATATAACCTCCATATATAATGGAATATTATTTCATAAGAGGGGAATGTTAACGTAGGAAAATCATCTCATTTATCTGACAATTTAGTTGTTGGTTGGTTCTTATTGCCCATAGTCATTAAAACATCCAAGTATGAAACAAATGTAAAGACTCTATGGTGTCTTTAATTTCAAATTCACTTGGAGTCGACATATGAATGAAGGTATGTGTATGAAATATATGGGGATAACGAAGAGTATTCTTGAGAGATCAAAATTTCTTTAAAAAACAATACAAAATAGGAGCAGAGCAAACCCAGACTATTATTGTGCATTGATAATACTCAGTACAATATATCTAAATGTCTAGCTTTTAAATTATCGTAAGGAATGGATTGTATAAAGTATAGAAAAGGAATACTTAATTTGATGTAACTGACTTTTGAAAAATTTGGCGATATTAACTTTTCTGAAAGTTATTCGGAGTTGTTTCCACCAATTCTCGTATATGCTGTATCACAGTACGCAAGAAGTTTCTCCTTAACAACAGTTAACAGTTTTTAAGGATAAAGAAAGGGACTTGATAGAGCATTTGTAACGTATCCTTGTTTGTAAAAGAAATTTATGAAGTTAAGGAATCTTGTAAAGATAGGGTAGATCGATCTCACCTTTGCTGGCTGAAATGTTAAAGGTATTAAACACTGAAATGTGATTTTGGAGAATTTTATCTTCAGAAAGCGAATTGCAAGTATAAATTGGATTTTCAGACTTAGAATTAAAACCAAAATACAGTTAAAATAATGAGCTTTACAAACAGAGACTATATTATTACAAGCCTTGTCTTCTGGAGCCATAATATGATGTTCATGTAGTCTTTCTAATTCTTGCATTGCCTCCGATTTAGAGAAAAATGTAAAGATAGAAGGTTAGCCTATTGCCTTTTGAATTTCTAACACTTTTTTTCACATATACGAGTATTTCTAAAACACTTAATCCATTCTGACAAAGTGTTCTGATTTTTCATACTTAACCTAACGTCTGACATAATCTTCGAGAGAATTCATTATAGTCATTAAGTTCTGACGTCAGTTGCAAGTATATAGAACTTTCTGATCTGGTTGCTTTTAGGTCTTTAATTTCAATTACCGGTATATTGATATCATCAGAGGGTTTGTAGTTCAAAAAACACTTATGAGAGGATTTTGTTTGAGAAGTTGTAGCTAGCACTGTGAAGTTTGTATACAGTGGAGAAAGTTTGAATGTAACAGTTTGGGAACGTATCTGTAGGGAATGTATGGCGTAAACTTCACATTGAAATATGATGGAATACAAGACTGAAAAATCGTATGATTAAGAATGTTATTTTAATCGCTACTAGTATTCCTTTGTTGGCAGAACCGACGGATTGAGTAAGGATTATCTTCCGACATATTCGTTGACTTAAAGAGCCAGTGTTTTGAAACTTCTTTAATCACAAACACTATCTTGTATTCTGCAGTTGAGGAATCTAAGAGTGGACTTCCTTTAGCTTCTTCCAATAGTCCATTCAAAAATCACAGGGGAGTAGAGCAAGCAGTTTTACGATTTGTAAAATATGATCAAAACTTTCTAAGTATTGTGAACGAAAACAGTTTATCTGATATATAGTTTCACGATTAGTGAAATATGACGATAACGAACATATATCATCCCATAACCTTACACGTTCCCGGGCTCTGTATTACGAACTTTTTCATTTCTGTTCTTTATAACCAGGAAAATCTTCCATTGATTAAAGAATTTCATACATAGCACAGTAAATTGGTAATCTTACATTTAAAAACTTAATTGGGCATACTGCATGATGTATAACTGATGTTTTAAGAACTGATTTTAAACGCTGTGTTATACTGATGTATTTATCTTGATATTATTAGTACGTCATCATCATGGTGCTGCTCATCCTGATAGAAGTGACCTTTGTAGCTCTCTTGTTTTCTGATAAGGTAATACATTGATGCATAGATTTGGTTTTTTTTGCAAATATTTTGTTATAGCACCTTGATATACATGCAACAAACTACAAGAATAATGTACTGACAAACAATTTTTAACGAAAAATCATATACGCAAAGCAAAGCGCATTTGTATGTTCACGAATTTCTGAGACTTATTAGAAATGAATTATTAGTATCGTTTTTTTTTTAGCTTAAAGAAATTCTTTCGGATCCACTAAGTAACGAATTTAATAAGTATGAAGAAATTATAAGTGGCGGAACTTTAAGCAAAGACGTAGAGAGCAGGGCCATGGATCTCCTATTTACAAGCGTGAGTAGCTTCACTGATGGTCAGATGACACCTTCCTCAAGTATATATAATTTTCCACAAGAAGTTTTTATTGAAGCACATATATTACTTAAATAAATTCATTCCTTTTAGAAATTTCTTGAATTGCCGATATCACAATTTTTGCAGTGCTTAATTATTTCTCAAGGCATTTTGAAAACAGTTTAGAGAATGATAATAAGAGTTTTTAAATATATTTTTTACAAAGAGATATAAAATAGATATTTAAGGAACATGTCACGCCTTAAGGGTTTAATTATGTATGAAGGGTACTCTGACAAAGGATAAAAGGATAAAGACGCGAAAATACTTACATCAGGGTGAGAAATAAAAATTCGTAAATTTTGTTCTCTAATCATAGTTAGGCCTATTTATCATACTAAACAAAAATAATAAGGTATGGTCAGAGCTATTTGTTGTAAATTTATCTATAGTTTAAGGATTAAAAGCATTAAATCGTGCCAGGGTCGAGAGTAAATAAAGTGGTGAAATGAAATCAAAGTCAACTGAGTTGAGAAGAATCCAAGCAAAATAAAAAAAAAAGTTGAATGATTATATAGGGAGGGGGGTCTTGAAATGTTTTAATAAACAAGAGCAGGGGCGTAGCTTGGGTACTTTAGATGTGGACTCCCGAGTAGGCAGGGGGTTTAGAGCCTCCTTCATAAGCCCCCAATGGGCTCAAGGTGAAGGCTTGTTTGGGGTCCAGAAGGCTAAGCTAGTGAATTTTCGACGATTTTCATGTGCAAATTTGCTCCTTCTGATCGCATTTTTCTTGCACTTTACTAACAAGTTTGTCACGCAACCATATTCGAGGTCTGCTCTGTTTATTGTACAGAATGCAGACAAACCCTCAAAAAGAGAAAGGATCCCTCTAATGTCGTTCTAAGACAAACCCACTAAAACAATTTTAGACTTCTAAAGAGACAACTGAAATATTTATGGTAAAATAGTCAGAAAGATTGGTAAAATATAATGCACTTCTAGGAAAATTTTCAATAGTAAACCAAAATCTAATGATTTCAGAGGATAAATACAATGGTATTTTCCACTAAAACTGATTTTGTTAATTGTCTTTTTTCTTTAAGTATTGTTATAAATTGTTTCGACAGAAGTATTATATATATTTTTTCAATATTTCAAAAATCAATTACATGTATTCATCTTAAATCTTTTGTAAAATAATGTGTATGCTTTAAGAGCATACAAGGATAAATGGAAACTACGTCTGCCTCTCCCTCCTTTTCAAAAATGATGTGGACGTTTGTGAGTACAAACGTACGCCTGGCTACGCGCCTGAAGAGGAAATTGTATTAAACTTATGTCATATTGGTTCGAAGTGTACTTGGGAAAATATAACATAATTACATTATTTACATGCATGCATTTTGTTTTCACAAACCGTTCAGATATTTATGCCCCCCTTCGAGGAAGGAAGGGCATATTGCTTATCGGTGACTGCGGAGTGTTTCTTTAAAGAATTTTGTGAAAAATAAAAACAAATTAAAGATAACTGTTTCTCTAACTTTTAAAATGCATGCTGCAGTTTGATAAATTTAATTGTATATTGAATTTTCTTCTTCGACTGACCACCGCCCTCAATAAACAATAAGCATCTATTGCGTCTATTGTACTTGTAAAGCTTTTGCACCCAGATGTACCGAAAAGCGGATACGGAATCATCGCCAACCACTGCCTAAATATACGATCCTCCTCTGTTGCTGGAGAAAGCTATATACGCGGACTCCAATCCATGGCTTGAGACGATGATGGTATGTACAGATGCAGTGGATGACAACAATTTAAGGCGACATGGTACACGTTAAGAGTATGATTTTGCAATACAGGCACGCAACCGCTTTGATAAACTATCTATCACCATTTATACGTACCACTGGTATAAACCATCAAATGTTGCTGTTTCAACGGTTCAAAAATCAGCATTAAGAAAATGTTTTGCTGACTTAAAGGCTATTTGAGGGCACCCTTTGTTGACACTAAGACATCATGAAACATAAGTGGATCACAAATCGTAAATAGATTAATTCGACAAATATTTAGTAATTATACAGATGAGCTAGAATTTTAAGTGGTACGTTGGCGATTTTGTCTAGTGTACACAGTTTTTGTTCGCTTTTGTTGTTGTTGTTTAAAGTAGTTTTTTTCTACTTTTCAGCTGAAATGTTGTGGGTGGAATGGCTATAGTGATCTGAATGGGAAAAATGTGATTGGCTGTTGTAAAGCATTAACGGAGGATATACTGCAGAGTAATCAACAATCAACTCTCCAGTCCATACATGGAAGTTGTACAAATCCCACCGGATACCATTCTAAAGTATTATTATACCTATCCCCTGTAATGTTTTCATGATGACAAAATATCATTATATGTTAGTAATGATTCTGATAAATCATAATTAAGGTCTTCCGTTTCAGACGGAAGACCTTATAGTGATTCTACTGTTTTTTCTTATTCTTCTTATTATTTTTTTCCCCAAATCTTGTCGGCAGGATTTCTCAGAGATGGCTGGACGGATTTTCCTGAAATTTTCAGGGATGATAGAAAATGAAAATACCCCGAGACGTTTTTTTCATTTTTTGAAAATTCACTTCCGGTCGTCAGATATGTCCGATTTCCGCTTTTTTCAAAAATATTTAATCCGAGTGAGATCTCAGAAACGGTAAGGGATTAAGGCACCAAACTTACAGGGATGATAGATCTTGATAAGTAGGCAAATCCATTTGGGTTAAGATTGTCCGCCGTCACTTCCGGTCGTCACAGGAAGTGTTCATAAATATCGAAAATTTCAACTTTTCTTTTTTGAATTTTTTTTGCATCACATTGTAGCATCTTACTTGTAGTATTGAAATATGTCAGTTCCACCGGAAACAAAAACGGCAACTTCCGGTTATAAGAGAGAAACTACATAATTTGAGTATTTTTCTTTCCCATAAATATTTTTTATAGATAAAGTATTTGAAATGATTTTTGGATATGTTATTCAAACTGCCAATGTCTACAGTAACCTTAAATATCTTTTTAAAATTCACTTTCGGTCAAGTGATTTCCTGTCCTCAAAATGAGAACTTATCATAGAGATATCTCGTAAACGGTAAGAGATGAAGACACCAAACTTATAGAAATGGTAGATCTTGATAAGTAGGCAAAACTATGTGGGTTAAGATTGTCCGACGTCACTTCCGGTCGTCACAGGAAGTAGTCAAAGAAATCGAAAATTTCAACTTTTCTTTTATGGAAAGTTTATTGCATCACCTGATAGCATCTTATTTGTAGTTTCAAAATATATCAGACCCACCGGAAACAAAAACGACAACTTCCGGTTATAAGAGAAAAACTACATAATTTGAGTATTTTTCTTTCAAATATATATCATTTATATATAAAGTGTGTAACGGTTTTTGGGTATGTTATTCAGATTCAATATATCTACAGTTACCTCAAATATCTCTATAAAATTCACTTCCGGTCGCGTGATTTTCTATCCTAAAACTAAAGTCATCATAGCTAGATTTCGTAAACGGTTAGAGATTAAGACACCAAAGGAATAGGAATGGTAGATTATGCTGAGTAGAGAAATCGATTTGAGTTAACATCGTCCGCAGTCACTTCCGGTTGTCACATGAAGTGATCAAATATATCAAAAAATTCAACTTTTCTTTGTGAAATCTTTCTTTGTATTACATTACAGCATCTTATTTGTTATTTCGAAATATGTCAGTCCCAGTAGAAACAAAAACGACAACTTCCGGTTATAAGAGGAAAAACTGCATAAATTGAGTATCATACTATCCCAGAAATATCTTTTATAAAAAAGAGTATTTGAAATGATTTAAGGACATGTTATTCAGACTGCAAAAGTCTAAAGTAACGTAAAATATCTTTTTTAAAATTTACTCGCGGTCACGTGATTTCTTGTCCTCAAAACGAGTTAACATTACGAGATTTCTTAAAATGTAACAGACCAAGGCACGAAACTTCTGAAGATTGGGTAACAGATATAGGGTAAAATGCGTCCTCTGTCACTTCCGGTCATCACAGGAAGTGCTAAAAAATTGAAAATGAATTTTTATAAATGTTATTAAGACTAAAACTGTCTAAAGTAACGTCAAGAATTTTAGTGAGTTTATACCTCCGGCCGTTTGTTTTCCTGTAATCATTGTAAATATTATCTGCCTTTTAAACATAGATAAAAGCTCATTCATACAGATAAATAGAGGAGAACGGAAGACCTTTTTTGTTGCTATAGCAACAAGAGTTTCTAGTGCTATTAATTATTGTTTGCGAAATTGTTGAAGTAGGTACATATATTTGTAGTCAATTTTTCTCCATAGGGATGTTATACGGCCATAATGGACCTGATTGAGGACAACAAACCAATGGTCATCGGAGTGGGCGTGGCACTTTTCCTATTTCAGGTAAGGGGGTTTTGGTATGAGTGTGTATATTTTTGTGGAAATGAAATTTATGCTGTTGGTGAGTGAAAAACACTTTTACAAAATTTGTGTTGCGTACATTGCTGTCGCAAAAATAACGAAGGGTATGCTGTATATTTAGACCAGGTTGGGTGATACCAATATCAAGAAGCAGTTCAATTATAAATGAGCTGGGGGTCTAAATTTCACATCGTTGGTTTCAGTATTCTACAGGAAAAATATCCCCGAGTTAGTTTTCAACCCAAGTTAAAATAATATGTTACATTAGATTCTAAATTTTATAAATCGTTTACACATAACTTTCTCAACAATCACTCTACTAAAAAGTTTTAACTTTCAAGAAATCTCACTAACATTCTTCAAACCAGGATTTTTGGGGTTACGAAGGAAACACAATTATAACTCCTCTTCTGAAGTACACATTGTACAGCAAAATGTTCAAGCATCCTCTGGTAGTGTAAATTCATTTTGTTCAAATTACGGCCCCTGCATATAGGGTGGGCCACAAAAGGAGATTAAAGTTTCACATAGGAATCTCTATTGGGAAAGATATGATGCAAAACAGCAGGGCCAAAGTGACTCACATGAATTTTGTGATCCATGGACAGCTCTCTCTCTCTCTCTCTATCTTCTTTTTATAATAATAAATGTATGATATAACAAGAAACGTTTGTTTTATGTGGACAGTTTTGTTATTTTTATTTAACTTTTTATATGTATTCTTTTTTCATAGATTTTATGCATCTTGTTTGCAATTTGGATTGTGAAGGACAGTTCAAAGATAACCCCAGGTGACTAAGCAAAGGACATTTGTCAACTGTTGTGTTGAATGTAGAATTTGTTTAATTCATTTTTTTAAAACTTTCTACTTACTTACTTCTGAGATTCTTCATGTCTTTTTTATGTAAACAAGAGGAACAGGTTTTTTGTTTTTGAAAGTTAAAAGAAAATTGGTAAAAATTTTATATACATTTTTCCTCAGAAGAGTTTTGTTTTTGCTCTTTTTCCCGTCCATTTTTTCATCCGTCCATTATGCTATAGTATACATAGAATATACAGTAAAATTATATATTTCAAGATACTGTTTTGACTTTCAGTTTGAAAGATGTCTTTGTACATTGTATGAGTAGATTTATATATTTGCAGTTTGTTTTTTTTACTCAAGACTACAAATGTATGCGTTTTTTAAAATAAACAGAAACAAATGTCATAACTACAATAAAAATCCACTCTTTATACCATTACTTAAAATACATGTACAGTTTTTAAGGACAGATGATACAAACAAACTTTTGTCAAAAATTTTGAAAATAACAACTTGGGTCATATTTTAATGAATAAAATGAATAGGTTTCACCGTGTAGTTTTTAATTTTTTATTCAAAGTTGCACAAAAATAGAATTTGGAGTGAAAAATGTTTGTATAGAATAATAAGGATGGTTTCAGAAGGGTAGAAGTTTTAACATCAAAGAAAGTTAACAATTTCTTTATATTTTGGAATATTATTTTTTGCATCATTTGCAATAAAAAAATAACAATCCAGGCATCTATTTTTTGTTTGTATCATCTGTCCTTTAAGAATTAATATAATCGCACGGAATAACTCGTTATTGAAAATGAAGGTACATGTGATACATGTAATAGCAAACTTATGATTTACCATTTTTTAAATCATTTTCATGAAAATGAAAAATGTCAATATTCAATTTTATTTTCTGTTGAATGTTGAAATATTCTGATTTTTGAGAAGAGTATTCGAGGTTTCTAATTAGTTTCTCATCATTGTTTTTTTTTTTTTACAACTCTTGTACCAAGTCTTTCGTAATGACAAATGAGTTGAAATTACATTGAAATATCATAAAAATATCAATGAGATATTTCTTAGAGTTCTTATTTTTTCTTAAATAGCATATGCGAAAGTAAAACGCATCCTGATTGGTACATTATTACTACTGTAGACATCCTAATTCCGATCACAATTTCGGTACATTATGTCAATATATGCCCTACATTTATATAAAGTACGCTTGGACAAATTTTCGCGGATTATCTGTGACCGTGTACATAGAGTAAATTAATACCAACACACACGCAAATACTTTTAAGTATGCTCATTTTAACGTTAAGCTGACTCAACTCAATTCAATTAAAAAGCCATGTGACGCAGTTTCAATACTTTTTTTAACTACAGCTCCCTGACTGCTTTCCAAAATTCCTAGGTTGCATAACAGGAACAATCAAGCTCAACAGCATGTGGATGGTTACATACGTTGTATTTGAAAAGACAGAAAACAGGATGATTTTGATAATGATCACTGCCGGTAAAGTGCGAATCGAGAAAATCTTGGTTTCGGACACCAGCTACTATTGGCACCTGTGAAATATCTAGTTAAATACATCTTTTTTGATATAAAACAATAAAAATCCTTTTTAGAAAGCAAATTTATTAAAATGTTAAGCGATTGAATTGACTTGAAAATGAAAAATATCGAAACATTACATTTAATGGCTGTTTACAACGTGTTTGTTCATGTATGCATTGAATTTTAACTGCGTCAGGACTGATTGGACAGTTAAGAGAAATTTTTTATTTATATTTTAAGACGCCACAGGTACTTGCCGATGGAGAGCTGCAAATTTTTTTCAAATTTATATTTAGTACACTTATTCAACATGTTTGCAATGCAAATCTCAAAACCCCAAAATAATCGGTCCTCAAAAAAATACATTACAGCAGAGAGAAAGGTAAGCAACTTTTTGTTTACGTGCCAGCACCTTTGGGTTTAAATACATGTATTTATTTTATTTTCACCTAAAATGTCGGGACCTCTGTTTTAATATATTTCAGTCCTCATCCTATCGAATTGACTCTGCATCGCCCACAAACAGCATTCCAGTTAGAATGTTGAAATTTCCTGCGACATAAGCATCAAAATGCCCCTACTTAACGCGAGAGAGTTTTAGCCTGACGTAATAATCACTCTCGGGTGTTATCATAATAGAATAGGCGCGGCGTTTAGTAAGCAAACCGAAGTTGCTTACCTTTCTCTCTTATAATGTATAGTGGGGTATTTTTTTGAGGAGCGATTATTTTGTTTTGACCTTTGTATATGCATCATGTTGAACAAATATAATCTCTTGTTAAAAACCTGTGCCGTGGACACAACAATGTGCTTTACATTAATTATTTTCATGGAATTAGTCAAAATACAAATTCATTTTGTAGGTGCTACAATTGATTTCTGTAAAATTTTGACACAGATTTTTATTTGTGTAAATGCGACAACTGGTTTATAATGTTGGTTTATGTTACTTAAAGTGAATATTATGAAATTATTCAAAATTACATGAAAAGGATAATAGTTTTTGTAGTTTATTGTCATTTCTGAATTTCTAGCAAATACTGTTCCATTTGTTAATATTGTGGTTTTTTTTTTTTTTTTTTTGGTTATATTCTTTTGTTATTTTAAATGGAGTAATGTGGTATAAATGATATGACAGAAATAATTTAAAACTTCAAATACATATACGAATGTCGTGATCCACCTTTTTAAAGCAGTAAACAATATATTAATATTTTTCCTTGCAATTTATATTTGTTCAAAGCATGATTATATAAGAAAATTGTGTTGCAATCTACATTTATGTTACATCTCAGGCAAATGCCAGACTTTATTTCCTGAAAATAGTCTTTTGCTTTAGTTTTGATTCATGTTTTTAATTTTTTATGTAGAAAACTTTTTTGTAACAAACAAATATATACTGAAAGTGCTACAGTGCCAAAACAAAAATCTGTTAAAAAAAAAAAATGCTGCGATTGGTACTTGATTAATTTTTTTTATCTCAACTGCACAAAGCTAAAAAAAATCATGACCTCTAAATTCTTCACGAAGCGTGTTGCAATTGAAACTATTTGTCTCTTGTCATCTGCAGAAAAAATGCGAAATTGGCTGGTCTCAATTTCATGGAGGGTTATTTACAACGGTTATTTGTTGTGGAAATAGTGAGTGGAAATTGTAAAGGAATTTATTTGGAACACCCACTAAGTAAAATTGTTTTTAGAATATGACAGTTTGAATCCGAGAAGCAGCACACTTTTATGTACAATAAATACCGGTTTACATTTTTTCCAGCTCTCCCGTCTTCAGACAGATACAGTTCTGCAGCTAACCGTAAGGTTTGTCCGTTGTCATCTTCGCTAGCCAAGGGTTTCTTACGCTACTTTCGTCAGTTTATGCAGAAAGTAGCATTGAGATATATACACAAATGGAATAGTTTCAGGTCCCCAACACACGACAAAATGCATTTTCTAGCTTCAGAACGGCAATGGTTTATATTGTCTTTATAGTTCAAGATGAAAACATGAAAAACCATAAGTTAACACTACAGTTTTGGAGCTGTGTTCTTCCGAGATTGGACATTTTTCTTGGGTTGTCAATCACCTGCGATCCTCATCCTTCCTACGTATACATTAAAAATAATGTCAAAGTATGTTTAATAAATGGACAACGGCTTGCTTGCAGTATGTCATTCAAATCAATGAGAATATTTTGTTGAGATATCAAAATATTCCATAGAAGTTAATTATCTGAAATACATAATGCCATCTTTTCAAGTCAAAGGTTAAAACTATTCATGGAGGGGATCCTTGAAAGGGTTTCCGCCTACATCTTTTCGGCGAATCGGAAACCCTTGGCTACCTATGTAAAAGTAAAACACTCTTACATGCATCAACGTCTATTCTCTTCAAATACATAACCAGAGTGAATTTTGCATTTTTAAATCCTTTATTTTTTCACATAATAGAACAATTTATGTTGGGAGGGGGGGGGGGTATATATGCAATATTTTTTAAATATTTGATCTCCTTGAATTGGAGGTATATATATTTTGGGGATTTATTCAAGAAATTTGCACTATCTAATGTGTCAACATTAAATTTAAACGTATTTCTCTGGTAACAATAAATTTATGATACAGCAGTAAAACGTCGCACCTCATGAAACAGAACAGAAGCCAAACGTAGCAATTGCACGTGTCAAGAGTCGCACATACAGCAACCATACTCGCAATGTAATCAGAAAAAACTCTATATTGCATCAAAAGTTTTAATCTTGTGAAACATAAAAGAAACAGGAAATCATAAATGATTCATATAGTATATACTCATATCACTTTTAACACAAATAATGTAGCGTTAATCGAGTTTACCACTTTAACAGCAAATATGAATAATCTAGTAGAATACATGAAACGAGTGTAATCTAAAGCATTTACGGGATTGCTCCTTATTTGTATTCAACCAACAAGGAATTCTACTACATGAAACCATACTGGATATTAATAATTAAGTCATAATCAAATGTTCTATCATTTCTTATAGTTAAGTTGACATAGAGTGCATCATTGATGTAAACCAATAGTAGCTGGTGTCCGAAACCAAGATTTTCTCGATTCGCACTTTACCAGCAGTGTGATTGTTCTTTCTATCTTATTAAAAAAAATAATGCGTTGCTCATAAAACCTATTATTGGTAGATATTAATTAGCTTATGACTTGAAAATGAAAAAATATTAAGGTAATGAACAGCGTTTGTTTGTATGTTGTTTAGCGTCCCTCGAGAGAATTTTTCACTTATATGAAGACGCCACTACTTGCCGATGGAGAGCTGCAAATTTAATTTTGTCCTATGTTCTGCACTCAGGTCCATTGAGCAGTGATGAGGTCTTTTTCGTGCCAGCACCTATTGCGACACGGGACCTCGGTTTAAACAGCCTCATCCGAAGGACTCTACGCCCCACAGTAGGAATCGAACCTGCGACATAAGCATCAAGCCCTTACTTCGCGACTCTAGAGCAGACGCTCTAACCACTTCGCCACGAGGGCGCGGAGTAAGCATTGCTGTTGGTCGATTACACTCTCCGTTCGACCTTTGTATTGATCAGATGAACAAAATAATCTCTTGTTAAAAACTGTGTAGAAACAATGAACTAACGGCATGACCGTCAAAATACAACTTTGGGTTATATTTACAAACAAGATATTGACCACATAATGTTGACTTGAAGCGAGACTTACGAGAAACCTGAATTATCAACTTATTTGTTAATGAACTTTTCATTTATGTAATAAGTCGTGATAATATACAGAAAATATTAACTTCAAATCTATGTCTATCCACCTTTAAAGGTAAACAATATAGTTTATCATATTACTATTATATAAGAAAATTTGTAAGATCTCCAATATGTATTCAGGAAAAGCGAATAAGAATATCACCTATGCATTTTCTAAGTGAAAACTGACAAACAAATATATACTGAAAGGAAAAAGAAACGCAGGGTAACACTATTTACGAAATTTTTTTGACCACATGACCAAAAATTACGAAAATTGGTCAGATGAGAATCTTGGTTACTATGCACTAAAAGCAGTGTTCAGAATTACTCAGCTGTGAAATATATGACGCCACGTAGGAAAAGTGCTAAAAAGCCAAAATCACTTACAACTTGACAACGACAAGTCTGTCAACGATCTTCTTATACCATTTGATGCACTTGAGATATATACACATTGATTTTCAGTATTTTTAGACAAAATGCATTTCTTGCAATCTTGTAACAGTTCACGGAAGTTCCATGGGGTCTGGCTTTTATTCTGCGTGTTTACCCCCGACCTATTGTAGCCTGGGCTTATCAAGACTTTCTAGCAAACAATCACATTTACTTACTCGTCTAGTCTCCGTAAAGTTCATCTTTTTCTCATTGAACATCTGAGGGACTGAGTGGAAGATAACGTTCGAAATGCCGAAATTGGTCCTTTTCAACTAAGGGCTATCTCGGTGAAAAGGTTGAAAAATATCCCTATTTGTAGGGTAAACACACTGGTGAACTCCATGCAAAGGAGAAACAAGACTTTAACAGATACGCGATTGAGACATTGAAGATAATGAGAATTTTTAATTTTCACTTTTTGGGGGGTATCGTCATATCGGTTTCAATAACTTACGAATTTTAAGGGAAATTCAAATGGGAATTCTGATTACATTTTTAATAAAGATGACTTTAAACGTTAGGAAGGAATACTAGAAAAAACATGAGGAAAAATGAATTATTTCACCTCAAAAGTTCACCCTGCGTTTCTTTTTCCTTTCAGTATATTTTAGATTAGATTTTTATGCGTATCCAGAGAAACTACCATGATTTAAACACAGGGGTCTGTAACATACTGTATTTGATTTTACGTAATCACTATATGTACACATATAGTGATTACGTAAAATCAAATACAGTATGTTACAGGCCCCTGTGGTTGGTTATTACTGTGTAACAAAACTTCAGTTAATTCTTAACCTAGTTTGTACTCTGTAAATTGCAGAGTTCAACAATCAATGTGTCTCTCAAGCCCTCAGTAATTACCATGACAGGGTGGTTATTTAATTAACCACAGTAATCAGAACTGTAGCAATTAAATCTAATCACAAGTGACCTCATTTTATGCAGGCATGTTTGTCCTGGTTTTATCTGGGTTACAGCAGCCAACAATAAATCCAGTATCAAGTAAAACTCTCAACAAATGACAAGTCTCTAAAAGGTTTATTGAAAATTGTGTTATTCTTCTACAAACAATTGGCAGGTGAAATTCATGTTCTATAAAAATGAAAGACAAAACTCCACCTGAATGGACAAAAATGTTCTATATGAACCAGAGTAAACGAGGTCTGTGCTAAACACATGCAGTAGATTACACAATTTAGAGAAAATAAAAATATTCCTTTGCAAGGCCGAGCCCCTACAGCTATGAGGAGCACCACTATGGATGAGGCTTTACAGCAGCACTCCTACAAGCTGTCGAAGTCCGCTAGGAGTGCCACAAAAGTTTAGAAGTTCCAAATAAAATTAAATAGCTACCCACATTACTGGAACCCCTCACTTTTGCATCACTAAACTCTGTATATGAAATGACAAACAAAGCGAACAAGAAAAAATGCTACGCAATTAAAGTTGCACATCTTTTTTTTCCGAGATTCTAAATGCCACAAATTCAAAACAATGAAAATTAGAAAATCTACTCTATTTTTTAAATTCAAATGAATTCTCAAAACTATTTAAGGATAAAATTTCTATAGCCTACAATATTGCATCTTTGTACAGTTTGTCTGTCTTGTGGTGGTTATACCATACTAGCTCTAGGTAATGCATTATCTGGAATGTTCTTTCATTGCGTCAACTCTTATACACAAACCATAATTTGGTATTAATGTAAACATACATCTTAATTCATATTATACTTCATATAGAGTCTAATAATTTTAATTTAACTGTTTATCATATTGTAAGATCATGTGATATACATATTACATTTTATTTCATTAAAATTATAATTTTATGTCCCAGTCATATATTAGTGATTATTCCCTGTCGTCAATTTAAGAGAATTATGCGATGCTAAGATTTTTTCCTGGTTACGATATGTGCAATATTATTTACAAAAATCCACATTCACTAAGATCTGTACACTGACAAAGACGTGCGATTTCCTTATCAAAGGATTTGTTTAAATATTTGTGTCATTAGACCAGAATTGGGAGAAAAATGCATTTTTGGTATTCTATCTTCACAGAAAGAAGAAGAGGTGAACTGACAATTTCAAAGAAAAGATCACAAGTTTTGGTTTAAAAAACATTTGTACAGTATATAAAAATTAAAAATTTATGAGCGAAAAATAAAAAATATAGGATACATTTGAATAAAACATTTAAGTATCTATTTTCTTGTAAATGAATTATGGTGCTAACTACGGTGATAAAATACTTGTGTACTTTCTTTCAGCCACAGTGTACAATATTGTGATCTTAAAGAATGACATTTTAACAATTAAAACATTGATAATAAAAAAACTAATTGCTTAATGTACAAAGATCATATTAACAACAACCACATACACCAGCACCTATGAAAGTATTCAAGGGACAGAATCGAGTAGGATCGGGATTCCCAAATGTCTATAAACAATGCCAAAAATGTGCATACCTATGATGGAACATGTATGTAGCTGGTCTGTCACTTGAAAATATTCTCATAAATGTTGATTAAAAGACTTCATGTAAATCTGTTCACTTTCTCTATAAACACATATGTTCTATTGAAATAGTCTGTACTTGCACCTATAACATGCCTTCTATTAATAGTATGTTTCCCGTTCCACAAAACCACCTGGATTGCGTCTGAGAACGTATTTTCGGGATTCATCATAAATGAAGATAGCAATGCTGAATGGGAAAGCTGGAAACCACCATGACCATCTGGAAGAAATTAAAGTTCGTATGATTCTTCAGTTAAGAAATTATTACATCATTTTAAGGCTTATTGTGTTAGACAAAACAATAAAATTTAACATCACTTTGCATACCTAAAGATATGATATAAATTGAATATCATGTATAGCTATGCTAGATCATACCTAAGATTCTGCATACGAAGACCTTGCTCTAATCCTGGACAGTAGGTCAAGAAAGCAGCAAGAGCCGTCTCAAAGAACAAACCAAAGGTCATGTGGTGATTCCTGAAAATTGTCAATGAGTTGGATGATTATGATATGATTCCTTTCCAATTATTAATTTTCATTCTATTTTTAAAAATCAAAATCTTGCATGAAATAACAAAGTGAACAGCTATCAATTCTTACTTCATTCCCTGGTGGAAGAGTGAGAGTCTTCTAGTTTTACAAATGATTAAATCAGCCCACTGCACAACCACAATAGACACGAAGAAAGCAGTGTGGCAAGTGTATTCCAAGATTTTTCTCTGGCTGTAAGTCTGGAAAAAATCCAAATATGTTCATAAATATTCATTTTTAAGACACACACAAAACATAATTTGTAGGCAGAAAAATCAGAAAGTTCTTGAGCAGAGGTTTGATTTCCAGCATGTTGGACCTACCCATTCTTGTCCATAGGAGTCTTGTAAATCATTGATGGCTTGAGAGTCCCACTGTTCTCTCAATCCCAGAAGACGAGTCATCCAGAAACCATTTTCTCCCATAATAACGAAGTACACAAAGAAACCTGAGGAAGCCTGAATCATACCAATCTGTCCATAGGCCATGGAGATCAATCTAAAATATACAGTCTTGACTTATACTACTGTATAAAGCATGGGCCAACTTCAAACCAAAAACTACTTGATACAAAGACAAAATAATAATCAATGTAACAGACATTCACCTTTCGTTGACAAGTTTATCCTTGAATGGATCACGAGGCTGTCTCTTCATGATGTCACTTTCAGGTCCTTCATAAGCCATGGAAATAGCTGGTACCATGTCAGTTCCCAAATCAATACACAGAATGGTGATGGTTCCAAGTGGCAGAGGGATATCCAATAGAATGAAGAACAAGAAAGGTGAGATCTCAGGGATGTTAGAGGTCAGAGTGTAGGCAATAGATTTCTTCAAGTTGTCAAAGATCAAACGGCCTGAAATTAGAAGACACAACACACATTGACAAATTAATGTTGGATTATTTATCTACAGTGTATAAACATACAATTTTTCAGAGATACAAATGAAGCACATACCTTCTTCTACTCCTGTTACAATGGAGGCAAAGTTGTCGTCCAACAAGATCATGTCAGCTGCCTGTTTACTCACATCTGATCCAGCAATACCCATAGCAACACCTAAATTCAACAGAGATCAGTAAAATAAATTAACTTGTTCATAGAAAGGGGTTTATTATTCTTTTATAGTAGGAAACTTAAATAGGTTTGGTGTTAAATAATGGTTTGAAGCTCAGGTATATGTTCGTAAATCCAACAATTTAAATCATGTAGCCTAATATAAACAACGAAACAATTCTTGTTCAAAATGTACATGATAATTTCTCCAGCTCCTGATTCTTAAGTTTTCTTATAAATATGTGTATAACTTCACTATGGTAGATTAGAATGAATGTCAACAGGGTTTCCTTACCAATGTCAGCCTTTTTCAAAGCGGGAGAGTCGTTGACACCATCACCAGTTACGGCTACAATGGCACCCTGACGCTGGCAACCTTCTACAATGATCAGTTTCTGTTGGGGTGAGGTACGGGCAAACACAATCTCAGAGTGGTTCTTCAGGACTTCATCAATCTGGGCGGGGGTCATGTCTCTCAGGTCACCTCCGTGGATAACAGCAGCCTTGGCAGCACTGAAGGACATAATAAAGTAGTTGTTATCAAAATGTTTTAAATACAATTAACAAGTATTCAAAACAACTGTAACTGTAAGTTCATACAAAAATTTTGTATTTTAAATATGATCTTCCATATGACCAAAATAAGAAGATTGCAAGTGTTAGATGTGTACATGTTTACATACCCTGTATCCTGAATTTCCTCAACTGGGACTCCACGTTCTGCTGCAAGATCCTCAATAGTTTTGCTTCCTTCAGAGATGATTCCTACACCCTTGGCAATGGCCTTAGCTGTGATGGGGTGATCACCGGTAACCATAATAACCTACAACACATCCACCAAATTATTTGAGAACCTCATTGTATTTTATCTTAAGGGTCCTCCACACCATGTGACTTGTGACGTATATCGAGAAAAAATATTTTTACTTCCGGTTTTATCTAGTTTATGGATGGACGATTTGGCCTAGCACCGTTTGTAAACAATGAACACATGGCACGATCACAGAGTGACCGATGGAAAAAGATGTGCAGTTTTTTAAAATAAAAGAACAACAGACGCCTTGGATTATGTTACATAAAAATTCGTAAACAACAGGTACCGGGTATGACGAGAAACGTTTAGGTTATTTATACTTTCAAGCTAATCAACCGAGTCTGTTTTGATAGTGGAAATTTCGGCACACTAATTTGTGCATTTCAATAATACATTATCTCATTGTGTTTATAAATATTGATAAAATAGTGTTTGTTTCTAGTTTTCCTCTTTTATATCTGTCCAGTTCAGTGGCCAATAATTACTAAATATAGTATGGTGACATATGCGGAGACTTGCCAAAGTTTTTGAGTCCCGGCAACAGGAAAGATAACTCCAAAAAGGAACATTGATACCAAAGATTTTGAAAATGTCTTTCTACATCAGTGCATTTAATTTTAATACAATTTTTTGATGTAATCTAATTCATTAATGTTTCTTTTCTACAAAAGGAGTCCTTATTGATTTTTCTCGAGATGTAATTTAGAGAAAATTAGTTTTATGTACTTTTTATAAATAAAATAAATTTCTGTAAAAAAAAATATGTTGATCGATAAAATTAAGTTTTCATGGTTATTCTGTGAACTTAAAAATATACGAAAGGGCAAGACAAAATTTGCTGTGCTAGGTATGAAAAGCCTTGTGAAACTTGTGTAATAATTATTTTAAAAAATCAGTATAAATTAGATTTTAATCCCTGGACAGTTTTTAAAGGTTGATATACTTGTTCAAATTAATGCTCAATAATATGAGAACATAAGCTGTGGGTGTGTGGAGGACCCTTAAACACTCATAAATTTTGAAGTCTAAATAAATCTAAATCTCAAAGTTCTTTCAAACCTTGATTCCGGCACTTCTGCATTTTCCAACAGCATCAGGGACAGCAGCTCTTGGGGGATCAATCATGGACATGAGACCAACAAATCGGAGGCCAGTCAGGGGGAAGTTAGCATCATCAGAATCGTAAGGGTAACCTGGTGGGTACTGGTCAGCAGGCAGGAAGTAGTCACAGAATCCTGTCACGTATTATAAAATCTCATGAGCATATTCTATTGTCTAACTGTAGCTTAATTAGAACTAGAGTTGGGTATTGCGAAGGAAATCCATATTGCGATATATTGCAATATTTTACTTTGAATATTGCAATATATTGCAATATATTGTAGATTAATTATCATTAATAAATTTGAGCAGAATGTTTGAAATGCCGTCAAGTTCAAAGACTATTTGAATTTATCTTTAAGTTTAAAAGCGGGAGGAGGGATAAGACATTGATTGCACACCAAATTAGCACTTTACTTTTAATCAAATTCCAGGTAAAATAGTAAAACAAGATGAACTCTCTTGGAGAATTTTCACATCGAAATAAATTTTTTTACAGATTATATAATCTTTTTTCATTGAATTCTTTTTTTTTTGGGGGGGGGGGGGGGGGTGTTAATGAAGTAGCATAAAATGTTATTAAAGATTAAAACAATATACAGATTAGGCCTATATGAAAATAATTTTCGTGTGGTTACAAAATAAAATTTAAAAAACCAGAAAGAAATGGTGACCTGTTTTCATGCGTTTTTGGTAATTTAGTCTAACCCGACCTAATTTCACATCAAGACGTACAATCAGGAAATGGCCTGTTTTAATATATACATGCTCCTGCTATAGCATAAGGGGTTTAAAATGGCATGAAAGTTATTAAAAATAATTAAAACAACACTGCTACAAGTGAAAACATGGATGACCATTTACTTGTAATATGTACATGTATATTTAACTTGACATTTCACCGCGATGTCGATCGTGTAGATTCAATGTGAGATTTTGAGAACCGCAATGCATATGGTATACACCCTGTAAAAATGTTTTATATATTTTCTTCCTTATAAATTTTATTTTAAAGTCTTATTAATTAGTACTTTTATTTCAAAGTAAGATATTCAAAACTGCAACAGTGAATTCAAAGCTTCCACCCCCCCCCTCTCTCTCCTCTCTCTTTCTCTCTCCCGAACGAAACTGACGAAGAATTCTTTCAACGAGAAAGAAAAAGACTTAGAAGTTTCCAGTTTTATTTTAACAGTTTCTACAATAAAGGAGGTTTTTATATATTTTTATAAATATCGTGAAATACCGGTATCTGATTTTCATATCGCGATATATTATCGTGGTGGATAATACCGCAATATACCGATATACCGGTAATATTGCACACCCCTAATTAGAACACATTTATTACATTCAAAATACTTAAGCAAAAATATTTTCCACGAACATACCCAATACACGTTCTCCAAGACCTCCCAATTCCATGTATGCATTGTTGAATGCCTCTCTGAAGTTGTCATCCATTGGCACCTCTTTTCCGTGCATCAGAACAGTGGAACTTCTCTCAAGGATTCTTTCAGGGGCTCCCTTCATTACAAGCAGACACCTCGGATCGTTAGGATTCTCAGTCTCATGGATAGATACCTAAAAAGAGAAACCAAAGTTACACGAACAGGTCCTGAAGATATTTGGATATCTTGTTTTTAAAATTAATTCAAATTTACAGCATAAATAATGGCAAACTTATTGTCACTTGCCTGATATTTATTGCTCGAGTTGAATGGAATTTCACAGATTTTCTTGTTCCTTGCTCTGAACTCGGTAACTTTTCCAATGGACAGCTCAACGCATTTCAGAAGAGCAGATTCGGAAGCATCACCATTGCACTCTCTAGGTAATAAAAAAGATTAATTTAAAAGCAAAACAACAATAAGCTGACTAAATTATGCAATAAAATTGACCCATTTCTTTTTTTCTTACCTCTTTAATACGGGTAAATGCTCCTGGTTGGCAGTGAACTCGGCACGGTTACACAACATAGCAATGCGGGCAAGAGCCATCCATGTTTCATCACTGCTGCTGTAGGAAGCATCTGTGAAGTAAATTTATGTTCATTAATTAAATACATTAATGCTGTGAATTTTCATAATTGTTGAAAGCGAGAATCAACAAGAAATCTCAAGACTCTTTATCTAACGATATTCTTACTGGTCTGGTCATCACTGGTGTCAGCCTCCACAATTTTTCCATCAAACCACATGTGAGCTACTGTCATTCTGTTTTGTGTCAAGGTTCCAGTCTTGTCAGAGCAGATGGTAGAGGTGGATCCAAGAGTTTCTACAGCTTCCAAGTTCTTGACCAAGCAATTTTTCTTTGCCATTCTCTTTGCGGTCAGAGTCAAGCATACCTGTTCAAAGAGCATCATATAAATGATTCACAAAACTCAAGATTAAAATTCAACCACTTGCATTTCACCAATGAACCAGTTAAAATTACAAGCCTCCTTGTGAACTTACAGTTACAGTAGCCAAAAGACCCTCTGGTACGTTTGCGACAATGATACCAATCAAGAAGATGACAGCATCCAGCCAGAAATATTCCAGAATGAAGGCAATAATGAAGAATGATACTCCCAAAAAGACAGCCACACCTGTTACAATGTGAATGAAATGGGCAATTTCCTTAGCAATTGGGGTTTCTCCAACTTCCAGTCCAGAGGCCAAGTTAGCAATACGTCCCATAACAGTCATGTCACCACATCTGATTACAACTCCCTTGCAGGTACCTTAAGAGTAATTACATAACGAGTTCACATTAAAGTTTCTACTCCAAATTTATTTTAAATCCCAAAATTTTAAAATAAAGAAAATGCTACTACATTAAACAAGCTTCTGAATAATTACCTTCCACAGCGTTTGTTGAGAAGAAAGCAATGTTACGGGTTTCAAGTGGGTTTTCATTTGTGAAATCTGGTGTTCTAGTCTGGGGTTCTGATTCTCCAGTCAGGGAAGAGTTGTCTACCTGTAATTACCAAACAATACATTTCATTCATAATAAAACCATTCCCTATTGGTGTTCAATCAAATAATCAGTATCATATTAATGATTAAAATAAACATTCATATTTCTTTTTTCAAAAACTGTTTATCAAGTCTTCGAGAGAGGACTTTATTTTCATGCAAGTCTGCGAGATTGTCTGCTCTAAAAAATTTTATTCTTGAGGATGAATTTTATACAATATCCACATTTTACAACTGTTTTGTATTACTTATAAACACCAACAAAGTATTTCCAAAATAAGATTGATATTGAAAGAAACTAGTGACCTACAACACTCATGGGGTGGGTGTGTCACAATTTCATTTTTTCTCATTTTTCTACAGAAAAATGTACCTTGAAGCCATGAGCAGTGATGACACGGACATCAGCTGGCACTCTGTCTCCAAACTTGACATCAATGATATCTCCCACAACTAACTCTTCAGCTTTGACATTTGAAATCTTTCCATTTCTAGTAACAACGGCAAACTGCAAAATCGAAACAAATACATTAATCAGTTATCTCAATGACTGCTCATTATGCAACTTCAGGTTGGTTTCAATAAAAATACTTAACTGTAAACAAGATTTTATTACTCCTACTTTGTTTTCTTTTGAAAAAAGCAGTAAATTATTCACATACCTGAGGAACCATACTTTTGAAGCTTTCCATAATTTTTGAACTCTTGGCTTCTTGGTAATAGGAGAAAATGCCAGTAACTAACACCACAGCTGTCAACACTATACCCAAGTATAACTACAAAAACAAGACCATTTAATATTTACTCTGTCGACTGCATTAACAAATACTACATGTATAATGATTACCATAGGACCTATTTAATAATTAAAAAGCTTTGCAGAATGACTTCTCAATTACGATGCATTTTTGACAAAGTTAGCATAATATACTCTTGAACAATGAAGTTTGATTGCAGTAATTTACCCAATCTCTTTTTCTCACTTACGTTATCACCTGGTGGATCATCATAGGCACTAGCTTGAATAGAATAAGCTATAAAACAGAGAATGGCACCTATCCACAGAAGTAATGAGAAACCTCCAAATAAAAGCTTGCAGAACTTGATCCACTCAGGGGTAGTAGGAGGTGGGGTCAGTGCATTTGGACCATCTCTCTCTAGGATTTCTTTGGCTCGTTGCGATGTTAATCCCTATATAAACACGATATTTTACTAAGAGGTAGAAGTAAACAACACAACAAAATACTTAACTTACAAGTACAACAAAAAAAGACTGTTGACTCAGTAGACATGGATGTTAAAAAAAAAAATTTGGGAAGTGTATCGCTTAATTCATCTGTTATCTGAAATATCTCGTCAATCAGATTGGATGAACATATTTCATGCACACATTTTATGTTTAATTCTGTATCTTTAACTATTGCAAGCTGTTGGATATCCACATAATAAATCCTACCATAGTGGGATCAGTGCCTAGCCTGGCGTATAATTCTTCAATAGGGATCTTATGCTCATCCATTTCCAACTCTTGTTTGAGTTCATCAAGATTTTCCTTTTTTGACTTCTTCTTCTTCCCCTTTTTGGGATCTTCTCCCCCTGGAGTGACAGCATAGCGGTAGCTGTCAGCCCGTGGGTTCTGTTTCAAAGATACAAAATATACGCATTAACATCCTCACATTGAAATATTAAATTAAAAAAATTTCCAAATATTTTCTTTTTCTAAAGCACTAACCTAGTCTAGCAATAGGATTGTAACATAAAAAGACAACTTCCAAAGTTATTGCAGCATGAAATACAGTTATGTCACTTCTCATGCAATTCAACATGAACTTTGCATTTATCTCCAAACACCTGTCAACTCTTGCAGTTTTACATGTGTTTGTTCTCATTTTCCTGTTCATAGTATGTTATTATGTTCATCATATTTGTACTTCTATACCTCATAAGAGACCTTGAGTGAAATAAATGTTTCAAAAATTTTAAAGATCCATAAACCAAATATTTGCTTAAAATGCTGATAATTCCAGATAGTAAAAAAAGAATAATTATATAAAACTATCAATCATACTAGATCAAATTCTCATTCAATTGCAATACCTCTTTCTTTGGTGGGAAAGTCAACAATTTTAAAAAGCAAAGCATTTTAGCTATTAATGCTGCATATGATTAACTTGATTTTCCATTTTTCATATTAATAAGTGTTTTTATTTTAACATATTTTTTTTTTATTTGAACAAATCATTTAAGTGTAAAATTTTATTAATGTACATCCAAAAAAACCCCACTCCCTTCTACCTTCAACAAAGAACAAATTCTGCAGTTTTTATTATTAAAACACTTCTTCTTTCATTTGTTAAATATAACAATGGAGGCTTAGTAAACTTTGACATTCCACAGAACAAAGAATCCCTGCTGCTACTGTCAGACAGTCTTATTATACAAGCCTGATGTGTATTTGTGATTTATATCAAAGCCATTTATATTTCAGGTCTTTTCTAATATAAAAATTTTCAATATCTTGCATGCTTTATTGTACCCATTTTTGCAGAAAATTACATTATACTTAGTTACTAACTGCTTTAAGCAAAAGATGCTGTTGGTCAACATTGTGGAGTTATATAACATGACACAATGACCCCCTACAGGTGTTTTCTTAACAAGTACAAGAACAAAGTTTTATAGATTAGGCCAGTAGAGCAAGAAAAAAGGTAACATTATATAATCTCATATCACGAGATAAAATAAAGTGTTCTCAGTGTTGATTTACCTGCAGACCTTTGAAAAAGCTTTGTCTGGGGTATTAGTGTTATAACCTTTTCTAGACAATAAAATAGCCATAAAGAGTAAGGGGGACAGGACAGTAAAAACCTTGTGTTGAGTATAAAATACTAAGGCCTAAAAAAAAGTAGATATGGTTCCACATAAAAGTGTCAGAATAAATTCACAGCTATTTCGGTACAGTTGGGCTTTTTATTTTGAAGGGGAAAATGGTAACAATTGACTTAGTTAACAAGAACAATAGTGCCAGTAAATTTAGGCCATATAAAATTAATCTTTAGATTCTCATCCCCGCCCGCCCCTCTCAAAATGTCCCGCCCCGATGTTTTTTATTTTGATTTTTGGGTATTTTCATGTATTTTTATTCAGTAAGAATTTTGGTAAAAGTTTAAGAGTTATATCCCGTCTGTATTAAAAGTGGTATTTATAGCAAAAACGCCATGTGAAAAATGGAGAAAAATCGGCAATAAAAGCAGTTTAAATATGTAAGGAAAAGATAATTTGTCAGTATAGAGAAGGCAGAGAAGAAAAAATAGCATAAACACGTATAGATACCATCACTGGCAGGATCAAGTATGTAGAGAGATTGTAACTAAGTAAAAATAAAAAAGTCATATATAATTTGTGTGACAAAATTTTTTGCCTATTTTTCAGTAGAATTATTAGAACATTTATATAGATTTTGCAAAATAAGAAGTCACGCATACACAACTTATTGGTATTCCCACCTCATTTTGTTCAGAGTGTGCCGTATAATGTGTACTTGATAATTTGTTAATTAACACTTTTATTTTTTAATATTTAAAAGAATACCTATTCATATTTGCATTAAGGTAATAAAAAAATGTGTACGGGGCGTCCATTGTTTTGTTGATACTTAGGCCTATACATATAAAGTAACAATTATAAAAAATAAAAAATAAAATCCGCCCACCCGCCCCAATTTTTTTGCAAATTAGGATGAGAATCTAAAGATTAATTTTACCTGGCCTTATTTAAAAAAGAGATAAAAACATAACATTACATTTTTTTGCATTCTAAAATAACTTATTTTATATGAAACAATTTTCTGAGGTATTTATTTGCATAAATTATTAACACTTTACATTTGACAAGCCATTACATAACTTATTTTAATGAAACAAGGATTGCATTCTTGTACATAAGTTATACAAAAGACAATATATATCACCAGCTGACAGCTTGTCCTGTGTTTGCTGAAGCGTAAACTTCAGCGGTGAAATGACCTCTAAATCATCATGACCTTTTCTCTTTTCACGTGCAGGAAATGAGACAATACAGTAAAATTTACAACAGAATTCATAACTATCTCCGCAAAATATAACTAATAAAAACATTCATATTACTCTAAAATTGCATTTTGTTATAAATGTACAGTACACATGCATAAAAATAAATGCTTTACGACAACAGGGTCTTATGAATATTTATGAGTACACCCTGGCAGGAATATTGTCTCTAAATAACCAGGATATACAAAATATTCTTGTAGAACATATCAATATATTCAAAATGAACATGTCCCATCTTTTTAAATGGTTCAGCATCAAAATTAAATCCCACTAAGATGTCGATTCAAGAAAAAAATAAGTACCAACAGCGTAAATCACCTTATTAAGCAACATCTTTTGAGTTTTCAAAATAATTTAAGGATAATTTATCCTGTATCCACTTTCAGCAAATGCACACACTTATTCAAAAGCTGTAACATAATATTAAAATAACAAAATCGTTTGTATTGCACTGAAAAAAGCATATTTTCTCACCTGTTGTTGCGATTTCACCTTGGTCGACGCCATCTCAGCCCAGGCGGTCACTGGAAGGAACTCTGACGAAGCACACAGCCAATGAAATACTATTATATCGTGACGTCACAAAAATTTCGCAACAAAATCTGCAGTGTTTTTGATGGTCAGAACCTTATTACTACTTGCTCAATAATACTATGATCATATATTCGAACACATACACACTTTCAAGAAGGAATTAGGAAATATTTTCAATTTTACACGGGCACATTTCGAAATAATTTGATCACGTGATCAACGCTATTATTTCATTAAGCTGTACCTGGATTAGTCGTACAATCCCCACTTTTCACCGATAAAGAAAGGCACCGTGAAAACATGGATAGGACTAACATTTTATATCATAAATTAAGAATTAATATAATTTTTTTATTTTTTAGCTGCTCCACCCCCAGATGTTATCGTAATGATGTATTTGTACTATTTAACCAGGGACGGTTCCTAGTTACACCAAGGTTGATATTACCAATAAAAGTTCCTTTCCAACAAAGTTCTTCATAACTAATTTTGGAAATAAAGAATTTCAATGATTCTATATATATATACACAAATACTAGGACTTTACAAAAATATCAAGTGGCAATGCAGACCTATATTTGACAATTTTCAATGCATTTAATTTTTCTAAAGAATGATAATTTCTAAGTGAATATTTTAAAATTGTATGAGTAATGAACAAAAGTATTTTTTTTTTGGTTACTTTTTCTAATTCCAATAAAGTCTGAAAGAAAATATAAACAGTGATTTGCTCGTTGACTTTCACAGATTAAAAAAAAAATTATCAAACGATTAATTGATTTAGTGTGGTTTAAATGGTTCATGTCCAAAATTGTTTAAGACCCGTAAACATAAAAGTTTTGATAATACCAATTGTGTTTTAGGGGAAATAAACGAAAGTTTGATCCATCACCTGGTTATAAGACGCTTGTAGACGTGTACGGTAAATTAACTAAACATAAAAGTATATGCTTCGAATAAACCTAATAATTGATTTAATCTATTCAATATAACAAAGGCAATACATGTGAATTATGCATATCATAAATATATAATTTATAATCATCTCAAAAAATGAATGAATTTGATCTTTTAATTTAAAGTTAACATTGGAAAAAATTGACGTTATACATGTATACTACATTTAAACCATTAGATAAATGTATGTACTGTTCTATAGAAACGTACTTATTAAATATGCCAAGTCAATAACTTTATTTTTTATCAGGAGAGGGAGGAGGATATATTAAATATATTTATATAGTGAAAGTATGTTCAAGAGTTGCAAGGTGCCTTTATAGCAGCCTGGTTCGGTAAGAGTAAAAAAGTATAGAGGCTTACTTTTATCAATGCAGTGAATCAACACTATCATTGTGTATACTAATTAATATGTCAGCGGGTATCTTCCATCTTTAATAAACATGTAGTAATAAGTAATGCAAAAAGAAAAGAACGAAATATTGAGGTACCCTTTGGTTAACCAATGGGAGAACTAACTTACATGTAATTCAAATTATCCCATGATTAACCAATGAAAAAACTTGATTTTTTTTCTTGTACTCGTCAAGTAAAGAACTATGCGTGTCAGTGCGTATTGTGCAATTAGAAATATAATCTAAGTTTATAATACATCAAATGGATAGAATAAAGAATGTTGACTTGGCAGATAATCCGATAGAGTCTTACGGTCCTTTGAAGAAGACAACCTGTGTTCATGGTTAATTGTTTTGACCGATCAGTATTGTATTTTATATTCACAGTACATGAACCCGATTATAATTAAAAAGAGCCACACTTTGTACGATTTGTATATCGTTTCTATCCAATTATTGATGCAGTGCAGATGAACGTAATGTATTCTAGAGGCGGATCCAGAAGGGGTGGTGGAAGGGTAAATCTTCACTCTTCATCTCTTATGTTTTTCAGAGATATTAAATTCAGAAGACGGATCGCATGCACACTGGGAAGCCAGTGGATTCTTCATATGTATTACACGGCTTGTCCATAGAAGGGTCGAAACACCACCATCCCATCCCTCCCACGGTGAAAAGTTTTTCGTGTTTAGAAACTTTTTTTGTTTCAGTGACGTGTTTACAGCTTAGTGACAGGTTTACAGCTTATGAAGCTATTCCATGTAGGAAAACTGCTATTTATTTATTTATTTATTTATTTATCAATAATGAGTGAGTAACCGCCTGTAAAAAAAGGTCCGAATCAATTATCAATTCCTGATAATTAAATATATGAATTTTCAGTTTCCTATCACTAAAAAGAACCCTCACTTTCTAATGAAACACACCTAGCGTTTAAAGAAATATACCCGTATCCCCCTCCCTCCGTTATCTGTCGTCATGCGTCGTGTTTCGATCGTAAACTTTTGAAATTTTTCAGCCTCTTGAACCACTTTCAGCCTTTGGTTGAGGAAGGGGATGCAAAATTTGTAAATTTCTTGTCTCTCCGCACTCGGTTTTGGCCAAAACCATAAAAAATAGTGCTGTGTTTAAAATACTCGTCTTATTAGCAGATAAATCGTGATAAAATTGTGAAAAGCAGGATCCCTCTACCAGAATTATGAAAATAATGGATTCTAGAGTTATTGAAACTGCATGAAAATGGATAAATATACTTTCAAAAACTCTCTCCTGTGTAAATTTATTCTCTCTTGAGAAGTTGATGGCTCGTTTTCAATATTTTAATGTATATTAAAACCAGAATCAACTTCTCAGTGAAGAATACTGTAAATTGAGCAGACAAACAAAGTACATGGTTATCATGAGCAACATTGACTCTTCCAAAAACTGTGAAATGTGGTCCCGGAATGGGTTATCCCGATTCATGGTATACGATATACACTGTAGTAGTTAGAGGGATATTGCTTATGTAATGAAAATGATTTACATTAAACTTCGACAACCAAGGTTAACATATCTCTGCATCACAGGTATACTTGTGGACAGGACCCCCCCCCCTTGATATTCAACCCCAGGGCTTGTTGGACATTTTTTCACAATGACATTTATTACACTAAGCCCCAGGGTTGAATATCGGGGGGGGGGGGTGTCCTGTACCTGTTGTCTGCATGGTATTCGAGATATCACACGTAGTTTGAAATAACTAACGTCAAATGTAGCAATTGGAAGAAACTTAAGGACACCTCTTCCAAAATTAGAACTCCACTGCCCCTGGGTCATATGTTCTGGTGTATGGACAGGGCTCGGTAGGTAAAAATAGTGTAAAAGGCATATATTCTCTAAATATACCTTTACTCTCTGTCCACACTTGTTAAAAACAAACTAACTGCTTGATTATGATATTAAAGGAAGGATGCATCTTCAAATTTTATAAATTCATAGTCCCTAGGCTTGGAGTTCTGGTGTTGGGGGAGAGACTCTGTTGAATATAATGTAGTGAAAATGAATAATTCTTTGAAAATCCTGTCTCTCTCCTGATATTTAGAAAATATACTGAATGTATTGTTATGATGAATAGGAGTGTTTTCCGAAATTGTGAATTCCTTACTCCTTGGCCCTTGGGTCACACAAATCATTGAGCAGAATTAAGACGCTGTTTATGGAGATAAAAGAATATACAGTGTAAGGATAAGGATGCCATATATCAAATACCTCTCTTCTGCTTTAAACTTTAGTTGATTCCAGTATTATACTTGGAGGTGGGGTGGATGGGGTGGGGTGGGGGATAATACAAATGGTCCTTTTATTCAGTTAAAACATACTAGTATTTCTGTTTTTTACATTTCTGTGACTTCTGGCTATATAGAGGAACTTTTGACAAACATACCAAAAATGACTTTCTCTGCTTTATATGATAGCTAAAAATCGTCTGTATATATGTAATTTGAATCTAGCAGATTTAATATAAAAATGTCTAAGAAAGGGAAAAATTCTTTAAATACTAGTACACAAATGGATGACTGAATCAATATTGATTTGATACACCTCGTCTACACTATGTCAATATATATATTTAAAACTCGTCCCCCAAAACTCCTGTTGAAAGACAAAGTATACTTCAATGTTAATGAAAACGCACCGAGTTACATTAAAAAATTCGGTATGCACAAGTTCTGTTAATATTTTCAAGGCGTTTTACGTTTGTATTATTAATTGTGTATTTTTGCATAATTATTCTGTCGAGAGATTTCACTTGGCAACCTTTACTGGCTTCAGCTAAAACATTATACATTTATAAAATTGACGTAAATTGGCTGATAATTAAAAAAAAAAGTTCTATTAAATCTTTGAATCTTTACATTTTTTCTCATTTTAACGAACTTTAGAAGATATGCGACGACTTATCGTTTGTTTAGGATTTGGTAGACGCCCAATCACATTTTAACAACATTTCGTAAGGTTTTCACAAAAAATAAATTTTATGTAAGCACATCAATCCTTATATTCCTTTTCCCTCTCTTGAAAAATGGCAGGTAGGAAACAAGTGTTAACAAGACAACCTTGCTAGAGGACATCTTTACAGACACTGGTGACAGTTATACTGTTGATTTATACCGGCCGGCCGGCATATGCTCCAGAGTTTGGAGGAGAGAAAGGTATCATTTTTACAGGGTAAGGGTTGGTATATTGAGTAGTTACAAGAGACCCCACCCCCACCCACCTTATAACGACATTATATAGACACTCACAATCACGCACACGCAAAAGTATCTCAAATTTGAATTTGTCCTACATTCGTCCTTTTCTAAATCTAGAAAATTGCCAACCTCAAGTGTAATTTATGACGACCAGTAGAATATTTAGCCCCTGGCACACATTGTCGCTCTTGTCTACCTGTACTCAAACGTCTCACAATCACATTTACGACAGATGATTTCCCGTCAGACTAGATGGCTTCTTGAAATTTTGCTTGCGTCTACAGGTTCATGAAATTCTAAAAATAATCATAGATTCCAATTCATAAAAAAGATTCATTTTATACTCTATTATTAATTTAGGAAGCTGATATAAGACAGTATAACAGCCAGGTGACCCTTGTGATCGACCCACTAACCTTTTTCAATACACATCTACATACTATTGTAAACATCGGGGGCATTGGCTTCAGCGAAACCTTATAAATTCTTATACATGTATATCATTCATAAGCTCACGTCACATATGTCAGCTTGTCGCAGTCTCTCTCTCTCTCTTTCTCTCTCTCAAATATCAGGACAATCAACCAGGATGATAACGACGATAATAATCTGTATCTTATCCGATAAGCACTTTTAATAAATTTTAATCTACCGTCTAAGAACTTAAAATTGAATCTAAACTGTCTAACAACTTAAAATTGAATCTAAACTGTCTCACAACTTAAAATTGAATCTAAACTGTCTCACAACTTAAAATTGAATCTAAACTGTCAAACAACTTAAGATTGAATCTAAACTGTCTCACAACTTAAAATTGAATCTAAACTGTCTAACAATTTTAAATTGAATCTAAACTGTCTCACAACTTGAAATTGAATCTAAACTGTCTAACAATTTAAAGTTGAATCTCTGTCTAACAAATTAAAGTTGAATCTAAACTGTCTAACAACTTAGAGTTTAATCTTCTGTCTAACAATTTAAAATTGAATCTTCTGTATAACAAATTAAAGTTGAATCTTCTGTTTACCGACTTAAACTTGAATCTTCTGTCTAACAAATTAAAGTTGAATCTTCTGTTTACCGACTTCAAATTGAATCTTCTGTCTAACAACTTAAAGTTGAATCTTCTGTCTCATAACTTAAAGTTGAATCTTCTGTCTAACAACTTAAAACTGAATCTACTGTCTCACAACTTAAAGTTGAATCTACTGTCTAACAACTTAGAGTTGAATCTTCTGTCTAACAACTTAAAGTTGAATCCTCTGTCTTACAACTTAGAGTTGAATATTCTGTCTTACAACTTAAAGTTGAATCTTCTGTCTAACAACTTAAAGTTGAATCCTCTGTCTCACAACTTAAAGTTGAATCTTCTGTCTAACAACTTAAAGTTGAATCCTCTGTCTAACAACTACACCAGAAATATCACCTCAGTCTGCTCTAGCAATCTTTGTCAAAATTGCTTGCGTAAAAAAGTGATTGTACTATGAAGGAGCGGAGGTATCATTTTGTGAGCGATTGCAGTTATCACTGTGCCTCATTATGATTCGTTTAAACTGAAAAATTTCTGACAATAATCAAATCAGATTGGTTTTACCATTGGGAAGGCGGATCCTTCAGATGTGACGGTTTACCATTGTGACCAAAAGAGTCAAGGCTAAGGGACGACTATTAAATATTTTGAGGGGGGCAAAATTTTTCAAGCAAGATGATTTATTTTCATACCAGTCAATCGAGGACTGATTATTCTAAAATCGATCTCTTCAACACGATCAAGACAGAGTATTTATTTTGTTCTTTACCGAAAAGGGAGAGAAGGGGGGGGGGGGGCTACCAAGAACAGATTTTTTTTTTCTTGCCAGTTGAGGAGAGATTATTTATTTTTGAAAACTTTCGAGGACAGATTATTTATTTTCAAAATCGGCCAACCCTCTACCCCTCCCCTTTTCCACCTCAGAATCAAATGGTCGCCCCCTAAAGTAACTATAACATATGTAGATGAAAGTTACATAAACTTGCTTTTCAACAGCTGCAGATCTATAAATATAGAAGGAAAAAAACAATAATAATGGTGTTTTATAAAAACTAGTGAACGATTCTGACGTTGTGCAATGAATTTTGGTAAAAAAAATTATTTAGGTTATGTCCAGTAAATTAAAAAAAGCCTAAGACCACGGACCTATATTCAATCTAAGTACATGTATACTAGTATATAAAGGTCCCTACTAAGGCTTAGTATATCAAAGAGAAAAAAAAAACAAGAGGTGCATATAAAACACTGATGCCCCCTGTATGGCAGCTTATGTCGAAGGTTGAAATTTCTCTAATGAAAGTCAAACTACTAGGTCGAGGTCAATATGTCAAAATTGTTGGTATCCAAAGGAAGGTCTTGTCACAAGGAACCAGTGAAATGTGAAAGCTCTAGTACAAATTGTTCAAAAATTAGGTCAAGGTTAAAGTTTTTTAAACGTGGGTCTAACTTTAAGGCCAAAGTCAAAAGGTCACATATTTCTACACCCATTTAATTATAAAGGGTCCCGTTACAGCTAGTGAATAAACACGTGAAGTATGAATACCCTAGCACCAACTTTTTAAAAATTATGGCCAAACTTAAAGCTTGGAATTTTTTGGTAAAAGTGGGTCAAACTCCAAGGTCAAGGTCATGAGGTCATATTTGGTAACTGAAGAAAGGTCTCTGTCCCAATGAATTTTGATACACCTGTTAAAAATGAAAGCCATAGCTCTATCCACTCAAAAGTTATGAGCAGTGTTAAAATTTTTGCGGACAAACAGAAGACAGACGGACAAGACAGGACAGTATAACTATATAAGTTTTTTTTTTTTTAATTTCTTTATTGATTCACCAAACATGTTGGCATACAACCATGTTACATATAAAAGACAAACAATAAAATACATACATACATGCAAGTGTATGGATCAGTGAAGTCAACTATGCAGAGTATTACAACTTGAAGGTTAAACATAATCATTATGCAAGCAGTATAGTATGGACAGTGATGAGCTAATAAATGCATTAGATATATATATATTATGATTGCGCTTTAGTTTTGGAACGCAATACAGAACATTCATATAAAAATTCACATAGCCTTCTAGAATGAACTGCATTGTCAGGATTACAAAATACTTTACAATGATTTTCTTTCAATATGTTATCTTTTAAATTACAGATGTTCAGAAGACAGTACTTTTTTCGCAAATCTATATATAAGGGACAGTCATATATGAAATGTATTTCACTTTCTACAACAGTTTTACAATAGTGACAAAAACGCGATTCTTTTGGGATACAAGGCTTTGAATATCTGCCTACTTCAATTTCTAAAGGATGTGCCGAAATTCTCAGTTTTGTTAATTTAGAACGTATAGCTTTATTTATTGGATATTTTAAGTAGTCTTGTAATTCATAATATATAAATTATATACATACCCCCCCCCCCGAATCTTAGGGGGGGGGATAAAAAAAAAACAAAGGAAGTTTAATCAATATAAAAATGCACCAGTTGGGGTCAATTGTTGAAAAAAAAATTCGGGGAATCTCCTGTAATGGAATTGGACACCCTAAAAATGCACCACGTTAGTCCAAATTCCTTGAATACGCATGCTCGGCTTCACGGTCGTGCATTCTGGGAAAACTGTGAAAACTACTATAGATAGACCGTGCGATAACAATTTCTTTGTATCGTGTTGAAGCATTTTAAAAATAGCTATGTTTATTTATTGTGTAGCTTACACTTTAAAGATAACTAAATATTTGTAAAACTTCAAATTTCCCGGGTTTTTTTTTTCTGACGGAAAAGCCTGGAAAAGACAAGGGAGGTTTTTTTTTACGTCTAAGCACAACCAAAGATAGACTCTAATATTGGTAAATTCAACCAATTTTACAAATTCCAGAAACAAGAATTAATTTACACTAAAAATAACGAAATCCATCATTTATAATAAAAAAAAAATCTGATGTGTTTGGCTTTTAACCTAACATTTCTTGTTTCACATCTTCACATTCGGTTTCTTTATACAACATATACTTTGAGTTATTTTCTAATTTTTAACTCTCCTGTATTTTCTTTGCTACATTGCGAAGAAATTCTATTCTTAAACCAGTTCATCAATGCCTCAATCGGCATCTTCACCATATTATATAGAGTCTCCCCCCTCTCTAGTAAAGGCCATAAATGTTACGTTAAATAATTTCTTGTTTTACATGTACCAATGTGTCTATTACACTTCACAAAACAATTATAACTTTATCACTCTCCAGCCTCGATAAAAATTAAAGAATTCAGAAAAATAAATCACTTGATCACGGATCCTCCTTTCTGTGTTTAAAAAATGCAAGCAAAAGATTTTTTAATTTAATTTAGGCTATCGGAGTTTTCCCGGAAATACTCGGCAATCCTCGGTCGAGGAGTCTAATTACAGGGTTCCGCAAGACGACTCTATCAAGTGTCATTACGATCATGGCTTTGATGATAGTATTCGCCAAACATCCATTCACATGATATTGTAGTTTTGAAGGTAATATTGAAAACTCATTATTTTCATTCTTTCAGTAGAAGACCGTTGACTTTATAGGGAACATAACTTGTTTAACTTGTTAGGCTAATTATTTTCGTTGAAGGTGTACTTTCGGTTTGAAAACTTTCAACAACTGTTCAGTTTCAAGTAAGTTACATTTAGGCCAAGGTATTTAATGTGACATTCATTTCATTGACATGATTTAATAAGCTTATATTTCAGTTGAAACGTACCACTTTTAGCTTATCATGATTTGGGTGTTCACACCTTTGAGACACTGTCTAACGAGTAAATTGATTTTATTTTTATAGTATCATTTCCTACTTAACTATACAGTTGACAGACCTAAAAATGCTTTCTCTACATTAACTTTTTATATGATTTGGATTATTTTCTATCAACTAGACAACTCAAGTCAGTGTAAATACTACTTGAACATTGGTTTTTACAGAAATTAAAGTATTTAATGATGACGTCATTCAGATAATTATTTAAATTTACTATTGTTGAGATATTTTTCCAGGTAAAAGTACTGCATTTATTTAATGTGATAACTTTATTTACTTGTAGAGATAACTTTTCCTGGTGAATAGGGTAAAAAAATCATTTATCAGTCAAACTGATATCATAATGGTTTCATATTGTCTTTTGAAGGGCTATGATAAACACATGATGAAAAGGTTATCTCTATAACACTGCCATCGTTCATTGATAGTGATTTATTTTTAGATCATACAGTTATAGACAGGACATATATTATAAATATGTAACATAACTTTTCCCTTCAATGGTAAAAATCATCTTTATAAGAGCACTGCTTACTGCTTGCTCGATATTTTTACCAATGTTTCTTTTCCAACTTATTTGATTTAAGGATTTTCTTCCAAACATTTCCAGACCTTCATTTGATTATAACTCTTTGGTAATGAATTCCTTAAAATAATGGAGTGTCTATTTTTTTTGACTTCATCTCCATGATTACATGAGAAATTTTATAATTGATAAGAAATGTTGTACTCATGTAAATACTCATAAATTTGAGATTCTCTTGTTTACCACAGATGTTGATTCATTAAAAGTCTTCCTTTGATGTCAGTTTTCATTGCTACCCTTCAAAAACTAGACCAAATGTCCTAAAAATAATTGGGCAGCTTGTTTTATATTTCAAAAGGCTTAAAATTTTGAAACATGAGTGCTTTTAAATATAGTGTTTTTTCTGTGATATTGTGTTATTACACTGCTGTCACTTGTTAGAATTATTTAGTGAATGTACTCACTATGTCAGCTTATGTATGCTCAGTCTGACATTTTGTCGTTAAAAAAAAAACGATTCTCTAAAAATGGATTTTAGATTTTAGTTTTTTTTATATAACGGTGATAATGTATCAGGTACACCTGCCGGTTGATTGGAGCATTAATAATGACGACCGAAAAGAAGGAACAGACACAGAAGCAACAACAAGTGTATGGAGGATCAAATTATTACTTTGATAAAAGTGATAATTTTGGATGTTGTCTAATAATTAACATTAACAAAACCATGAAGACTATAGGAGGGGGGCATTCAATACAGAAATTTCGAACTGGTGCTGAGGCAGAGGTGAAGAAACTACAAGATGTTTTTGGAAGGTCAACTTATAAAACAGACGTGATCAAAGAGGAAGCTGGAAAAAATTGTGTGCTTTCTGAAATAGACAAATACATTGAAGGAAACTGTGCTAAGGGAGGTAATTGCCTTTATTTAAAAAACTGTAATGTTCAGATACAGTTAACACATTTATAACAAAAGTACCAAAGATGGATGTTTCCTACATCATAAAAATAATTCTTTATATATATGTGACCATGATTAAACTTTTTGGTGCAAAAATTTTGAGCCATGCAATGACCAAATTAGCAGTGGTGATGTACTTTTAAATGTACATGCTAAATTGCTTCTGATTATGGGTCGGCCATACAATTTATGGATTCTTCATATGTCAATAAACAGCTTAAATTTTAGAGCAGATTCATTTGACTAAGTTGTAAAGTTGTGTATGAATAAGTAATTACTGGTTGTTAAAAGGGGTATATAAAATTAATAATTATATTAAATAATGGATTTTAACCAAAAAAACTTTTAAGATTTTAAACTTATTGAATCATATACAAAATTTCCTTAAGTATTTTCTTCTTATTTTTTTTAAGGATGTTTAAAAACCTGCAGGGTCTTTGTTTGTGTTGTATTAGCATTTGGAGGACCAGGATTTTTCTATGACAGCAAAGGCAACAGAATTTCTTTGTCCACAGTAGTAAAAAAATTCCAGTCTTGTACAGCCCTTCAGCTTAAGCCAAAGTTGTTTGTTGTTCAGGTAGATAACTAAATTCACATTGATTTAAAGCTGATATCGATGTGAAAGCCTTAAGGAGGCAATGGATTGAAAATCTATCTCATCCCTTTAAAAGAAGATACTCTTTCTATTAATTAAGGAATGTTTTTAAGTTTTTTGTGAGTTATTGGTATGGAATCACACAGAATTGCACGTATTACTAGGCAAATTTCTTGAAGCGCTAGGGCGCTTCATGAAAAACATGCCTATGTGCAAGTCTGTGTAATTCACACATCAATAATTCACACTAAACTTAAAAAATTTCCTTATACTTACATTTTACATTTTTGGAAGCACCCAAAATATACTCAATATTTGAATTTCTCGCTGCCCTATATCGTTATACTTTTACTTATGTCGCTGTAACCTTATTGTGACTACATTAATGCACATTTCTCCGTGTATATTTCTAGGCGTGAGTATACACAAAAATGGTATTCAAATCAATTTCACAGTTGGCTTAGTAGAAAAAACACAGTGAATGTAAATATTGTGAAATATTTTCCTTTGATATAATCCACAACAATATTTAAAAAAAGAGAGAGATATTATTTTGAGCATTTTTGAAAGCTGATTAAAATACACATTATTACATATGTTAGTGTTGCAGTGTTTAAATTGTATTGTTTTATTTTGAATCTACTTTTTAGTCATGTGACATTGATTTACAACCCGTGGGGAAGCATTTATTTGGTGATGTAGAGGGCAGATCTGTTCAACCTTTGGCTCGATGGCCTCGAGAAGCAGATGTTCTCATCTACCAGTCCAACATTTCAGGTTTGTTAATCTCAAGGCACAGCCTTGTGCTCTATAAAGGCTGCAGCATGATAACCAAACTGATTATCGTAAATCTGGAAATTTTTACGTCGATTTTATTTTGCGAATTCGGGTCAAAATGCTGTTGATTAATTTTTACGTTTCAAAATTTTGCGAATTTTGCGAATGACCACTGCTTTGTTTACATTTTCTTATTGGTAATTTATTTTTAAGAAAAATATTTTTGCGAATGCAGTAAACTCGCAAATTTGCTAAAAATTTATCTACAGCAAAAATTTCCAGATTTACGGTATTGTAATGTGCAATTGCAGTTTTAAAAGCTGAAAATATACAAGTCTTTATAGATCTTTCTTTATTATAGGAGAATATGACTGGCATCCAGATCTGATAAAACACTCTTCACTGAAGAACCAGGGCACACCAGCTCTCCGGTCCTGCACTTTCATCAAATATTTCTGTAATTCTATGAAAAGTTTACAGGATGAGATAGAGAAAGAAGAGGAAAAGGAGAAAGATCCCAGGAAAGCAGAGACAGCTACCATTGAGAATATGCAAAATTACATTGAATTTAATGAGGTGATTTTGAGAACAAATATAAAGTTGGGAAAATTCATAAAAGATCGCATGAACTGGGATCTGGTGGATGGAACATGGAGCACTGTTCCTAGATTACCTGTTGTAACAGACCAGCTCGCCAAACTGCTGTTTCTACCTTGTTTGTATCGATGAAGTTCATCAGGGATTCAAGTGGCATCATCATATACAATATTTCATTGCATTATCAAGACTCATATCCCAAAATGAAACAAAATTTTACTCTCAAAAAATGTTTATGAATAGATAAAACAAAAAATTTAGAGAAATGATATGTAACCAAAAAAAAAAATATTAGTAATCAAATGTACAATTTGTTAATAATTTATTTCATATATCAGTTTACTTACCTGTAGTGAATAAAAATGTTTTGAAAAAAAAAATCACAGAAACTGTGTTTTAACTCTGATATCTGAGAAGGAGGTAATGGGAGTAAGGAGTATGCTTGTTTGTCTGCCTGTTCTGCTGTAAGATCTCCAGATCCCAAACTTCTCAGAATGTCTTGTATACTCAGTACATGTATTTTCAATGAACACTGGCATTTAAGTTTGGGGGTTTGATTCAATGGAATTGAATTTTTTGAACTGAAATTTTATCATCTCCAGGTCAAAAGATTTATAATAATCACAAAGCATGTATGTGACCCTTCTATTCTAAAAAAAAAATAATGTTTCAATCTCATGAGAGCTTCAGCTCTCAAGTTAGTTTTTCTGGTTATCTGGTGTCCATATAACTGTAAACTTTTCACATTTTCAACTTCTTCTCAAAATCCACTGGGTCAATTTTATTCAGAATTAGTACAAAGCAGCTGTGGATAGAAAGGCTTTTAAGCAAAGAATGAATTCTCCTTCCAAGCGGGAGATAAGAAAAGGCAATAATAGTGTGGGATCATAAAAAAAAACTCTTGGGCCAGAAAAGTGAAACTTAGTGGAAGATTTTGGGGATAGTATAGATGATGGCCCTTAGCTGATATTTGAAAGATTCTCCACAAGAGATCAAAGTTTTACATTGTAATATACCTGGTGGAGGGTAGGTCTTCTCAACAGCCATGTGAGCAATAATAGGGTGGGATCATAAAAAAAACTCTTTGGCCAGAAAAGTGAAACTTAGTGAAAGATTTTGGGGATAGTATAGATGATGGCCCCTAGCTGATATTTGAAAGATTCTCCACAAGAGATCAAAGTTTTACATTGTAATATACCTGGTGGAGGGTAGGTCTTCTCAAATGCCATTTGAGCAGAAATGATAAAACATATGATGTCAGAGATAGCAAGGATTCAGAATTGTTCAACTATGGCCTCTGGCTTTATGGGACAATAATAGGAGTTTTACATTGAAATATACTGTGAAATCACTATTTTTAAAAAGGTTCATTTTTTTCCAATAAAAAGTAAAATTCCAACTTTTAGCAACTTGGAGTCAAATCTTTAAACCAGCACAGAATTATGTGATTCTATGTTTTAAAAAAATCTTTTTTCTCAAGAATCACACTGTATTTAAGGAAAGATGATACAGTCATATGGTAAAGATTCCTAAGATGCCGTGTAGACTCTAATTTGTTCAAATCATGGCCTATGGAATAGATTGGGGATCAAACCTTACATTGAAATATTTGATTTAAAAAAAATCAGCCACTGTGCCAGAAAAATGAAATTTAAAAGCTATTTGAGATAGTGTAAATTCAAAATGTAAATGCTATGCATTTCAAGCCATGTATGCTTGTTTGTCAATTAATAGGATGTAAATGCTAAATAGAAATATATGGAGCTAGATAACAAAAATTCAAGCTCAAAAGTCCTTCAGCAAATACAAACTAGGGGCAGAGCAAACACAGACCTCTTAAACATCAGAGGTGGGACCAGGTGCCATGGAAGAGTGATCATCCCCTGCCGACGGGTCACACCCGCCACATGCTCCTTTTCTATCAGAAAATAACAACAAAATCTGCAAACAATTCAGTGTGTAAATAATGGTCTTGCTAACAATTAGTATTAAAAATGTCGGCATTTGACAGGTTTACAGCAGATCTAGATGCATCATCCTCTCACCTTTAATTTTCATGCTGATTGACTTATTGATATGCATCATTCCCATATGATTTCTCTTTTTAAATGTGTTAAAGAATATGCAATAGTATATGATAGAGAAGTCCTGTATATCTTCTGATTAGTTGGAGTGATGTCATAACCTTATTGTCTCACTTATTTATCTGGTTATATCTCATTGCTTTTCAAAATGGATCAATGTATAGTGATATATACTCTATATGCTGAAGAAACAATCTTTAAAGACACTCGGTAATCTTTTTGATTTTGACAGTTTTAAAATAATAAAAGTAGCTAGGCATTTGAGAAAAACAAGTCACTAATAAACACATTATTATTATACATTTTATTTCAACATGTACTTATTATAAGTATAATTAATAATTGTATAATATCTCTAATTATTATCAAACTATGAATTGCTTTTACAGGTTGTGGGAACAAATGAATCTGTTAGACAATGCTCTCCCAGTATGTGATATAGAAAGATTGAAAACAAAAAAAATGACAACACAGCAAAACAGCCCTGGACTTTTACAGAGAATCAGTGGCTTCAGTAGGGAGAAGATAATCAACACAATTAAACAAAGGGAAACAAGCCACATCCAAGTCCTGAAAGAATTCAACCTAGTGAGGAAAAACACTACAGTGGAGGAAATCATAGACTCCGTGCTGGGTGTTGGATTAGAAGCAGAGGATCGAGAGAAAGTCACGACTGAATTTTTGTCTGTGTGTCTGTTTGTGTTAGAAATTGACAATCCATGGCTAGATGACCTTCTTGCACTTAGAAGTGGTAGTGGAGCAGAGGAAAAGTGGAATAATATAACTAAACAAAATGAAGTGGTACCATCTGAATATTATAAAGGGAAACCATATGAAATCTTCTCATGTAACTGCAAAAGGCCATCATGTAGAACATGTAAAGGTAATTGTTATTAATAGGTGTTGAAATCTTAAAGTTAGTTAAGTTCAGAGATTAAGTAAAAACCTTAATGCTATACACTTGGCGCTGGCATCAGCATTAGTATTAGTGCATGCTACAGTGTTGGAACTGCCAGTATTTGAAGCTGGTCCATTTCCAAGTAACTATAAGTCCTACCTGGACCACTCTTGCATACCGGGTAGATAATGCATCTAAGGATAGGACACTATCAGCTTTGGATGCTGGATCTAACTAGATTATGGACCAGAGGCCTATTTAACAGAGCAAGCGTTCTAGAACATTTCTGTTGGGGGTATAAGGAACTTTGGCGAGTGCTCATGAACGTTCGACAAAATATCACTTTATTTTGATAGATAAATTACAGCTTGTATTTTTCCATTGAATATATTTCTCCTGTATACAGGACAGCTATCAAATGTAAAAATGCCATATATGATTAATGTTCCACAAGGTAAAGCCATACAAGACATTTTAATACTGCTTGAAACAAATTTAAGGCATTTACAGTAAAACTTGTTTAGTACGAATATGGGTATAGCGAATTCATGGATATAGTGAAGTCTTTCTGGGTCATCGACAAAATTCTTAACAAATCTTTGTAAAATTTTACGGTTTTAACGAACTCTCATATAACGAATTTACAGATATAGCCAACTGATTTTGAGTCCCGTTGAGGTTAAATATAATGAAATTTACATCTTAACAAACTTTCAAAGATCTCAAAATTTGATAAATTGAACTGACTTTATTTTATTTCAGCATTTGTATATAAAATTCAATTCATAATAAAACCTTGGTTATCGAAGGTATGTTTTGTAATATTTGCTTCCTTAACATATTTTTGGTTGTAATACTTGAATGAAAACATGCATATAGTGAATTATCTATATCTGATTATACGAATTCGTTATACGGACATAATGAATACAGATATAGCAAATTATTAAATTCACAGGTCCCCAGGACTTCATTAACCGAGTTTTACTGTATAATGAATTCTCGTTTCAAGCTTTTGTTTTGATTTGTCTTTTGTAAATAGAGAGAGACTCACAGCAGAGGAAACTAAAGAACCAAATAAGGGATTATTTTCCTCATAAAGGGGAACAACCAAAACCAGAGATACTGCAGGAACTTCAAGAATATATTCATAAGCTACAGAAACAGGTAACACTGCTTTGTTGATACATTTATCTTGAATTGCACATTTAAAGGAAAGATCTTATTTATGTACTAGTTTGAACAATTTTATTAGTAAAAAAAATACATATAGTCATATATATATATCAATATTCAGAGCAACCAATGTTGGGAAAATGAAATAGAATTTGGAGGACTCTGCAAGAAGAAAGATTGGAAAGTTCCTTATGTTTTTGGAACAGAAAAAATGAAACAAGTTCTCCTCAGACATTTAAATTCTTTTCAAGGTTCAATTTCAGAAAGTAAAGGTAAAATTTAAAACTTTTCATTTTGTCACCATTTTCATAAAATATTGCATTTATAATATCATAAGCAAGGTAGGAAATTTAGCATATCTTTGCCACATATTTTTTTGCTAATGTGCATGAAGAAGATGGAAAACAGGCTTGTCAAAATAATAAATGTGTGATCTTCAGTTTATCAGTTATATTGTGCTTCTACTATACTGAAAAGGTTTTGATTCATATTTTTAGTATTTGCCTGTGTATTTTTTTAACAGATTGTTTTGACACTAGTTTGGAACAGATAAGACAAAAATTACTTGGGGTATGTGTATTATGTTATTTAACTTCAGTTTTAGAATTTCCTTCATTACAATTTCTTTGCTTGTCAAAATAATTAAAAAATCCAGTGTAGAGGATAATTATAAAGATACTGAAAATCATTCTAGCAATACCAAGGGTCCTGAGTCAACACATTGCTGGGATTCCAAAACCATCTTTTGGAAAATTAGCAATCTTTAAAAATCTTCTTCTTTACTCCTGGACATCAAGCAGTCAAACTGTTAGATGCACATGTAAATTTATTTTGACCATTTCGACCAGAGTCCTCTACCAAAATTGTGAAAATCATGGCCCCAGGATCAGGGGTTCTAGTGCTAGGGCGGGGGTATATAGATTATATAGTGAAAATGCATTATTTCTTTAAAATCTTCTTCTTCTGCTCACTGGGTATGAAATAAACTAACTAAGTGACATAGTTATTGATGGAATATTTTTTAAGGTAATTAATTTTAGCAAAATTGTGAATTTTATGGCCCCAGGGTCAGGGGTTCTAGTGCATAGGGCAGGGATGTTCTATTTGGGTTATATAGGTTTGAAAATGCATTATTTCTTTAAAAATTTTTCTCTGCTCCTGGGTATTGTTTGGAAATAAACTAACTAAAAAAAAATTTTGATGAGGAAGAATACCTTTTGCAAAATATGATGAGGGGGGTGAATTTCAATACCCTTGGGTCAGAGGTACATGTGAAACCATATGTCATGGCTTCCCAGGGTTATGGGGTTCGATTTTAGTTCACGGAATTTATGGACTATTAAATTAATTATTAAAAAATATTCCAGAATATATGTAAATGAACTTAATTTCTTCTCTGCTGTCTGGGTGTTAAAAAGTTATATATATAATGATAGCAATCTAATGCCTCATCCAAAATTGTGAATTTTATGCAACGTCATCCATAATGTATAAATCTTCCGGGATTCTGGTGTTTATAGTGGGGTCATCCGCATTTTTGACTTATAGAGAAAATTTTTGCATAATTGTTTGAAACGATCTTCGTCTCTGCTCCTGGGTATTCAAAATAAATTTACATGTATATAGTGTTGGTGATAAGTTTGTTCAATAAAGTTTCTTTTTGATCCAAAATTGTACCACGTTATCCACTCGTAAGAATCTTCCGCAATTTTAACCTTAGGGTGTTGGTCTCCAGCTTTAATTTTGTTTTGTATTATCTCCTAACCGATCACATAAATTAAGCCAACTTGTCACATGTGCATATGAGGTGTCAACTGAATCCTTTTTGATTACATTATCTAACAGTTTATGAAAGCTAGCTTAAATTTGATTGGTGCTTCTCAATGAAAGAAGCAAGCCCTAAAATTTCTAATGAAATATGCCTGGGGTCCATCGGCAATGTGTGGACTCAGGACCCATGGCATTGTGAGAAAAACTGAAAAGGGGAATAACTAATAATGACTTTGACGTCATTTGTAGCAAACTCAATTCCAACAATATTAAAAATCTTAATCTCTGATACCATTTATTAGAAAATATTTGACACATTTATAAGATCTCTATTTTGTTCTACTAAGATTAATGCGAGGTTCTACATACTGCAAGTATCACATTCTATAAGAGTACAAAATACATGTAGTAAAATTCAACGAGTTTGACAGAATCATTTGTTGACAAGAAAAAGCTGGGATACTCTATTTTTGAAATTGTAAAATCACATATTTTCCTGGGGTCAAATTTCCGTGGTTTGAGGAAAATCTCTTGGTTTGTGGGGATATGAATTCATGGATCAAGGATTAATGAGTACTTATATATGTAACATTTGACATTTCGTGGTGGACATGAATTCTTGGGTCTTGTCATACCTCGTAAACAACAAAAATTACCCCCCTCACAAAAATTTGTGATTTCACAGTATTTGGCCTTAGAATTTACTGGTAAGTTTTAATTTGGAGGGCTTTATCTGCTCATTTTGAGAAAAAATATAAAGTTTGATTTTAAAGTTATAATTTTTATTCACACGTTTTAGTTGGGATTTGAATTTTGCTGCATGAAAATATCTGGAAACCCATTACAAGTTGAGGAGAAAATAGGAATGCAAGATCAGGAAAACAAGATTCTGATGGATGTAAAGGGTATACAAAGTTTATTTTTTCCTCAAAGTGACAATTATATACTATTAATTTTGTCAAATTGAATGTAAATTTAAATAGACTTTAAAACATTTTTGTTAATGTAATCCTTTGTGCTTTTAGTACATTATATAGCATAAAAGGTTTGGATATTTAAAACCTGTACATTAAATCACCTGTAACCGTACATTAAGTTGACAAAACTCTTAATTCTTAACTTTATCAACTTAATGTACAATTAAAGGTAACTTAATGTACAGGTTTTAAATGTTGAAGACAATACATAAATAAAATAGGCAGTTAAATTTTTAATTTAATGCACAATCATACATAAATATCGAACAATTGTATATGAAATGTTCAACAGTATATCATCTTTGGAAATTACAAATCCAATGCAAAAAAGACACATGTGTAAATCCTGATGCATAATAATTTTAGAACATCCACATCCAGAAGTTTCTTTATTAAAAAACAAATGTCTCATCCTCTTCACAAAATTTGTAAATGAATGCTGGACGTGGAAGATCCATTACATGAATGCTTAAAATATATCCAACAGCAATTTAAATTTTAAAAGAAAAAGGCTTATTTCCAGTGTGTTAACCTCACTAGATGCACTGCAGGTGGGATCATTTTTGGGACAGAGATCACAAATTTTATCTTTTCATACACTTGTCATCATCTGAATCCTTCATATTTCCATGAATTATTCCATTTACTCTCTGCTGCTATTTATTGTTGGTTCAATTGTAGGATCAAACTGTAATAGATTTGTGGTCCGTTTTTTTCTGTTATAAACTGTTTTCTCAAACTTCATACAATTTCTTGTTGCTCTCAAAGAATGTTTCGTAACAGTGTCCTTAAATCCTGTATTGTTAAAAAAGATTTGCGATAGTTTTTGTCAAAACTTGGACACCAACTTCAGAATCTGCAAACCAACACAAGCTTCTGCTTGTGTTCCTACTGTAGATATTTCCACCCTTTGGCCCGGAAAATTACAAATCTTGATGTTTTTCTTTCTCCATAACTGATGACATCTTCACTCATGAAGCTTTTACATGGGAAGTGGTCAGAAATCAAGTGAGGTATCATTTAAATCTAAATTTACTTGGCACTGTCCATTAAGTTAAACAATTCAGCTATTGTTTTCACCCCCACTCTCTGGACAATCAAGTGTGTTACGTAATCATAGCAAATACATAACCATCACCTGGGACAGTTTATTAAGTTAACAATAGAGAAAATGTTTTAAGTGGATAAAGTCCTCAAACTGTCATTCTGTGAGAGAAAACTGAAAAGGGCCTCGAATAGTTCTTTCTCTCACAGAATGACTTTGACTTCATCCTTGTACATAATAGACTTTGGTTGGTGAAATCTTTAAACATATTTGTTTAATGTTCCAAGTCATCAAACCTGATTTGATCTATTAGTGGACACTGGTAATACTGCATTTACATATTCATTTTTAGCTCACCTGAGCTGAAAGCTCAAGTGAGCTTTTCTGATCACATTTTGCAAGTATCACATTCTGTCTAGCTGTACAAAATACATGTAGTAAACTTTTCAATTTTCGAGTTCTTCTCAGAATCATTTGTTGCCAATTTCAACCAAACTTTGCACAAAGTATCCTTGGGTGAAGGGGTTTCAGGTTTGTTCAAATGAAGGGCCACGCCCTCATTCAAGGGGAGTTAATTGGGAATTAATGAAAATTTGGTGGCATATTCAAAAAATCTTCTTCTCAAGAACCACTGTGCCAGGAAAGATGAAACTTCATGGAAACAAGGATTAATGTAGTACTTATATATTTAACATTTTACATTTCGTGGTGGACATGGCCAAAATTGGCCGACTTGTTTTACATAGAAATATAAAGGAAAATTCTTTAAAAATCTTCTTCTCAAGAATGACAAAGCCATAATTCATCATATTTATATGGAAGCATGTTCAGATAGTGTAGATTCAAGTTTGTTCAAATCATGACCCCAGGGGGTAGGGCGGGGCCACTATGGCCGACCAAAGTTTTACATAGAAATATATAAAAATTCTTTAAAAATTTCTTCTCAAATGACAAAGCCATAATTCATAATTTATATGGAAGCATGCTCAGGTAGTGTAGATTCAAGTTTTAGTTAGGGCGGGGCCATTTGGCCAATTTTACATAGAAATATATAGGAAAATTCTTTAAAAATCTTCTTCTCAAGAATGACAAAGCCATAATTCATCATATTTATATGGAAGCATGCTCAGGTAGTGTAGATTCAAGTTTGTTCAAACATGACCCCCCGATAGGGCGGGGCCAAAATGGCCGACCAAGTTTTACATAGAAATATAGGAAAATTTTTTTAATAAAAATCTTCTCAAGAATGACAAAGCCATAATTCATCATATTTATATGGAAGCATGCTCAGGTAGTGTAGAATTTGTTCAAATCATGACCCCCGGGGGTAGGGCGGGGCCAAAATGGCTGACCAAAGTTTTTAAAGATATATATAAGAAAATTCTTTAAAAATCATCTTCTGAAAAATAGCAAATCCACGATTGGTCATGGGACTACTTTTGGATTTAAACTTTACAATAAAAAGCCATTTTCTTCTTTTTCCTACCCTTAGTGCTCAGGTGAGCGATGTGGCCCATGGGCCTCTTGTGTTTGTCTTGACAGAGCTGGTTAACAAACCTCTTAGCAAGTCTGACATAATGAAGACACTGACCAGACATTCTGTTGGCATTCTACACTGGCAGAACCACTGCCAGGCCACTGTCACATGTGTAGGAAAAAACTTTGTGTTGGCACCAGCTCACATATTCCAACAGGGTGAGCAATTAGACAAAATCTTTAGTTTTAACAGTTCTTACTCCTTTATTCAGTTTTCATATGGAGGAGATTTGAAAAACAAGTAAATAAAGAATGATTTAATATTAAGTACTGTAAATTCCTTATTTTTCGTGAATACTTAATATTATTGCAAAATGGCTCCTTAACATCAAATCATGAGAATAATACCGTAATTTGTGTAATTTGTGAATGAACAATTGATCAAGAGAATTTACATGGATTTTAGCACTATGAAATAAGAGATTTACTTAATTTTGTGAGTAATGCTTCTCGCGAAATTACATGATAATTTTACTCCTCACATGTAATTAGAAATACCTGTATACAGTACTTTGTATGTTACCATTCAGTATCTATCTTCTTAACAGCAACAACAAAAATGTTAATTTTCTATTTATATACTTAATATTTGTATTCCACATTGCTTTGATATTGAACATTGTTTTCTTATAAACTCCATAAACTTGTAATTAAAATATCTCAAAGAAATGTATATATGACTACAAACTATAATATAATGGCCAAGATTTCTTATTTTTAATGATAAATTTTTGGAGAAAAATGTCTTTTAAAAATTAAATTGTAAGAAACATCACCATCATGATCAATTTTCAATATAATTGTCAACAAAAACAAAAGCTTCAAGCTTCATGATAAAATCAAATACACTGTAAGTTAAATATAATTATGTAATTTCATTGTAGATAATTTGGAGATTTGGGATCACTTGCTCTTAATTTATTGTGAGAAAGTATTTGATGATAAAGCAAATGATGATGAAGCAAAGACAAAGGCTTTCTGTTATCTTAGACCAAAAGGACACAATTGGGTCAAAGAAAAGATGGATAATATCTCAGTGGAGGAATCGTTTAAGAAATTTATGGAAGCAGAATTTAGTATGTCTCTTTTTAGATCACCTGATCTGAAGGGTCAAGTGAGCTTTTCTGATCACATTTTGTCCGGCGTCCGTCTGTCTGTCAACTTTTCACATTTTCAACTTCTTCTCAAGAACCGCTGGGCCAATTTCAACCTTACTTGCCACAAAGCATCTTTGGGTAAAGGGGATTCAAATTTGTTCAAATGAAGGGCCATACCCTCATTCAAGGGGAGATAATTGGGAATTAATGAAATTTTCATGGCATGTTTTAAAAATCTTCTCAAGAACCACTGTGCCAGGAAAGATGAAACTTATGGGGAAACATCCTAAGGTAGAGTAGATTCAAGTTTCTTCAAATCATGACCCCTGCGGGTAGGACGGGGCCACAATGGACGACCAAAGTTTTACATAGAAATATATAGGAAAATTCTTTCAAAAATCTTCTTCTCAAGAATAGAAAAGCTATAATTGATCATATTTATTTGGAAGCATCTTCAGGTTGAGTATATTCAAATTTGTTCAAATCATGACCCCCGGGGTGTGGCAGGGCCAAAATACATAGATATATATAGGAATTTTTTTTTTTAATCTTCTCAAAGAATTTTAAATGCATAATTGATCATATTTATATGGAAACATCCTCAGGTTGTGTAGATTCAAATTTGTTCAAATCATGACCCCCAGGGGTAGGGCAGGCAAAATGGCTGACCAAAGTTTTACATTGAAATTTATTGGAAAATTCTTTAAAAATAATCTTCTCAAGAACAGCAAAACCATGATTGGTCTTGGGACTACTTTTGGATTTAAACTTTTCAATAATAAACCAATTTTACATAGAAATATATAGGAAAATTCTTTTTCCTAGCCAAAGCAGTGCTCAGGTTTAAAACCATAGTTGTCAGCAGGGCTAGCCATTTCTAATTTCCACTAGTCCTGTTCATGTATTAGTTGTCCAGCAGCCGAGGCTGGTGGCCGAAAGCTCAAGTGAGTTTTTATGATCACCTGTTGCCTGTTCGTCTGTAAACTTTTCACATTTTCAACTTCTTCTCAAAGAACCACTGGGTGTTTTTTTGGATAAAAATTGTCATCTTTATGAAGGAAAATTTAACATTGTTAAAATGAAGGAATTTAACAATGATCAGATACATTGTGTGTGAATTACAATTATAGTTGCTCTGAAATCATGTTAAAAAAAATTTTTCAAGAGCCACTGCAGAATAGCTGAAACTTAAAGCATGTTTAGTGCAGACCTTAATATTCAGTTGTCCCGGGCCAGCGGGGTACCGTTAGTGTTGAATCCTGTTTACAAAAGTTGATTCCTTTTGGATTTATAAAACTTTTCAAAAGGGATAAACCAATTTCTCCTCTTTTGCTATGAAACATTTAGGTGGGCTATGAGGAATCCACTGTGTTTAAATTGTTTTCTTTGGATTTGTGGGTATAATCACCTGTTGCCCGTCCGTTTTTACCTGTCAAATGACAAATTTAAAAACCTGATCTACAAAGGGTAATGTGAGGATTCTATGGGTTTATCCCCTAAGATGGTGGCCAAGGGACATAACTTTTGAAAAGTGTGGATTCAACTATAGGGAATGCAAGTTTAACATTGAAATATAGGGGGAAAATCTTTCAAAAATCTTTTCAAGAACAACTGGGCCAGAAAAGCTTAATCTAATGAAAACATATAGGGTAGTATCATTAAATTGAAATCTTCTTGGAGCCACATAGCCAGAAAACTTATGTGGAAGCATCGTGGGGTAGTGCAGATTTTATATTATTCAAATCTTTTTATCTTTTAATCCTTATTCAATTACATGTAATTATATCAATTTAGTAAAAGATGAAGATAATGAACAGTGACTAATCTCCAAAAATCTTTTAACTTACAAAAATGTAAAAAGGGCATAAAACATGAACCCATTGAAATTCCAGAGGTGAGATCAAGTGCCTAGAAGGAGAAAGCATCCCTAGTTGACTGGACACACATGTCATGAGCCCCAAGTAATAATCAGGTAGACAGAACAAGTCAACATAAAACTCAGTGTAATAAAAGAAGGCCGGACAATTGGTATGAAACAATTCAGCCAAAATACGACCTAATGATAAGTTGTATTTGCTATGGTATTAATAAGGTCATTCTAATGACCATAGAATTTATGAAAGGCCAACTTTAAATGCGGATGTTGAAATCTCGGATATCAATTTATTAGTGGGTAGCATGCCTCACTTTGAAGATTGATTGTTCTCAGAGCAAGCACTAAAGGAGTGGGTGGTCCTTCTGTTTTGAAGAATCAATGGCAATCTGACTACCGTAAATCTGGAAATTTGTACGTCAATTTTATTTTGTGAATTCAGGTCAAAATGCTGTTGATTAATTTTCATGTTTCAAAATTTTGCGAATGACCACTGCTTTGTTAACATTTCTTATTGGCAATTTATTTTTAAGAAAAAACTATTTTTGCAAATGCAATGAACTCACAAATTTGCTAAAAATTTATCTACAGCAAATATTTCCAGATTTACAGTATTCCTTTGATTTGAAAACCTGTAGGAGTAAAAGACTAATGGGAAATAACTCTTGCTAAAATTTGGCGTATCAAAAACTATCTATGTTTTAATTATGCGAATAAGGAATTTGTTCAGTGATAAAGGCAGTATGCTTTTGTGGATTAAGGTTGCCCATGAGCTTTTAAAGAAAATTTAGCAATTTATGTAATGAAAAGATTCTTTTGATAGGTTTTATATTTCCAAATCTCTATTTGGAAGATAATGTACATGTAGCTCAAAGAGTTGTCCTTATGATCCACAGAGTTTCCCTACCAATAATGACTTAATCCCCCACTCATTCTGCTATTCACACTGGGTTTCCTGATAGTTAATTATCCCCAGTCCCCCTTCTACTGCTATTTCTTGGGGACAACCCTGAGGTCAGAGTCTTAAACTTGCTAATTAGGTTCTGTGTTTCCTTACATTAATCAATCTTTCCTATTTTTACACATTCTTATTTGACACTTGGTTCTTTCTTTCAGAAAACATCGAAGAGAAATTTCATGTTGAGGTTAAAAAAAGTGAGGCTGCAATCAGAGAGATGCAAGGTGGTAAGTTGTTTGCTTTGGGAAGAAGGATTTTTAAGTTCACTTGTACTAAATGCTCAAATGTGATAGAAAATTTAGCTACCAATACTCTTTGTTTTCCTATCTGTTTCCTTTTTTTCCCTTTTAAGAAATTGAAAAACTAAGTAAAATAAAGGAAGAGGAGTTGGTGAACTTGAAGCCAGAAGAGATGAAAATACATATTGGATACACAGAGGGTGTGCAGGGTAATTACATAGATTATTTTCCCCAGAACATTGTAATTATTCAACATATCTGAAACTGACCAGCACTATATATAAATGTTCTTACATGTATTTGATAAGATATTTAAGCCCCCCTTCAGAGAATTAGATCTTTGCTTTGAACTTGAATGCACTTTTCTATACTTTGTATTGAATTCATTTTAAGAAACAAATGAAAGTATTTTTATCAAGCTTCATGTGCTAATATATTTTGGGGAGTAATATTGAACTGCATGAATTTTTGACTTTGATCTTCCCTTTGACCCTAATATCACTATTTTCTTATGTTTACATGTTGATAAGTGTCAAAAAAACTATATTCAACATATTTTTATGCAAGTTTATCCACTGATATGTAATGTGGTGTCTTGCTCTTTTCAACGACCTTTGAATTTACTAATATTTGTAGAGAGAAAAAGAAATTTTCAATGATTTTTTTTCATCATACATCATACACTAATAAGAGTTTTCATATTGCCTTACTTACTGGTGGAGCAGTCATGTCCTATGAACATATTTTTAGTTAAATGATAAAAATTGTTACAACTATTGAGGCTTAAAATGTTCAATTAATTGATTAGTTGATTTTGATAATATTTCAGATCATTTCAGGGAAAACTGCTGCAAATATTTTGTGGATGAAGTGATGTTTATAAATCATAAACTTGACTTTTCCTTGCTCAAAGTCGAGGAATCAAAGAGCTTCAAAAGTACCAAGGAATTATCTGCCCGTCAAAGCTTAGTTCCTATGGTCCTAGGTTCAGAAGATCCCAATATGAGCCATATATATGTAGCCTCACATCCATTTAATAGGACTCTGACAATTGAAAACTTTGTAAAACTTCTTAATGAAGATGAGGTATGTTCATTTGTCAAAAACTTTCATATTCAAGCAATATTACAAGCTTTAGAAGAAAACAATGATAAAATCCTGAGGTATGCATCTAAGCCCATTCAGGGAAATGTTCCAAACATGGTTTTACTGCACAAGTTTGAAACAGATTGCATGACAAAACAGTTAATAAAAAGAAGCTACAGTGAAGGGGAAATTCCTGGAAGTCATTCTAATTACAAGGAACGAAATAAAGTAGCAGATGAGCCAAAACATAAGAAGTTGCTTGTGTCACTGGAGAAATTGAAGGATGGCAACTGGCATTCTTACAGTCTGGGAGATTTCTGGCACTGTGATATACCAAAAAGGAAAAGTTTGCAGATCCCAATACCAGCATCAAGAGATGGAACTAACAAGCCATACAGAATAATTTTTACATCAAGGCGGGAACAAATGAGCTTTGCTTGTGAGATTGAAGAAGATGGTGGGGATGATAAACAAGGCATTTTGAAGATTCGTAAATTAGACTGTGACATTGTTGTAAAAGAAAAACCAACAAAATCTCTACTTTTGGCTGTGGAATCAGAAAGGAAAAATATAAAATGTGGTGTTGAAAAGGGAAAATTCTGGGTAAATGATACAGAGAATCAGAAATCTGATGAAAATGGGACCATTCCATGGGAAGCTATTGATCATGTTAATAGTGAGGAATTTAAAACAATGCATGTACTAAGAAAGGGTGAATCTTGTCATTTTCCTGAAATTTCATTAACTGTACAAAACAAAAAATTGCATTATAGCGTGAAGAAAAAAAGCACAGAGGTAAGATTGATCTCATGTTTGGAAGAGACAATTTTCAAACTAGAACTTGAAGGTGAAGGTAATGGAAAGAAAGAGGATGAAAAAATAGGAGGAGAAAATTATGGTGATGGAGTTGTGAAAATCAGAGTTGATGGGGAAGAGCATGAACTGGATTTAAAGCCTTCACAGGGTGCTACAAGAGGAAGAAATTTCAAAAAAGAGAGAAGAGAATACATTCACTTTAAAAAGGATGAAAACTGGACAGGGAATGTATTGATGAAAAGAAAACACGGAATTGGAAATGATAAGGTACAACACATGTACTGCAGTCTAAATGTAAAATGGGACAACACAACTAAAAAATTCAAATACAAAGCCGACAGTGAGTGGGATAAGTCAAGAAAAGTGACCTTGAGAGACAGGGACACAGAGGAGTCCTATGTGGTTTGGCCAACTGATTCTTTGCCTTCCAACTTTGAACTCCAGTTTCCAAAAAAAGAAAAGCCCCGTGTCACCCTTTCACTCATCATCTACTCCGACAGTTACAGAGTTGTAGAATTTGATCCAGATGGGAGAAAAAGCCATGGATGTTTACTTCGCCAGGTGAGTTCACCTGGAAAACCCCAAGAGACTGAATATCCTCACCAAGAAATAGCAAGGCTGGAGAAAATTTCACCTTCTGAGGAAAAACAGAGATTTCTGCAAAAACTATCCAAATCATTCAGTGATGAAAAACAAAAGAATTTTATCCTTAATGAAGATACTTTGACTGAAGAAAGAATGAAGTATATTGGAAGTCACACTGAATTTAAACATCTCAAGTTGATTGACATGGAGTATGGTGCTTCTGGGGGAGCATGTTGTTACCTTGACAACCAAGGCCAGGTCACCTTACATGGCATGTTCCTTGGAGCATGTCCACCATTTTATTACAACAATGAGGACTTGCAGCATTTCTTCAGCAAGTCTGGCACTTGTTTTAACAAAATCTTACCTTCAGGGAAAATAAAAGACACAGATGCAGAACTACCAAAAGAGATCAAAATTATCCAAACTCAAAACAATGAAAATCAATTTTACATTCAGGGTCCTTGAGTCAAGGACAGCTTACAGATGGATAAAGGAGAGTTGCCTAAATTAATATGTATATTAATACATGTATCATGTGATCATATCTATTTCTGCAATCACTGTTTGAGAGAAATCCAGTATCATGTGAACTATGCTATTTTTTGTATTGCCTTTTACATTTATTTATGATTATACCTGGTTATTATATTATTATATTATGTGCACTTTGGAAAAGATGAAAACTTTATTTTTAAAATACTGATGTATAACTGGTTATTTAGGTGTGATATATATTTTGCTCATTTAGGAGATTTACATAGATATGCCAAAATAAAATTGCTCAACTTATACCTGTACTTGCTTTAATGCATAAATGACCAAACTGGCAAATTCAAAGAATTGTGGTCCCCAGATTTTATTGTCTTAGTGGTTGGGATACAATTATTTATTGCATATTTCAACTGTCTTATCCGTGTATTTCTGTCTTGTTTGTTCATCATACCAAATAACTATTAAATTTTGGAATTAATTAAAGTTAACAGTCTAATTTAAATCTTAAAACTGTCTTAAGCATCAAAGTGAAAGTACTGTAAATGTATTCTATTTAGTTTGTATGTTTAAATAATATTTTGGCAAAAATGAATTTTCAACAAGTTAGCATAGATTTGATTTTAGCACTTCTTAAACGTCACCTTCTGAGGAAAAACGGGTGTTTCTGCAAATACTGTCCACATCATTCAGTGATGATAATTTAAATAAAAGAATGTTATCCTTAATGAAGTTACTTTGACTGAAGAAAGAATGAAGTATATTGGAAGTCACAATGAATTTAAACATCTCAAGTTGATTGACATGGAGTATGGTGCTTCTGGGGGAGCATGTTGTTACCTTGACAACCAAGGTCAGGTCACCTTACATGGCATGTTCCTTGGAGCGTGTCCACCATTTTATTACAACAATGAGGACTTGCAGCATTTCTTCAGCAAGACTGGCACTTGCTTCAACAAAATCTTACCTTCTGGGACTAATAAAAGACACAGAGGCAGAACTACCAAAAGAGATCAAAATTATCAAAACTCAAAACAATGAAAATCAATTTTACATTCAGGGTCCTTGAGTCAAAGACAGCTTACAGATGGATAAATGAGAGTTGCCTAAATTAATATGTATATTAATACATGTATCATGTGATCATATCTATTTCTGCAATCACTGTTCCAGAGAAATCCATTATGTGAACTATGCTATTTTTAGCTCACCTGAGCCGAAGGCTAAAGTGAGCTTTTCTGATCACATTTTGTCTGTCGTCTGTCCGTCTGTCTGTCTGTCCGTCTGTAAACTTTTCACATTTTCGAATTTTTCTCAAGAACCACTGGGCCAATTTTGGCCAAACTTGGTACAGAGAATTGTTGGGTGAAGGGGAATTTAAATTGTCAAAATGAAGGGCCAAGTCCCCTCACAAGGGGAGATAATCAAGAAAAGACAAAAATAGGGTGGGGTCATTAAAAAATCTTCTTCTCAAGAACCACTGGGCCAGGAAAGATGAAACTTGTGTGGAAGCATCCTCAGGTAGTGTAAATTCTAAATTGTTCAAATCATGACCCCTGGGGGTAGTGCGGGGCCACAATGGGGAATCAAAGTTTTACATAGAAATATATAGGAAAATTCTTTGAAAATCTTCTCAAGAACTACTGGGCAAGAAAAGCTGAAACTTATGTGGAAGCATCCTGGGGTAGTGTAGATTCTAAATTGTTCAAATCATGACCCCTGGGGGTAGGGCGGGGCCACAATGGGGAATCAAAGTTTTACATAGAAATATATAGGAAAAATCTTTGAAAATCTTCTTCTCAAGAACCACTGGGCCAGAAAAGCTGAAACTTAAGTGGAAGCATCCTGGGGTAGTGTAGATTTTAAATTGTTCAAATCATGACCCCCGGGGGAAGGGCGGGGCCACAATGGGGAATCAAAGTTTTACATTGAAATATATAGGAAAAATCTTTGAAAATCTTCTCAAGAACCACTGGGCCAGAAAAGCTGAAATTTATGTGCACATCGAAGCATCCAGGGGTATTGTCGATTTCAAAATGTCTTAATCATGATCAGTGGGGTAGGGTGAGGTCGCAATATGTATTAAAAGGGGGAATCTGATAAAGAACAGAATGGTCAAAGCTTCTCAGGTGAGCGATGTGGCCCATGGGCCTCTTGTTTGTATTGCCTTTTACATTTATTCATAATTATACCCGGTTAATTGTTGTTATTGTATTATTATATTATGTGAAGTTTTGAAAAGAAATATTGTATTATTATATTATATGTGCACTTTGGAAAAGATGAAAACTTTTTAAAAAAATTTTTAAAATACTGATGTATAACTGGTTATATGGGTGTGATATATATTTTGCCTATTTAGGAGATTTACATAGATACGCCAAAATAAAATTGCTCAACTTATACCTGTACTTGCTTTAATGCATAAATGACAAAATTGGCAAATTCACAGAATTGTGGTCCCCCTATTTTATTGTCTTAGTGGTTGGGATACAATTATTTATGGCATATTTCAACTGTTTTCTGTCTTGTTTGTTCATCATACCAAATAACTACTGTATACAGGGAAATTTTCGCCCACGTTTAATTTTCGTCTTATCCGTGTATTTCTGTCAAAAATCTTTCTGTTTGTTCATCATACCAAATAACTATTAAATTTTGGAATTAATTCAAGTTAACAGCCTAAGTTAAATCTTAAAACTGTGTCAAGCATCATAGTGAAAGTCTTTGGGTCAGATACTGTAAATTTTATTTAGTGTGTATGTTTAAATAATATTTGGCAAAAATGAATTTTCAGCGTTAGCATAGATTTGATTTTAGCACTTTTTAAATGTGCTTTTCAAGAACAAATAGAGCACACAAAGGAATTAGTGAATTACTTGATTTATTCAGTTGTCGGCTTTCTTCAACACAGAGAAGAATTTTAAAGATCTTTTCTGTATATTTCAATGTATCAGTAAAACTTGGGATTCCCTGTTGTGGTCCCATCCTACCTTCAGGGGCCAATTTCTATGGAAGACAGCCATCACCTATAATCTACATTTATTAAGGGGAATTGAAGTACAATGCATCAATTAATTAGCATCAAAACTTTTGAGAATTCTACTGTTGAGAATTATTGAGGCAAAAGAAAGCAATTTTATGACCACAACTTATTTTAGTGTACAACTGAAAACAACCTTACTCATTCATTGATGTGAGTTGAGCTTCAAGTTCACAGATTTAAATTTGGATAAATGTAACAGGAAAGGAGAAAATGCATGGCTGACCTGGAATCGAAGTTCACTAGCCAGGTGCTCTAGATTTGGATATCCACGGCCCGAACCATTACATAAGTATCAACTTAGATGTAAATCTAAGATGAAACTCTGATTAAGCAGATTTTTTTATTGTGACCATTTTTATTTTTCCTGAGCTTTGTACATGTTAGTTCTGCCCCCATTCGAAGAAGGGAAAAAAAATTAATATTCTGGTATAGTTTCCTGCAACTACTCCTTGCATTGATCCAATAAAGGTAACCTAATAAACCAAAGCTTTAACCGGTCACTGCCCTAATAAAGCCTCGTGCATGTATTCCGACGTTCCAAAAGCATTGTGACGTCATGTATATTGCAAAGTTTACGCCATGGTGTCATAGTTTCGCAGAGATGTGCCTTAATCTATCGAAAAATGCTAGTTTTGGACAGTCAAATATAAAGAATATGTTACAGGATAACAAAATACATGATAACTGTCTTGAAATATACGTGATATTTGGGCTCGGGTCGAAAAACAATACATTTCCACGTTTTCTTACCCTCGCCCAAAATTTATATTTCAAGTATTTTTTATATATATATCTATTATCTAAATCAAATGTTTGGAGTAACATTTTTGATTTTGGACTTCGAAAAATTTCAATTATTTGCAGTTTCCGTTCATTTTCTTTGCATCCGTTCAACATACTGAAATGAAATTTGGTATACAGATATATCAAATGAAAATCTAGGTCAAGTTCTGTTTTGGGTACGATTGCACCATTTTTGAAAGTTATGTCCCTTGGACTTAGAAAAAGTTCCAATTATTTACAGTTTCCTTTCATTTTCTTTGCAGAGGTTGCACATACTCAAATGAAATTTGGTATACAGATTTATCAGCTAAATATCTTGGTCAAGTTCTGTTTTGGGTACAATCGCACCATTTTTGACAGAGTTATGCCCTTTTGGACTTGGAAAAATTCCAATTTGGGGGGAGGGGGGCATAAGTGTTTTACAAACATCTCTTGTTCTCATTAACATGAACAGGTTTGCTCCAGAGAAACACATATAATATGTAACAGAACTAGAACCTGACATAGTTCTGATCTATAATTAATAAACCATACAAAGAACATTTCAGTCATTTATTCTAAGTTAAACTTGTATTCCAGAACATTTTAATCATATTTATAGTAAAGGATGCAGAGCTCTAGCATTCTTGTTAACATTTTCAAAGTTTATATCTACAAATGATCTCGGCACTCACACAGATGTTGTATCATATTCACTTGGTGAATGAAATGGTGAGGATTAAATAACATCTTTGAAACATAGAAAGCTATGATACAAGGCATGCAGTATCTTTGTTATCACTACCACATAATAAAATGTCGAGACTGAACACCATTACTACACCCTTCCGTCACACACATGCCTATAAAACATTTCCCATCAGAAAGTGGATATAGTATAAACATGATAAAACATGGAAAAATTATTTTCACTGTTCATTATTCTAATGTTTTACATAGACTAACTTTTGCCAGTGCTTGGCAAGTTATGCATACATTTGTACATAAACATAAAATGTGTACTGCATCTTTCATGTGTAACAGAGATAAACTTTATAAAATTTACAAAGAATATATTTTTGATGAAATTTTGAAAATTCTAATCTTCATCAATGTTCATATGTATTATTTTTTAAAGCTGTTTGGCAAGTTCTGTATACAATTCTACAAAATAAAATAGTAACTACATCTTTTATATCAAAGAGTTAACAAATGCTTACTTACAGAGGATTTTTTTTTCTCCTAATGTTCAGCATTATTGAAAAGCTGAACTGAATTCAATGTTGACTCCTTACGATTAGAAGTTTATATTGAAATTTGATAAAAAATTTTGGTCATCATATGTATTCAGTTTTTCTTCCACATAGAAACAGCAAAAGTAGCATGCCTTACCAAAACTTCTTTTAATATAGCTTAAGTTCTTTTTTTTTGGAAATAATGGAACACCTTCATAAAGATGGGAAATATTCACAAAGGTAAAACGACTAGATATGTTCAAGTTTAAGATCGGAGCCAAACATACTCCATAAGAGATGACTAACTGATCTCAATACAGACTGGGCATAGTTGGTAAATTTTTACTCAATTTCAATTTTAAAAAAGTTAAAATTGTCTTTGATTATTACTTACATATTAACAAAATGGAGTTAAAATAAAACAAATGCATTTACAGAAAACGTTGATTAATTGGAGTATTCGTTTAAACTTATATTTAACTCTCTTTCTGAATGAGGTCAATTACAGTCGATAACAATATTTATAAATGTATATAAACAATAAAAACAATGACTATACACTAATACGTTAAGTTACGAACAAGACTAAATAGTTTCAGATTTAAAACATCTATAAATATCTTGCCTATTTTTCACCCAACATAAAAAAAAACTCTTACATACAAGATTTAGCAACATTCATGCCTCAGTCATACAACCACTGATTAAAACTGAATGTGAAATGCCTTTTTTAAAGTTCAGTAATTATTGAAGTCCTACGTCCTTCAAACATCTGAACAACATATATATGTAAAGATTGAAGTAAATGTTATCTGTGTTTTGGTGCCATTGATATACATTGACATGATAATAAACGAAAATTATTATCTTCATAATACCCAATTACACTAGACATCAACCAAGTCTCACCATATCAAATAAGTATTTAACAAATAGAAACCAAGAAAATTTTTAAAGTTATCTCCAGAAAATTCAATTCAAATAACACATGTCATGTTTCTGTTCTCAAGATATGCATCATGCACTGTATTAATATCAACTTGATATCCAAGAAACAATCTTTGTCTCTCTTTTCTACAGAAAATTGATCTTAGTAGCAATAATCACTACACATGCAGCTGAAAAAAATGGCAATCATACAAATCTGTATGTCTAATCTCCAATTTAAATCAAGCAAATGTATATATAAGCCATCCAACTTTTGGAGAGTGGCAGTTGAAACCTGAATTCTAACTCCATGATATCTTCCAAGTTCCTCTCTGCACCGGCAAAAAGTCTTCCATCCACAAGTTATTAGGTTCAGGAAAAGAAAAACACTAATTCATCACAGGAAAATTTACAGTGGGAGCCCCATCATCTTTTGGTATTTGTTGAAGAAAAGGAAATGTTGAATTCACTGTCCCTTTCAACTGATGGATATTCACTCAATCTCCATCAAATCAACTCCATATATGATGCAAATCACAGATTTGTTTGTGACATTTGCTATGCTTGCAACAGCTTACAATGGGTGAATAATATGTCTCTGACAGAAGCTCCCACATATAACATACAATAAACTGTCAATCAAAGAAAACGCTACCAAAACAGTCAGTTGCTCGTGCAGACAGAAGCCATTGCAAGACTAGTAGTTCACACAGGTTCTGTGGCAGCCGTGGCGCCCTGAGTGGTTCCCCCATCACCACCAGGATTGTTGTCTCCTGCCACGGCACCAGGATCAGTTGCGTTTCTGGCATGTGGAGGTACAAGGACAGAATTCAGGTTAGGTTGGATGGCCAACTCTGTAAAGGAAAGGTAAAAATATGCAGAAAACTACATCAGTATTTTAAAATTCTCTCGAGATTGGAGCAGATATACTATTTGCACTCAGAATTTTGAATTAGATTTAAGACCTGTTGTGTATTTTCCTATCACATTGTCCAAAAAACAATGGCTAAATTCATGAAATCAATTCTAAATCAACAAACCTCTAAGTTCGTGAAAAAAATGTATTTTATTAAAATGAATCAAGAAACTTCACTTACCCTGTGCAGTGAAATTAAGCAGAAGTGGTAATTCTCTGCCATTTGGCAATCTGGTGTTAGGATCTCTAAGTTCATCAAAGAAAGTATGGGCACATGCTTCCAATGGAGAGATCCTTGCAGATGGAGTATATTCAAGTAAGCGACTGACCAGCTGAATTGCTTCTGGAGGGGTCCTTGGACGAAACACCTAAAATAAATACCACCAGAGATATTGTGTGGTACATGTATTGATTTTGTCATTGTTAAAATAACAATGTACTTGCTGATAATAAACAGCAATGTTCAAAAAGCCCTCAGTCATTGTACAAATATATTCTTCAGGTATCATGGAGATCATAGCAATACTACAAAGCTGATATATATGTATTCAAACTGAATTTAAGGGGAATAATTCCTCTGATTTTTCTTGCAATTTTTTTTTTAAATTAAAAAATGTTTATAGGAATTTTCTTATCCATCAATTTTTAATATTAAATAATACATTCAATTTCAATATATTTTGAATATTAAGAACTGATCTTGAAAATTACTTTTTTTTTGATAACTATCAATCCCCTTTTTTTTAATCCTGGGTCAGGAGAGAGAAACCAAGCACTTTTTTAGATGGCTTTAGCAGAAAATTGGGTTTTTCTAAAAAGAATCTGTAGGAGTGAAAAAATAGTGCACTCAAAAAATAGTTCCTGAACTTGCAAGCAGTATATAATAGGAATGGGTTATCTAACTAAAATGCTTGATATATGTGAAAGAATAGAAAATTTTAAGTTCAAAATCCTTCTTCTCAGTTTTGTGCTATCTTTGAAAAAGAAAAGAATTGAATCGTTTGATATGTGCATTCCCTGAATTCTGGAAATACCCTACTACTATTTTCATATGTGTTTGCAAAACTGTACTTATTCCTGAAAAACAAATCTAAACCACCTATAAATTTTAACCAGTGAGAGAATCTAATGTGCTTTGATTTGAGGGGTGTCCAATCCTTCAAAGCAAATAAGGGAGAGGCTGTGTGAGAAAACTATAACATTGTTACTTATGGGAAATGTTTTAGTGCACTGTACCCACCATGCTTGCTAGGAGGCAAAAGAGGATATTGGGTCTCTTTACTACTGTAATATTCTCTATACTACCATAATATAAGTCATCTAATTGAAAAGTGCAAAATGAAATATTCTTTTCCATAGACAATTAATATCAGATTTGTTTATATTACCTTTGTCCAGGGATGAGCTTTAATTTGAGGAAACTTGAATTCTGTGTAATTGGGATTCATTTCTCGGATCTGTTCTCTTGTTGGGGTTCCAAGAACTTTGATAATCTCCACCAACTGGTCAACTCCACTGTCCCCAGGGAAAATAGGCTGTCCTAACAACAGTTCTGCTAAAACACATCCAGCTGACCATACATCTGCAGAAAAAAAATATCGTATACATTGATGAAATAAATAATGAAAATTTTTTTCTACCACAAGTCCACAAGTCTCTTTTATCTTTTGAACTGTGAAAAGAGAGAGGGTTTTATTGGCAATAAAGTAGGTAATAAATGTCAAAACTCCTTTTTAAATAAAATACACATGTACTTTGATTTCTTGCTTTGTCGGATTCAAAAGTTTTCTATCCACTTTCATAGACTGGGGGAGGGAAAGTCCTTGAATCTACTGCTTCCATATAAATATGACAAAGCATGGCTTTACTGTTCTTTGAAGATTGTTCCTAGTTTATATACTTGTGGAAATCGCAGATAGCCTATTGTGGCCCCAACCAGGGCTCAGGTCATACACATCATGGCTCTGATGTTCTCAAAAAGATTTTTTTTCGATATATTCCCATGTAAAACTTTAATTGAGTATTTCCAATAATTTTTTTGCCAACACTGAATTGCCCATAGTGGTCTCACTCTACACACAGAGGTCATGTTTGAACAAACTTGAATGCTATATCAGGAAACTTTAAGTTTCATCTTTTCTGGCTAAGTGGTTTTTAAGAAAGATATTTTTAAATTACCCCATCCAATTTTCAAAAATTTTTTTTAAATTCCCCTTGGAAATGGGAGTGGCTTGTCATGGAAAACATTAGTCTCCTCTTGAGTCATCCAAAGATACTTTGTGCCAAGTTTGGTTGAAACTGGTCCAGTGATTATGGAGAAGAAAAAAATATGAGAAGATTACAATATAGCTGAGAGCTAGGAGAGACAAACGAGCAAATTTTGATCAGAAAAGCTCACTTGAAGCCTTGGCTTAGGTAAAGTACATAGCTTAATTTCTCTCTCCAGACAAATATATAAAATACATTAATAACAAAAGTTTTCTTACATACATGCATTCATTTCTGGCATCACCAGTAATCATCTGACTCCTCTTAATCATTACAAATTGTTCCTAATAGGTGCAGTATACCAAATACTCACCTATTTGACAGGTGTAGTCTGAAGCACCAAAAATCAACTCAGGAGCCCTGTAGTAACGAGAGCAAATGTAGGACACATTGGGTTCTCCTCGCACCAATACCTTTGCACTGGAAAAAAAAAATCCATACATAAAGAATCAGTTGTACTACACAACACCAGGGAATTTCCACACCATTTTGGGAATGGGGCCCAGGCCCTTACCATTGGGAAATTTACGACATTTTACAACTTTTTGGGAAATTTTATAGCAAGATGTATTTTAATAAATTAACACTTGTGATAATTAAAATTGATTTTTTACTTCATTATTCAGTACTTTACTTCAGAAAATAGATCTATCATTATAAAGTTTTCGACAAGTCTCCAAGAATATGTTCATTTCATTAGGAGTTCAAACCTGACCATGTTTGTTTTACATGAATTTTTCAAAAATTAAACACAGGCTGTTCATTTTTGGGAAAAATGGAGGGATTTTGCAATTGGGAATGGGGCCCATATTCGGCCCTACACGGGGCAGTGGAAAATCCCTGAACACAGTCCAGTGAGTCCAACAACAAAGAAATTAAACATATGTTCAATGAACTCAGTACCCTAGCATCTATTTGTTTTCACTTAACGTCAAAAAGCTAGAGTTCAATTTCATTACAGGGTTTAACACCACATTTGAACTTATGTTTATTATATCTTGAACACTGATTATCCGAGTAATTTGGAAATCCCAGCCCCTTATTCTGTATTTTACCCTTGATTATGATGTCTCAATACCTACAAAATTGCTATGTTTCTTCGTCTCACTGAGTTAGAGATTTTGTAAGGTCTGACTGTAACATGAAAACTGTCCTATTAATTTTGGCTTCTAAACCTTGGAATTTTAGGAACCAATAAATTATTTATTTATTTAGGTAAACTTTATTTACCCCTAAATTACCTATAAATCTACCAGACTATTTAAGAAGTAAAACCCCATGATGAATCAATTTTTCATTTTATACATATAAAAAATTCACAGCAAATTCAATTTCAGTAACAGAAGAGTTCAATTTCAATTTTATGTGAGGCATGACAATCATTTAGGTTGTAAGTCATCTTTGCATGAGGCTTGAACTTGAAATGTTTTTCTAGAAGGAAGTTATAGAAACCAGACAAAATTTTATTCTTTTCCTATCAGTAAACTTGAATTGCTGAAATGACCCTTGGGTCATAAACAATCTTTGTACCAAGTATGAGCTTCCAATGACTCTACATAGTAAAGTTATAGTCTGGACAAGATTGCATGGACAAACACACAAACAAAGCAATCTGTTAACACCCCCAAAACTGATTGCAAGGGGAAATGACGTATATGTTCAATATGTTATTTTACATTCATACATTTACTGGTTTAAAGTAGTTTTAAGTAAAAATGAAAGAAGTTTGGCAAATATCCAGGCACTAATTGCCATTTTCCCTGTGCCAAAATGATTTGCATTACTATTAACTACCTAATTTATTTATAGTTCTATCAAAATGGACATTTCAGTTTGCTGGGGTTTTCTTGATGGGATAACAAGACTTCAGAAACTTTGGATATTAAAGCATCTTACAAACCTTCCGAAATCAATCAGTTTAAGAACACCAGTTTCAGGATCCAACAACAAGTTCTGAGGTTTGATATCCCTATGGCACACACCTTGCGAGTGGATGTAGGCTAAACTTCTAAATAATTGGTACATATAAAGCTGAAATACAATAAAACATGTATTTTCAACAATATTTACAAATTGTCAAAACCTGCTGAATACTGGAACTCAAGATATGACATTTCAAAAATGGGTTTGCTATGAAATCTTATTACTTCTGTAAATTGAGATTCTACTAACCTTAATGTAAAGAACTGGTATTGTCTGTTTCGATTTACTGTAATGCCTAGCTACTCTATATACCGTCTCTGGCACATACTCCAAAACTAGGTTTAAGAACACTTCATCTTTCTGAAAATAAAATTTTTTCACATGTCATGCTTTCTTTTTTTCCTTATCCATAGAAGCTGACTTCATCATTTCCACCCCTCTTCATACACTTGAACTAAATGTGTATAAACTGAAACAGAGCAGCATTTAAATAAAATTGTCTAAGGACAGACATACAAAGGATGCCTTACTTCTGGTCTCTGACCAGTTGAGCTATGAATGGCTTACATATTTACCTTTTCACCAGCAGAATAAAAGAAGTATTTCAGCTTGACTATATTAACATGTTCTAGCTTCCGCATAATCTGCAATTCTCTATTCTGAAATATTAAAAAAAAAAAATTATTTTAATATAACCATACTGAATAAAGCTACAAAGGAAAAGCTATTTAGGAAACACCTCTGATTTTACTAAATGATTCAGAAAAGGTTTATAAAGAATTAAAACAAAGGTCTCTAACATATGTCATATACTTTAAAAAAAAAATTATTTAAGATTAAAGACATTACACTTACCTTTAAATTTAAGAAATTTGAAAACAGAATAATTACCTTGAATCTCTTATCTTGCAATACTTTTTTAATTGCCACGAGTTCATTTGTTTCCACCAGTTTAGCCTGGTATACCACCCCAAAAGACCCATTTCCAATGACTTTAGCATCTGTATAGGAGACTTCCTGAGTTCTGTCTGAGCCAGACCCAGCTGTGGCCAGCACTGTTGTTATTTTACTTCCATCTTTATCTGAATATTTCAAATATTCATGACATATAAATTATAATACACAAACTATTTGAGAAATTTCTACATTGAACATTACAAAGTCAGGGTTCTCCACATTTAAATATTTAACCATGGAGGAAGCTGTGCGAAAGTGAAATTAAGTATTGCAACACATAATTTTTATTGTGAGATTTCTTAGAAAATAAGATGTAAAATAATTTTTCAGATCCATTTGTTTTAAAAAGGGTGTTCAAAGGAATTTCAATTTACTTTCACTAAAGCAGATACTTTTTTTTAAAAGCTATTTAGCATCGAAACCAAAGAAAAAAAAAGAAAATAGGGCCACAATTAAAATACTGTTGGTTTGGCGTTGCCGACTCAGTTTTAATACATTTGGGTCAGTAGGTATGGGGAATTTTTTTTTCAATTTCAGAACTGTTGATAGTATCCGGGCATCATGAGTTTCTGATTGTTTAACAACAACTACAGCCTGAATTGATTCCCAGTTGTTTATTTTCAATCACATAGATGCTTTTTAAATGAAAAACTGTTCTATCAATCAAGCATTGACATGATTATTTCCCGTATGTATCTTACTAAAATGTACAGACACCTAAATCCGAATATAACGAGAAAAAAAAATTACAATCCAAATCAGTTGAAAAAATTTTTCGGACCGCACGGATTTACCTGGGTCGGCCGGCAATGCCAAACAAAGCTAATTTCATTTTTGACCAAGTTTAATGGTACATTTGTCATTAAAAATTATGACAAAAAATGGATTGATGCAGTATATCATTTCCAACATTAATATATTTAACAAAATCCATTATTCACCACCCACTCCCTTAAAATTCAGTCTTGATGGCCCACAATTTCCATTTCACATAACTAATGTTTAAGTTAAACTAATGTTTAAGGGCTTAAATTACTTGAAAATTTTTATTTTGGCTAATTAATAAATCCACATCAAAGCACTTGAAAAGGAATAACTTTTGGTACGCTTTTTCTGCAACCCTACATTATTTCTTAAGTTTTCCCAAACAATGGGCAATTGTCACTTATTCATTATAAAAATTTTCAATTTTTGCACTGTAAATTTAGCAATTTCATTTGTTGTTAAATTACTTTATCTATAACTTCCTAATCATTATTTCTGTTTTCCCATAATGACTACATTAAAGAAAGCAATTTCATTTGTTCTACCATCTGTTTTCATTCTGATACATACAGGAGCAACATGACCTTTCTACACTATTGTGTCCACGGTTAATAAAATCAATAAGTCGAATTAAAATTACAACGGGGCAAATCTGTGAAACAAAATCTCTTTTTCAGAATGACTTCCTCTGAATACTTGTTGCAATAACACTGGGTTATGGACATTTCTTTCACATATCGTCCCATTACGTCGCCATGTTTGTTTCTGACTGACCTAATTTGGCCTAGCTACTGATGGAGAATCAATCACTTACTTATGGTTCTCATCCCTCCAAACTGAGCGTTAGAACCAGATTTAACACCCTCAGCGATCGATGTGGTCCGAGGACGCGTACTCATTGTCTTTTTAAAACAGAATCATTAAAACGTACTTTGTAAAAGTACAGCCTAAGCTTTATGTTACATCTCCCAATGGCGCTCGTGAAACCTGACGGATATTCAGCTTTCACTAGATCACAATAAAACCTTAAAACCGTCGAAGATATTGTTCATTCTTTCATACGAACACCACACTTAACAAATACAATAAACACACTTCAGGGGCGAAATGTCCTCGTCTACCCCAGTAATTCTACGGTGAATATCACACAATGCTATGCAAATTTGGTTTCCAATGGGTGAGCTACAATGACGGATGATCGGTTCCGAGTGATTTTCGTGAGAGATCGCGAGATGGTATGACCAATGGAAAACCAGAAAATCGACTCGGTATATTTCGTTTTACTACCTCGTCATTTTCCGGAATCATTTTCTCTGACGTCACTTGCTCGATCATTCAAACGCTTTAACATTCCTTATGACGCTTGATATTTTGAGGGAAAGATAACTTCATTTTGTGTATGCCAATTTCTTTTGTTTTTAAAGATTACTTATTATTGTCATGAAGAGAAAACATCATAGCTTTCTAGAATTAATCACATACACTAATTGTGGTTAAAAAAAAACGGGATGGTTATAAAATTTCATTGAAAAAAAAAACAGATCTATTCTGTGATTTTCACACACTCATAAAGGAAATTCGGATTCTCCTTTCTTACACTTGGCATGACTTGCCTGACTTGTCTAAAAAAATTGTCTTGTTAACTAACGAAATATGTTAAGGATAATTATAGTACCAGCAACTGCTAATCTGTAATCTCTGCCGAGAACCGCTTTAAGTTTCGGAGTTAAAGTTTATGAAATTTTAGTGTCTGCATCATGAACATGTCCAGTTTTACTCTTTTGTCTTTGCATTTTTTTTTTTGGTCTCTTTAGATGAACTGACAATTCAACAATATGGATGATACACAAGACTGTGTTATCAATGAACCTGAAGTTAACCCTGCAAGTGAAGGGACAACAGGAACAAAGCCTAAGAGAGGACGTGGAAGGCCAAAAAATTCAAAGAACAAACCCAAACCCAATAAGAGTCCTCCGAAAAAGAGTTCGTCTCGTAATCAGGTAAAAGATACAGACTCCCAGAGTTGTGGAAAACTTTTTTGGATAACCAGTTGTTCACATATGTGCCCCAATGTGATTTTATAGATGACGAAATGATAGTCTACACAGGTCTACCCCTCTATACTATAAACAATGTTGATTTCGATAGTAAAGAGGGGTAGACCTATGTTGACTATCATTTTGTCATCAACAAAATTACATGGGGAGGCCTATGATAAAAATATAACATTTATTAAATATTCTCTATTTCAAAGTATTTGTCCATTTTTAGTTTGTGCATTTATAACACAGTACTGGATTTTGCTTTAGGGCAGGTGAAAATGCTTATTGAAATATTTAGCATATAGTATACATAACTTTAAGTTTAGAGTTGGGTATTGCGAAGGAAAACCATATTGCGATATATTGCAATATTTTACTTTGAATATTGCAATATATTGCAATATATTGTAGATTAATTATCATTTATAAATTTGAGCAGAATGTTTGAAATGCTGTCATGTTCAAAGACTATTTGAATTTATCTTTAAGTTTAAAAGCGGGAGGAGGGATAATTGCACACCAAATTAACACTTTACTTTTAATCAAATTCCAGGTAAAATAGTAAAATAAGATGAACTCTCTTGGAGAATTTTCACATTGAAATAAAAAAAAATTACAGATTATATAATCTTTTTTCATTGAATTTTTTTTTGGGGGGGGGGGTTAATGAAGTAGCATAAAATGTTATTAAAGATTAAAAATATACATATTAGGCCTATATGAAAATAATTTTATTGTGGTAACAAAATAGAATTTAAAAAACCGGAAAGAAATTGTGACCTGTTTTCGTGCGTTTTGGTAATTTAGTCTAACCCGACCTAATTTCACATCAAGACATACAATCAGGAAATGGTCTGTTTTAATACATACATGCTCCTGCTAGAGCATAAGGTGTTTAAAATGACATATTAAAATTAATAAAACAACACTGCTACAAGTGAAAACATGGATGATTTACTTGTAATATGTACATGTATATTGAACTTGACATTTCAAAGTATTTGATTCAATTTTTTGAGAACCACAATGCATATGGTATACACCCTGTAAAAATGTTTTATATATTTTCTTCCTTATAAATTTTATTTTAACTTATTGATTAGAAATTTTATTTCAAAGTAAGATATTCAAAACTGCAACAGTGAATTTTCTCTCTCTCCTCTCTCTCTCTCCCGAACGCTTTCTTCCAACGGGCTTAAAAGTTTCCAGTTTTATTTTAACAGTTTCTTATTTTTATTTATTTTTATAAATATCGAAATATTTTTTCATATCGCATATATTATCGTGGTGGATAATACATAATATACTTTGTTGAAACTTTTCTGAATGTGTAGCATTTTACATTCCAAGCATGTAAATGACTAAAAATTGCATTCACAAAAAAACTACTATATTTCTTTTTAAATGAAAACACAGCGTATTTAAGTTCACAATTTATTAATGACGATAAATCCAAAACATATACCGGTAAATAAAACAAACAAGAGACTTGATCATCACTTCCACAACTACTCCTGCGCTTCTACAATATCTCCCCTTTATATATACTGAAAAAAACTTACTCCTCCAATGACATAATAATCTTACTCCTCTTTCCAAAATAACTCCTCCCCGGGAATACAAATACTAAATCTAGGTCAGTGCAGAGGAGTAAAAGAAATACATAGGTTACTGAATTACATGTTAGCCCAAATAATGAAATACTGTAATTAACTTTAAATTATGAAACAGTTTATACAAAATAATAAATAGACATAGATGTGATTAACTGTAAATCTGCTACAAATGATGTAGTTTATGTCAGCCAAGATGATGTGTCTTAAAAATTTGAAGAACACTGGAAAGCGTGCTGCTATAACAAGAAAAACAAATACAGTAAATTTTAATGCATACACCATTTTGGTTATCTGGAATATGATACCATACTGCAAGTATGCATTTAATTTGTCCAAACTCTGAACTTAATAAAAACTAAAATTTTCTCACACATGCATGCATGTGTTCTCTCAGTCTCTAATTAAAATAAAATATATAAATAACGAACAGTTCCCAAGCTCAAAAGTTCATTTACAATAAAAATTTTGGAGTAGAGCAAACAGAGACCTCTAAAAATTCAGAGATGGGATGGGAAAAAAATGTGCAGACTGCATATAGTTAATACATGTACATAGAAATATCTGGATCATTATTTTAGAACCTTTCATTTTAAATGTTGTAGTTCATAAGATCTTGCAGAGCAAGGCAACCAAAGGAAAAGGCTGTATTTCAACCACAGAATTTGACTTGGAAAATAAAGGAAAAAAGGCTGCTGCTGAAAGCTTTGAAAAGGTGACTTAAATGTCTACAATAAATAATTCATTTTATAAATAACTGAGCATGGAAATATTATTTTATTTATTTATGCAAAGCATGGTTTACGAATGCTTTTTAAAAAGCTCTAAACAGCTTTTGCTATAGTGATAAATAAAGGTTTGGGCACCCTATAATTATGAATTGAAAGTGCATCTTAAAATTCTTCAATTGCTTTATTGTGGCAGCAAGACATATTTTTTTAAATCAAGTTTGATGATGAGGATGATTGAGCAAAGAGAAACAACTCCTGTAAAAAAAAAAATCCTATTGAATTAAAACAAGTTTAATTTATTTGATATAAAAAAGCTATAATTTTTCTACTTTTCATCATCAAGTCATTATAATCACACCCCCTTTCTCATCCATGTTCTCCAGTCGTCCCTTGTCAACTTGGGTTCAGTTTCTTAAAAAAGATTAAAAATCTGTAATTTTTCAGGAACTCTCCATCTGACATGGAAGCTTTACACAACGTTGTGAAAACTAAATCAAAAGAAGAGGTTTGTTTGCATTGCTACAATGTACATTTGTCATGTTATGCACAGAGAGCATCTCATATTTGAAATATTTTTTTTGAAAAATTTAAAATGAGTTTGCATACTTTGATTGACTCTTAGCTTAAGAATTTTAAAAAAGAAAAATAGAACATTTATAAACTATAAAGAACTTTTTATGAGGAAAGAAAAAAAGGTAGAAAATTGCTACTGTTTAAAATGGTTTAATGCTAAAATTCTCAAAAATGCAGCTCATATTGCTTTAAAATGGTTTAATGCTACAATGAAGTGAAATAATTTAACATTTAGATACACATGCTGCAATTTGAATTTTTTAAAAATGCATCTGTTAAACAATATGGGAAAACATGCTTTAAATATGAGAAAGAGTACAGTACCTGTATTAAAGAAGAGTATATGTATGGCAGTATACCATATAAGTGGATTTTAACGAGATGCAAATTTAACAATTTGTCCTTAAAAATTGGTGTTATATTTTAAGGGATTTGTAATTTTAGATATTTAAATGCTCACTAAAGAAGCTATTACAGATAAAAAACAATTAATTTTTATAGATATTCAATTTTAGCAATCTCAGCATCTTGGTTATAATGCCATAAATAATCCTCACTTAAAATTCTACTTACACAGTAGAAAGAATTTTGAATCATAAAATGAGAACGTACAATATGTCCTTTTATTATTAGGATCTTTAAGAATACAACACAGGGAAACTAATATCAGGAGATATTGAACAAAATGAATTGCCAGAATATTGTAGCTGTTTATAATTACATGTAAATGTAACACTATTTACATTCATGTAGATTTGTACATGTATTTGTAAAATAATAAAATGTGTTGACTATGTAGTTAACTATTCAATATGGATTTTACTTTTGCAGATAGAGTTATTTATAAATAAAATGAAGAAAGGTGCAATCAGGAAAATAAAAGGTAAAAGCTTATTAGCAAAGACTCCAATCCAAAGAATTCATAGAAATTAAAATTAAAACATGAATTTTGAAATCCATGTGCACATGAAATTTTAAATTCAGTGCAAAGCAAGATTTTTTAGGGGTGAAATTTTTTCATATTTTACTTTTGATTTTTTTTTTTTTTTTTTTTTTTTTTTAGCAAGCAGAGGTCCAAAGGCTCCCATAGAGGTAAGTTTTAAGGGTATGATTATTAGAGTGCCATTTAAGGAATAACTTTCTAATTAAAAAAATGGTTTTGTTATGATGTAATCAAGCAATTAACTTGCGTGATAATTTGCATATATGCCTATGATGTATGAATGTTAAAGTCTCTTATTTTTGATTAATCCAGTACTGGTTAGCTTTGTTGAGTGATCTGACAAGTCAGGAGAAGAAAGACTACACAGTGAACCTGGGCAAGGTAAAACTATACTGAAAACAGATAACACTTTATAGTGGGGGATTCTTTTAGCATCTTTTGTTGAAAGCTGCTTCCACTAAATCAAGTACATTACTAAATGTCTGGAGTACATGTCTAGCACATTCAGATATCTGTAAATGAAAAACAATAGATTGGCGATGTTAAAGCGGGTTTGTGATGTTAGCATAAACTAAAGTTCTTTAAGAGGTGGTCATTGAAAATGCTATAAAAGCAAAAGTATACAATATAAGCTCTTGAAATTTTGAACATAGAATTTTGAGGACATGACAAATATTTTCCTTATTTTTTGTATAAATCCTCTGTATCTGTCATAATTTATAGTACTCCATAAAAAAAGGAAATTTCGTTTATTTTGACATTTTGAGATGCCCCCTCTGGAAACAAGATGGTTGAATTTTGTGGTTTTTTTTAACATATAATGTATAATATAATATAACCCATTACATATTATAATTTGAGCAAAAAGTCAAGCGAAAAATGGGCATTTCCCTACATAACCCTATAGTAAATGTACCTGTATTTTGAGACAGTCCCTGAAAAATACCTAGATGGTAGATTTTCCCAAAACTTAGCATGTACACTGAAGTAAATGTAAGTTATATATGGTATAAAAATAAAGAGTTTTTCTATTGTAGTTTTCACAATAAAATCCCAGTCCACTCCCTTTTAACATTATAAATAAAACATTATATATATAATATTGCCTTTTCTTTCATGCCTAGTTCTTGCACTATACATACCTTGTTCATACTACACCAACGTCTTCTCTGTCTAATCAGGTGGTGTCCATCATAGCAAACTTAGAAGAATTTCCACAGCCTGGGCCCTGTACACCAGATTACAAAGCCATCTACAAGTACATCTCCTGCATGTTGTCAGAGAGTGAACTCCCGGAATTAGGAAAGCTAGGTAGTGACTGTTATTTAACATTTCGTTTTTTTACAGGAGGATGTATGAATCATAGACAAGTGGTCTAAGTTAGAACATAGTTAGAGAGTTATCAGAAGATGACATCTTTATAAGTTTAATGAAAAAAAGTCAGGACCAAAAGCAAAAATATTGCTGTGGCTTTTACAAATCTGAGTGGTGCAGTAATTGGATGAAGTGTATTTTACTTAAAAATGTTTCTCTCTTGATTACTTTGGCAATCATTTGTTGCTATGTTCAAAATGTAATCTTTTAAAAAGGTTCAACAACATGACTTGCACTTTTAACAATAAACATGTAATTTGATGAAAGCAAGGATAAGTAGCAGAATCTCACTTTAATTATGGTAATACTGATATACCACTATTAAAGTGGAATTAACATTTCTCCCCAAACCTGATTATAATTAAAAAATCTTTTTGTAGAGGCAGCAGTAATTCTGGACCTACTGCATGGTCTGGTAGATTTCCTAAGATCACACAATACAACCAAACAGAGAGAGATTATGCAGTGGAAGTATGGACTACTTGCAGGAAAAGTGAACATGAGTGACCCTGTCTCAGCACTTATTAAAGCCAGGAAAGCCATAGAGAACGGTAATCACTTAGAAGGAATTTGTTTTTATTTTATGAATACTATTGTTTGCAGTTGACTGTAAAGTTTTACGTTTCGTCACGATCTAGTTGACAGCTGCTCTCAAGGTAAATTGTACACGCCTCCTAACCGCAAACTTTACGACTGGAACTTTCTTCTTATCCCTAATTGGTTGCGCGTGCAACAGACTATATCCGTGTCAATGTTGATAATTTGAATCGACCAATCGTGAATTGTTTACGCTGGATGCATCTCACGAAAAAGATCGTAAAGTAATGTGAAACTTTACAGTTAGCTGCAAACAATAGTATTTATTTGGAAATTTTTTTTTACCTTTATCATATACATGTAATTGCTTCATCCTATCTGATAATGTTCAAAAGTCTCAAGCTTCTTTGTGTTTATTTTTGGCAGATTTTTCTGATTTCTCATCTGGAAATGCAGGAAGTAACTCCCAACCACCCCAGACTCAATCACCAGCTGCCCAAACAAATGTGTCTGACAATCAACCAGGACCTTCAAGACCTACTTCCCAGCAGTCATCAAAACAGAACAGTTCAGGTAGTGGTCAGTCAAAGTCCACAGCAAATTCTACCCCAAGTGCAGCTGGAAACAGAACTAACAAATTAGAAAAAAGAGGCAGACCACCAGGAAAAAAGAGAACAGTACCATCTGAGAGTCCCTGTCCCAAAAAACCCACATTATTCACAATGAATCCCTTGTGTATCCCTGTCAATGTCATCAAGATGACTCCAATCATCAATGTGTCAAATAAACAACTGAACAGTGTAGAGAATCCCAAACTAACCAACACACAAAAGCTGGTGGCACAGCAGAACTCAGTAGTGATGTATCACATTCAGAAGAAGAATATTAGTCCCCATCCTGTCCACCCAATACAACAACACCAGCTTCTCCCAATCCAGTCTGGGAAGGCACCTGTTCACAGAAATAAAGTGTATGTGTGTGAACCACACCCCAGTTCTGTGATTGTAAATCGAGAACCCCCCGTAAGAAGGGGAGGAACTCCAAAGTCAGCCGATGAAAAGGCAGCTATGAAAAAGCAGAAGGATAAGAAAGGGAAGGACTCGGAAAAAAATACTGGAAAAGGGAATAAAGACGTATCAAAAGTGTAAGAAGTGGAGGAACTCTAAAATTAATGCTGGATAAGGGAATATTGACAAAGCAGAAGTGTAAAAAGTGGAAGGACTCAGAAAACAATACTGGAAAATGGAATGAGGACACAACAAGTGTGAGAAGGGGAAGAACTCCAAATTCAATTGTGGATTAGAGAATAATGGCAATGCATAAGTGAACTAAGAAACAAAAATGAGGACATTTAGCACAAGGCATTTATTTACTCTGCTAGTAAATAGATGTGACCACAAATAAAGAGTAAATTTTTAAATGGAAAAAATATAAAAAAAGAAAATTAAATCATCTTCTCTTCAAGAAATGATTGGCCCTGTTCATAACTCCCAAAGATATGATGAGGTCACAATAAGGGAAAGGCTAGGGTTGGGTTCATCAAAAAATCATTGTAATTTGTAACCTTTATTAGTTATAAATTATATTTGAATGTTAATTTATACTTTTATGTTTTGAGTCTTTATTATGAAACCATCCATATGTTCAACTTGCCAACCATCACTACCTTCAAGTACCTTGTATATGATCATTTTATTTACATGAATAAAACATGACAACTAATTACTGGTTTGTGACAAGAAATATTTGTGAGCTGGAGTAGCTCATAGATGATATGTAAATGTATAAATATTGATTAACAATACTTCAAAAGTATAAATATTTTCAGATACATTGATTTTCATAAGTGTAATTAATTAATGTTATAAAATGCATTTCAGTCACTTAAGTTTTATATCCAAATACTTCAGAAGCAGGATTGAGATAGGTTAGAATTTTATGTATTGAAATATTTTATAGTTTAAAGTTCATTCTTATTTTCATTATGCTCAAGTGAACTATTCAAGTTTTGTCTGCTGTCCATCTGTCTGTAATCTTTTCATATTTTTATTATTTTCTCAAGAAGTCCATTTACACCTGGCTACAAAGCACCCTTGGTTAAAGGGGATTTAAGGTGTTTCAAATGAGATATTTGAAATCTCACATGCTCTTGTTGATCAATACATGTATCAATAAGCTTATGTGTTTGGACAAAGGGCTATATCTTACCAAGAACTTATGTATTTTAATGAGTACTCGATTCCATTTCAATAATCCTATTGAATGTTCAAATATGAGTTATTGACATCCTTAATCATAATCCAGTATTATTTCCCCAGTAGAGTACTGTGTGACTGTGTCAGTAACATTTGACTTCTAGACACTTGTTATAGTCTAATAATTTTTTTGCCCACCAGTTACAATGTTCTGTACTGAATTCTTGTTATTCTGTATCATTTCCTCATAGAGCAAAAATTTAGACAGTTGCTCCAAGTTGAAAGTACCACAAGTTATAACATGAATTATCTTTTTAGGAGATGGTCATTTGATCTAGGAGAGGAAGGCGATTAAGTCGGGTGGCAATTTTTTTTTCTTTTAGATTTTATACCTTTATGCCAGTCATGGACATATTTATTATACCCCCGCTCTGAAGGAGAGGGGGGTATACTGTTTTACCCTTGTGTGTCTGTCTGTCTGTCCGTAACAAATTTTCGTTGCAGTTTTCTCAGCAACTACTCATCTTAGATGCTTGAAATTTTAACACAATCTTCTCTGAGGCATGCCTTATGGTGGGATACATTTTTCTTTAAATCCGATGTCAACTTCCTGTTTGTGCGTCTGTCCGTTTCATACATAACAAATTTTCGTCGCAGTTTTCTCAGCAACTAGTCATCATAGATGCTTGAAATTTTAACACAATCTTTTCTGAGGCATGCCATACATTGGGATACATTTTTGTTCAAATCTGATGTCAACTTCCTGTTTGTCTGTGCGTCTGTCCGTTTCATACATTACAATTTTCGTCGCAGTTTTCTCAGCAACTACTCATTGCAGATGCTTGAAATTTTAACACTATCTTTTCTTAGGCATGCCATAAGGTGGGATACATTTTTGGTCAAAATCGGTGTCAACTTCCTGTTTGTCTTTGCATCTGTCTGTTTCATAATAACAAATTTCCGTCACCGTTTTCTCATTAACTATTCATAGCAGATGCTTCAAATTTTAGTACAGTCTTTGTTGCTGCATGCCATATGGTGGTATTAATTTTGATATGAATCTGATGTCAACTTCATATTTTTCTGTGCATCTGCCTGTAATTGAACTTGTGTATATTAACATGATAGTGTTTATTTACATCAGAGCGGGGGTATTACTAGTGAGCATTGGCTCACAGATTTCTTGTTATTTTTGAAGATGATCATTTGTAGCTCACCTGACCTGACACCTTAAGTGCACAGGCACTTGTTGAATGTATGATCATCAAGTACTACTTTGTTTAGCATAATGAAAAATCCAGAGATAGCTAGTTGGAATTCCTTGGGTGTTTTCCACAACCTTCAATCAAAACCTCTTTCGCTGCCACTGAATGGAAATTAGGTAAATACATGTAAACTTGCATTTAGGACAAAGAATTCATTTTGACCGCGTGTGGTTGTAGGGGGGTTGTAAAACAAAATCTCCCTGAACAACATCTTGCATAATTTTCCTTGATTATGTTGTAGTAATGAAAATCTCCCTCAAAGGGAGGTACCCTATGTGTTCACAAGATTTTGTTTCTTACCTTTAGTATTTTTATATTCCATAGAGGGCCAATCTCTAAACCTTAACAAAAGTGGAAATTGATATCAGATATCGAAATATAAGACTGATAGAATAGGAAATCATGTATTTTTGATAAGTTTTTGTGTCTAATAAAAATTCTCAGAGCTGAGGGGGGGAGGGAGTTGTACACCATCCATTTGTCAGATGCCTGAGCTTCTTTGGTCACATTTTATATGGTGTCTTTCTGTCTGTAAACTTTTCACATACAGTTGAACTTAAGCATCTCGAACTCTGATATCTCGAATACCATGGATATTTAGAAGTGATGTGGAAGTCTCAACCACATATTCTTTAATTATTTTACCCTGGATGCTCAGATCCTCAGATATCTCAAATTTTTTTTGTTATCCCCATCAGGTTCAAGATAGGCTAACGAAGTTTGACTTTATTTGACTTTTCCCCCAGAAAATAAGGAATATATAGCAAAACATCTTATTCTCAAGAACAATAAAGCCATGTGGAAGCATGCATCATTGGGTAGTGTAGATGCAAGTTTGTTCAAAATATGAACCCCAAGGGGGTTGGGTGGGGTCACAATGGGAGATCAAATCTTACAAAGGAATAAGTAGGGGAAATCTTTGAAAAGAAGTGTGCTAGTCAATGTACACTGTATTGAGGTATGCGTGGCTCATGGGCCTCTTGTTTTCTTCCCGTGAAAAAGTTTCACAAGCGCTAAAAAAGGGAAAACTGTCGAACTCGTTTGGATGGAGGCCCAGGGTAAGGCCAGTTTAGATCTAAATATTTTTTTAGGCAGTTATGGACGGATTGATTTTCATTATTTTTGAGACAAGTTAAACTAGTGCTAATTGTAACGGGGACCGTTACAGATGTTCCCCAAACGCTCCCCAACTCCCTTTTGGTGCCATATTCCCTGTAATCTCTATTAAATAAGAAATACTTTATGGAATTAAGACTTAATCAAGGTCTTCCTAGAAAAATACAAAATATATTTAAAAATAGGCATTGCACGCGTGTTCATTTGCGTAACGACCATATTATCTTGTCTACACTCTCTAAAATTTTAATATACTTAATATTAAAGCATTTAATCTATAAGTGTTAAAAAATACACTCATTCGAATGTATTTTTAATTTCACTCATTTCGCGTGCACGCACGTGCAAGCACGTGCATAATGACTACACCTTCTTTTAGGAGTCCCCTATATTTATCTATGTTCTAAATCCCATCCTGTTTGGTTGAAAAACAAGGGAGTTATAGCCATTTGAAGTTTCAGCCAATCAGATTGCAGCACACAGGCATTTACGTGATTTCATAAATTTTTATCTTTATTGTATTGAAGAATATCTAAATGAATGACTATATTTTAAAATTCCAAACATTTCGTCAAAAAAAAGGAGATATAGCCATATAAATTTTCAGCCAATCAGATTGCAGCACACGTGCATGCGCGTGATTTCATGAATGTTTTTCTATATCATATTTTAGGATATCCTAATGCATGTCTATGTTTTAAATTTCAAAGCATTTCGTCAGAAAACAAAGGAGATATAGTCATTTAAAGTTTCAGCCAATCAGATTGCAGCACGCGGGCATGCGCATGCTTTCATGAAAATTCTTATATATCATGCTGAAGATCTTCATAATGTAGGAATATGTTCAAAATTTCAAAAGATTATGACAAGAAACAAGAAAGATATTGAGACTAGTTCCAGCCAATCAGAGCGAAGCGCACGTGCATGCGCGTGAGATCTTGCTCTTTTGACCATGCCAAATCGTCTATACTACTAATGTATCCTTACATTATGAGTTTCAAAACATTTCATTAAAAAATAGAAAAGTTATGGCAAGATACATTATATTGGTCATTTCACGTGTTGCACGTGCGCGCTCTTGCAAGCACGTGCGCGCAAAATGACCTTCGTTCGGCAAATCTACATAACATGTCTACTGACCCTAAAAACATTTTACCTTAGTCGGATGTGTAGTTTACAAGATCACTCGTGGACAAAATTTTCCCAGGAAGAAGAAAAATAATAATAATAATAATAATAATAATAAGAAACAGAGTAAAAACAATATGTTCCCCAACTTCGTTTGGGGAACATAATTACCCAAAAGCGGTACCCATCCCCTCTTTTTCAGATTCTGATGGAACGGAAAGGCACTGCATGACTGTCTATAAAAAGAGAGGAATGTCGAAAATAAAAGTACAGTGCAATGTGTAGATTTTGTATATATTGTAAATGAAATACAGCTCTCTTTGCAACAGAACTACCCAACACTTTACTTAGAGCTTTCATGGATTTGACTGTTTGGAGTTGTCCTTCTTTGCCTTTTCAGGAGCCAAGATGACGCTGACACAATGGGTTATAGTACGGCAGGTCAGTACAGTGTACTCACCTGATCATTTGGACAAAAAACTTGAGAATTGTTTAACAGTTTCAACTCAATATACGAATTGAAAACATATACTAGTATTACCGGTATGTACAGTGTTATCTCATGATGAGAATTGAGTAATATATGTATAATTTTTGTGCCTATATGCACTTTTTTGATTTCGGAATTATGAAAGTGAAATAAATATATAGTATGGCTGTAAGAAACGTCTGATAACCCTTTTTTCTGCTTTTAAAGGAAGTTGAGAGTGCCCCAAACTGAAACTAGTGCTAATTGTAACGGGAACCGTTACAGATGTTCCCCAAACGCTCCCCAACTCCTTTTTGGTGCCATATTCCCTGTAAGCTTCATTAAATAAGACAAACTCTGTGCATTTTTGACTTCAACAACGTTTTCTCAGAAGGATACCATTTATATTCAAATTTTAGCATTGCACCCGTGCGCATGTGAATGCATGTGCGTTATGATCATATCATCTTGTCTACACTATCTACATATCTTAATATACAATATATTAAAGATTCAGTCCAAAAGTATGAAAAATCACAATTTCAAAAGTATTTTTCATGTCACTCGTTCCAAATGCACGCACGTGCGTGCACATGCATGATGACCATACCTTCTTGTAGGAGTC